TCCGTCGAAGTCGAAAACCTAGGAGAGTCTTAATGGGCAACCAATGAAGCCATTAAAGCACTTAAATGTTTAGTAGGAATTATTTCCGATTTAATTCATTTTTGTGTTTAATTCTACTGGCCTAGAAACAAAACATTTCAATATTTAATCAATCTACCAAGGCTTTCATAAATGTGTCAAAAATAGAAACTACTTTTTGGTTAAACGTGACATCCTAGGTAGGTACATAAACAAATACAATCGAGTACAGAAGGTCTTGAATATGTTGAAATAAACAAACAACAATTTAAATAATGTTTTTTTTAACAAAAGCAGACTTTTAACAAACTTTGAAGGTTCCATCGTGATTTCCCAACTGAAAGTTTTTGAAAAGACTTTTTGAGCTGCCTACCCTGCCAACATTACCCTTGAGGAACATTCCAACTACTCGAGCGGCGTTATCAACTTTGGAAAACTTCATAACTGAACTCTCCGATTTCAAAATTCAAACCAATCTCTAAAGCTTTAGGATTTGTTTTGCTAAAATTTTCTGCGCTGCTTCTGACATGGCTTAACGACCCCATCATAAATGGAAGTTGGAAGACTCGGCGCGCTCTTTGAGGCACTTGTATTGGCTTAGAGGAAATGTGCCATGCAATGGGACGCTAAAAGCCTGATAATGGGAAAACAAAAAGTCTTATCATTGCCACAGGTTACACGGGTTCATTTACATTTCTTTCTGTTCCACCCATTAATTTTGTAGAGTACCAAAACCATTACTTTCTTTCAGAAATAATTACGGTCTATTTTATTGTGACGCAGATTTGTAGCGGACATTAATAACTAGGTTTTCATTCCACGTAATAAAGCGTTGGGAACGAGCGCCACACTAAACGCTTCGCACGGTAAAAACGGTGACCTTTTTTAATTAATAGACAGGTCAGCTAGGTTGGCGTATTTGAAATGAATTTTTATCTCAGAAGCATTACTTACTCGTAATTAACTTAATAGGTACTTATTTTAATATTTAAGATCTATCAATTAACAATTAGAAACCTCAGGAAGATTATGATGTTTTATGTCATAATGGCTCCCATTTTTTAGGTGACATCCCTTTTATTTTTGTTAGAATCTCATATCACTGGACTGGAAGCTGTCTCTGAAATACGAGTCAGTCGTAAGACCCGTCTCTAATACAAAGTAACTAAGTTCGTAAAATAACACTTTATTACTTTAATACAGCGTGCTGTAAGACCTACATAAGTCGCCTTTCTATAGAGACGATAAATTATCGTTGTAACAAAAACGTGTCTTAAGAATAATATCGGGCAGCGCGCCAGAAAAGTCGGGTCCTAGGTTACAAACAAAGGCGTAATTCAAGAAGTTGGCTCAGCAAATGCGGGGAATCGGTGTAAACCGTCGTTATGGGGTGATTCTACACCGCCTCTTACGAAAGAGGGCCCGGGCTGAGCCGGGGAACATGAAACACCCCCAGGAATAAAAGGATTAGTGAGAAGCTGCCCGGAACGGATACAGGCCAAATCCCTGGACACACGTGCTTTTGTACAATACTGTGTGTACAACTTTAAATATAGGTAAACACTGATCAAAGACAGGTATATTTTACGTTGAAACCACACCCTAGAAAACAAACATAGACTTAGTCAATCTGATTCATGTTCATTAACACTAATGTTTTCATTGTGCTCGTTAGTTGAAAACTTTAACGCTATAAAATTCTGAGAAAAGTATTACTAAGTACCTACAACAAAACAAAATTTCCTTTACCAAGTTAATGTGATGTTACACTAAGTATATTGAGCGATGTCTTAAAATAATTTCTGTTACAATTTCCAAGTAAAGATATTCACACAGGTGATGTAATCTACTTTCCTTTTTAGGGGCATTTTCGTAACAGGGAATTATAGCCTAATGTAATCAAATAGCCTTTTTGTAGGTAAAATTACCACTTAAATAGGCTTCTCAAATATCATACCCGAGTCAAAGGTTAAAGGTTATTACCAAGTAACTAGGTGACCCTTATTTGAGTCCTAGATGAGAATGGTTATATGGCGACATAAAAAACGAGCCAGCAATAAAGTGGAAAGTGATGAAAGTAGGAAGCTGGCGAGATGGGATCTTAAGCCATTGCACTATTAAAGTATTGCGACTCCTCGGTTACTGCCGACAGTTTTACATATTTCAGCCTCATTTCTTTTCTCAGATGCTTTCATCATCATCATTTCAACCAAAGGACGTCCACTGCTGAACATAGGCCTTCCCCAATGATCTCTATTGACTATTTGGTAGCGACCTGCATCCAGCGCCTTTCTGCTACCTTTATGTGGTCGTGGGTCCACTTTGTGGGTGGACGGCCCAAGCTGTGCTTTCTGAACTTTTGGACCACTTCGTAGCCAGATTTCGTAGCTACGAAACGCATACGAACGAAGTAGGCTACGAAAGCTTTCGTAGCTGGGCAGTAAGAAGCGAGCATCGAAATGGTTTCTTTTCCAAGGGCTTTCCGGTACGTGGCCTTAACTCCAGAACCGTGTTGATGACTTGAACATGTGATATTCACTTTCCGCACTTCTCATATGTGTTGTAAGTACAAATATTAGGGAAATGACATTATGTATTTAAAAAATTAACAGCCCGTTCTGAAACCGTGAAAGTTTGGAAACATTGCTCGTAAACCAAATGAGACTACAAAGTGTAGTCTTCGCTTTAAGTTAATTACCACATTAACGATCGTCCCGGTTGATAAGCCGCGAATAAAACCCCAATTTGCATCAATTACGTACCACATAATTAAACTCAACAGTTACAAGCAAACTCTTTAATGCCATCCTCATAATCGTTCCTTTTATTATGATAAAGAGGTTCCGTTTGGAAGAAGTTTCAATTAAACAATTATGTCATTTTCTTAAAGCATAATTGTCATTACAGCTGTTTTGGTTAACAGGCTTCGTTCAGTAACATACGCGAATACATATAAAAGGATATATTTCATTGTGAAGAAGATGAATAAGTGAGAAGCTTAATATACCTACTACATCATTATGTGCTAAAATGCGAATAGACACACATAAAAATTAAATTGATCAATTAATTTTCAGGAAGTCATTTTCAAGGGTTGTACTTATACGTGCAATCGTCGAATAAAACCGTGGCTTAAGTTAATGCAAAACAAATATTATTGCGTTATACGCGACAGCGAAAAATTTAAACGGAATATGATTTACAAAGATGATCTAGGCTCCCCTGGATTTACAGACAATCCCATATTAGCATAATCGTCTTAGCGGGAAGCTCTACAAACGAATAACATTGTTTTATTTTATCACAAAGCCCGCTCAGTTGAGGACGGTATGAGCCTGCTTACTTAATTTCCCATTTACTTTATGGAGGCCTTTACAAAATTCAAGAAGGAAGACAAGGCGAAAATAAGGCGAAAAAATTGACACATTAACACACTAAACAGAGCTTTAAAAAACAAAGAATGGAGAAAATAATCGCAAAAGGATAGATTTATTTGTTTGATACTGAGAGGCATTAAGCAATTTAATTAAGTTATGGTACATTCAACAGCAAAGAGCACTCTCGTCTCATCAGTTCATTAAAATCACGTGATTTATAGACGTATGAGACAAAATTTACTGCGTTTCCCGGGCATGTTTTATTTCCAAATAAAACAAACATAAATACAAGAAACGTCCCACGAGGGCGGGGGTAATTCGAAAAAAATGGCACGCAGTTGACTTAATTAAACTTGGGAGAGTGGCCGATGAAAAAAGGGTAATAAAGCTGTGAAAAGGTCGAGGAAACCGACGGTATTGTATATGGGCATTCAAAGTACAGACCTAATTTTTATTTCGCTCTTTTTAATTTTTTGATGTATTTTCAGTGAAAATCATATTGAATAAATTTTTTCATGTCAACCAACCTCAAAAAAAGTACATGACGTGGCAGTCTGGGAAAATAAATTCTGAACATTTTCCAGGAAAACTATTTGTTGACGCGTTAACATATACGGGTGGTTACCTTAACATTGAATCTCAACAATGTAATGTAACATGATAACATTGTAACGCTAGAACTATTTTACGAACGTCTGTTTTTAATTTGACAATGAGACTTGATATTTATGCGAGGACCGCAAGGCTGCGGCGGCGCTGTCTCCCCGTGGTACGCGTTCGTTACGAATGCCTAAAATACAAGCTCATTTACTAAATGTTGCGGATTCTAATATAGACTCAATATCCAAATTAGTGCTAGGGGGCGACGATTGTTCTCGTAAGTCCTTTGTTCAAAATTGAAGATTTATTTCATTGTTACTTTGTCATTGCCATCTTATTAAGTCTGGTCTCTTGCTGAAAAAGTTCAGAGTAGGGAAGTCCGAGCCTTGTAGGCAGTTTTCATAGAAAAATTAGTTCTCATTTGTAATTTTTAATACTAGTAAGTCCAATTTANGTGTAGATGTTTCAATTTGAAATAAGTAGTTCAATTTTAAATACGGAATTCAAAACAGATTCATTCAAAAATTCATATTGACTTTAAACGACCATCTTCTTGTTTATTTATTTATTTATTTATTCATATGGCATACCAACAACATATATATTATACTCTTATGATTAACATTTATGAAGATAACATTTCTGATATATATGTCACTTAAGGGTTAAGGTTAAGGGTCTTGTTATTGTTACAGCCATTTTGTAAGGCTTTATTCAAGAGTACGAGACGGTTATCATCCCCATTATTGTCTTCCTACTCTTTTTAATATTTAAAGAACAAGTCACTTAACTGACATCCTACCGTTATCTTATAAACGCTGAGGAATAAAATTCTTAGTTTAGCACAAACTAGGTACCTACTTGTCAAGGTTCTATTTTATTGTTATGTATACTTTTTAAATTGTAAGTGCAATAAGTGAAAAGTGTTGCGTGTTTTTACTATTTAAACGAAATGGCAAGGAAAGCTAGTTAGTAATTAGTATTTATGTGTCTTGTTACAGTTATTTGCTGCGATGTGGCGGGGACTACACACAGCGCAAGCCGGTTGACCATCTCTCCACATGCCGACAACACTCTGCAGTCAGCAGAAAGGTAACAACTTTTACTAATAAAGCACTTATCGAAAATCAAGTTAAACATTTCAAAAAGAAATGATCATTTCTATAGACTTCAAAGAGAAACACATGGAAAAAAACTTAATGAGGACTATTTATTTGGTGAAAGTAAAATTGGCTTAAATTGCACTAGTTTTCTGAAAAAAGGCACAAAGTACAGAGAATTCAACCTACAAACAATAATACTACATATGATTAATAAGTAAGTCGAGGTTCAATTAACACGAAAATACCCGCTCACCACACCATGACTTAAGGCAAAAACACGCTCGAACCGCCCAGTCTTCCCGTAACAAATGGTTACAAATGAAACTAAGAATAAATGAACTTCGCCCCTAACACATATTTTCTGCTATCCATTGGTTGAGGGTAAAAATAAAGTGGGTCTTACAATTTACGCTTTGTTTTCCTACCGATTTTCATAACCATTCGGAACCGGGATCTAATTTCAATAAAACATGATGTAAACTGATCTTCGATAGTGCAATAGGTAGGTAAGTACTTATCTAGTGAAGCGATCTTAATAAAGTAGTTCAATTTGGAGACGCGGGCGACTTTTGAGAAATCGACCTTTGGTAATAGACAAAAAATAATCGTAAAAGACAGCTTTTACAGGCTGGTGAGCTACCGAAAGAAAAAGAATGGAGAAAACACAACACAGGTCTCCTTAGAGAATAGAGAAAACCTTATAATAGTTCCTTCAAGTGCTTTTCATTTAAGATCAGATACTTGAGAAATAGTTTTAAAACTAATCTGCTTTAAATAATACTTACTTCCATTTTAGCCCTAATTATGTTCGTTAATTTATGAAAGTTATATTAAATGTAGGATGTGTGTTTGTGTTTTCTTACATAAGGTGCATATTTTATGTCAAAAGGTTTCAGGCGAAGGAAAGTTTCCAACCAATCCCGAAACAAGTACATAATTAATCTATTGTTTCGCGATCCTGAGAGAAATCGTAATCAAAATTAAATATGCGGCATTGTCTTGCTAATGGTATTACTCAACCGTCCTTATAACTTCTGAAGAGAGATCCATGGGTTTGTTCTTGGTAAAGAGCCCATTGTCTAAAAGATAAGTCTGTCAATATTAATTGACTTTATTAAGGTAGAAAAACTCTAGTAGTCCCAAAAAGTGTACACGCACTCACAAAGTAATTAGTTGCGTCATACAATTTATATTGAAAGTGACATTATACAGTGTGAGTCACGTTAAAGTGTACATATGAAAATGGATGAAACTAGACCTATTTTTATCGACAAAAAGAGGTTAAAAAATTTTTGAGATTTTTTTTTAATTTTTTATAGATTTTTTTTCTTCCAATTACTTATTGTAAAGAAAACGTAATAACTTTTAAACTAAGCGGTAGATCCTGATAAAATAAAAACAGTAATAATGCTAAATAACAGGCAATACTAAAAAAATACATAAAATACACAAAAAAGGTCCACAAATAATAAAAAATGATACTTTTTGAAAAAAATCTGCTTTAAAATTCGTGTTTTTTTGGTTATTTGATAAATTTCTCCAAAAAATGCCCCTATAACCGGTGGTTTTTATTACTTTGTATTATTCTCTATAGTATTACCTTCGTAAAACCAAAAATCGCATGTCTCTATCCCTATCACAACGTTTGCAATGATCGTTTGAACTAAGCCTCTCCGGGCGCGCCATTCAACGCTTCGTTAACAACAAAACTGAAAATGGCTCTAGATTTGTAATTTTGATAAAGACAAGTTAGATTTCAAATAAAAACAAAAGATTTCGAAGTAAAATAAGCATTTTAGTTAAAATTAAAATTGTCTCTACCTGTAGCGGAGAATAATGTTNCCGGAGAGGCTTAGTTCAAACGATCATAGCAAATGTGGTGATAGGGATAGAGACATGCGATTTTTGGTTTTACAAAGATAATACGGTTGAGAACAATAAAAAAATAATAAAAACCACCGGTTATAGGGGCATTTTTTGGAGAAATTTATCAAATAACCAAAAAAACACGAATTATAAAGCAGATTTTTTTCAAAAAGTATCATTTTTTATTATTTGTTGTCCTTTTTTGTGTATTTTATGTATTTTTTTTGTATCGCCTGTTATTTAGCATTATTACTGTTTATTTTATCAGGATCTACCGCTTAGTTTAAAAGTTATTACGTTTTCTTTACAATAACTAATTGGAAGAAAAAAAATTCTATAAAATTTTTTTAAAAAATCTCAAAAAAATTTTGACCTTTTTTGTCGATAAAAACAGATCTAGTTTCATCTATCTTCATATGTACACTTTAACGTGACTCACACTGTATTATCGGAACAAAACAATACTTTATGTAACCAAATTGTATAGTTTGTTTTCAGTAACCTAGGTAGCTAATGATTAAATTGTCCCAATTTCAGTTTATGGAAGTCTAATAAGCTCGTTTTAAAAGACCGATAGGCAAAAAAACATTTTACAAATGGTCTTTTAAATAAATCGTTGCCTTCACAAGGCCGGGCTGCACTTTAGCCAGAACAAATCGGCTGGCATTTGTTTAATCCCAGCGCCATCTGTCACGGGATTAGCTACCTTCGGGCACAATGAACAAAACTTCGGACATTTTCCAGTATCTGCCCAAAATGCGGTGCTCGTAGATTGACTGACGTCTCTATCCGCTTCAATCTTGAACTGTGCGTCTAATAAGGTTCTGATAACGAACAAATGGAATGCTATTTACGACATGTAAGATAAAACCTTTACCCTGTGACTAGGTAAGTTACTGTTTGAAAATAATAATGATGGTTTGATTTGACATTTGACTGATTAATTTTTATACATAACTAGCTTTCCGCCCGCGGCTTCGCCCGCGTGGGATTTCATTTGTTAAATTTTCCTGAATTTTCTTTGCTATACGGAGCCCGAGACCTTTCCAACGAATGCAAAACCGTGGAAATCGGTTCGTGCGTTCTGGAGTTATAGCGTCAGCAAGGAAAACCCGATTTATTTTTATATAGTAGATATTTTATCTATGTCAGACAAAAGAAAATCAACTAGGTTCTAATGCTCTAATGCGGTTAGTTTATTTAGATTGAAGTTATTATTCCAAAATCGAATTCGTTAACATAGCAAAACAAACAGTTGCGAAAAGTGGAGGTGACGAACACGTTAACAAAAACATTCAGCCACAAATTGAAGAGACGTCATCAATGATTCGCATATGTGAGCAATCCGCAGCAGTCTCCCCATTGACGTCATAGCATATTTGAAAGTAGGTCACGTATTCAATTCCACGGTAACCGCGAAAAAATAATAATATCACGGAAAGTGTCGGCCTTGCCGCACGCCACTCGGAACACTGCGCCTTGCATGATGCCTATGCGGGTAACATTCACATACAAATTATGCATTTAACGTTATTAATGTTTTAATGTCAAATAGATGCAAGCAGTAAAAGTTTTTTGTATTGTACCATCTAATCACGCCCATATCATACATTACATAACGTACCTACCGCACGGTATAAAAGGACATGCAATGGATGCAGAATATAAATAGCCATACCTACTTATACAGGGAAATGCTAACAGAAGCATAAAACTCTACTTAAAGGTAATTTTACGTTTTATTGCATACTATTTCAATTCATTTTACATACAATTACTGTTTCTGATAAGGTTTTATGGTCAAAATTCTTAGAAAAATTGCCGCATTCTTGCTTGTAAAGTAAAGATTTTATTGCATTGACAGAACCACAGCAGCAACTCGCAATAAAATAGTTTGTCGTAACAATATTGTCGCGAGTCACGGGGTTAGACAAAAGTTTGTATCGCCATTTTACAGCCGGCAGAACTTTGGTCGGGGATTACGTGCCACGGCGTGGCAGAGCCGGCTTAGAGTCCGCACTCGCTTTACACCTACCGCCGTTTCGGAAAATGCTTTTCTTTGTGAAAACACAATATCATAGTGTTTTTCCTGAAAATTTTTGACATTATGCTCATTAATTTTAAGTAGAGGTTGCAAATTCGATCCTTTCAGAATATTTTATTACATACTTGCATTGTTCTGGGTGTTTTCAATGTAGAATTTGTGAATTTTTAATCCACAATAGGTACTTTGGTTTAACCTGGTATCCGGCACTGCGTTAAATATGAAAGATTAGGTTACATTATTTATTTTAATTGAAAACCATCAGGCAATTAATATTGTTTGTTTGACCACTTTTTATTAATAAGTGGAGTTTGAAAACACAAAAGAAGCCTTAATTCACCATCATTAATTATTATCCATCACATTCGATTGACTTTAGTTATTAATTAGTAAAATAGGTAAGTAATAAGCTACCTTAGTATATTATAGAATCTTGTATAAAGTGTAGGCAATGAAGTAAAGCCGAGTCTTTGCGTAACTACAAAACTTGTCTAAAAATGAAATGATATTGTCCTATAGATTGAAGACGCTTATTTGTATCCTTTAAAGTAGGTATTAAACGCACACTCAAGTCATAAAATAAGTTACAGCTACCAACGTTGACGGCGTAAAAACTCGTGTACAAACTTTATGAACACTTCGACGTTATCCTACCAGTTTACTTCTATTTTAGGAGAATAATGTGTAAACATGGGCACGCATGTTATATCTACAGCCACATAAAATTGTTTCCACGTCAGTAGAAAAATTGTTCCCATACAAATAACAGCTTTATCATGTGTAGAGGGAAATACCTCCTAGGCCTTGAAAAGAATGTATTTACATCCAGGGGATTGGATTGGACGTATATCCAGGGCTTCACTGCTTAGAGATACTTTACTAGGTGGCACGCTCAAATAATAACTAGGTGATTTTACCATTGCATTGACTTCACTGACGTTTAGAGTTGCTATAGTGAAATAATGTCTTATAATAAAGGAAAGTGACCCGCTCCGGCTTTGCTCTACATAATTGTGTACTTAGAAGAGACATGACAACTGGAATATTGTACTTTCCAAAAGGTGAAATACTGTTTCAATCAAATAGAACACAGTGGTCCCGTAAATTACCCTTTACGTGCCCAACTCTCGCTCTCCATTAGTGCCTATAAATTAAATTTATTTTTCCAGATGTCCTAATATGGGTTGGTCATGCGTGGTGGCACGCGCCGTGACCTGCTTCCTCATGCTCACCCGAGTGTCGGCATTGACATCCGACATGTAAGTAATAATATGTCTCATTTGTATGTTTAAAATAATAATTTGTGCTATACAAATCTCCAACCTCTCCAAGTAAGCTAAATTAAATACACATACTAACATACATAGGATTACGTGATTTTCTTAACCTAAAGAAACACGGGATCAAATTCCGTCCTGCAACGGTCTCAAACCTCTTATCGAAAAATTCAATCATTCTCTACAAATGGATGTCTAGAAATCCCCTTTTGACGGGAATTGACGGGACTGCGACACGGGATAAGCAAGGATGAGCCGGCGGAGACAGAGACACCTATCCGAAGTGTTTTTAACAATGATACTTCGAAATAGTCACAAGTAGATTGCTGAAAATAACTCTGTAAGAACCAGCTTTGAACTTTCCTAAGCTTCTGTTACCTAGTTTTGATTTTGGAAATTTTAAAATAAAGCTAATAAGGGATCTTACTCTATAAGAGTATACATAAAGTACCTTCATGAATTTATGATAGCCACATTATACGACAAGATTCAGCCAAGAAGGAAAAATTTATGTCACAGTTTTTACAATGTGCTTGTTACCTATGTTTATGGCCCCTGGAACTTATACTCGTTATCACTTTAATACATTCATGTGGAGAAAACGAGAGTCACCATCACCTTATTTTTTCATGAAATTTCTATGCTTACCTACAAAATAGACATTTGCTGCTCATGAAGTGCTTACACAGCATTTATGAAGTAGAACTCATCATACCTTGTGAAGAGTGGAGACTACTCCTTCGGCACATTTCTGCCCTTATTAAGCAATATGTGTCATTGGCTGTATACTAATTAATAAGTAAGAGTGAATATAAGTGTGACGGGCGTCGAACTGGAGCTAATTCGCTATCCGGTGCGCAGCCACCGAACCGTGCGCCCCGGTTATAGACCCTCCGGACAAAATAGCCGGTAAACAATCTACAGGCAGCATATATGACGATCCACTGTTTATTTACACGTACTACTTGTATGATTCACCTGAAACACTGTACACCTGTAACTTTACACCTGTCATAAATGTTAATTCGTCTTACTTTGCTGCATCCATAAGTTAGAATTACGAATAAGTACCTCACAATGTTGCTCAACTTGCACAATTAAATAAACTTGTAATTCATCTACAAAAAGACAAAGGGAAAGGAGATGAGGACTCTATTCTAATTGTAAAACAGGAAAACCTTAAAGTGTCCTATACTTAACTGTCAAATATAAAACATCTTCAAATTGGTTCATAACAGTCGATAACAATAGTGAGTATTGTTATAAGACCAAACAATCGCAAATATTGTTACCTCCAAACATCTGCAAACGCAATACTAAGTTTGACATGACTAACTTTGCGTCGATTCCCGCCTCGATAACTCGAGCACACTTCGGGAACCGCTGATTGAATCTGTTATATCACTTACCAATTCAACAGACTACTTGTAGACTAGTTTCGCCCTCAATGTATGCACCGCGCATGCAACAGCGAGTTAGTTCATTCAAAGTGCAAAGCTAATCAAGATTTGCTGCTATTATGTTCTGACATAACAATATTTTCCATGCCAGAAAACATCGCATAATTTCCTTTGTTCTATGTGGCCATATAGAGAATCTCTGTTGTAGTATAAGTGCTAATCTAAAATCAATACCAAGTCTGCCGTTCGGTCTGAGTTTGCATACGGTTAATAAAATTTGCTATGATATACGACGTTGATAAATTATTCCTAATTTCTAGTGCGTTTGCTTAAATAGCTCTCGCAAACAGAAAGCTCTACCAAAAGTAGGGTGGAATTTTGTATTGTCTTTCTGTAAAAAAATATTAAAACGTTGACTGCTTTTATTTTTCAGCTTCGCAGCGGGAAAATCGGACAAAGAGATACTGGATAACCTACTGAAAAATTCTCGCTATGACAAAAGACTGCTCCCACCAGTAGATGGTAAATATGAGATGTGTTTCAATATTTTTTGCTCGCTTGCGTGTCGTGTGCATTTTATTTTAGTTGAAAAATTAATTATGAGGTAAATGGAGAAGACTTTAAAGGTCGATATAATATTGCAGATCCGGAATTCTGTTGTGGTCTAACATCACCTAACGACTCTCTGGCACAAAATAGGGTCGGGCTGTCTTCGCTACGGCCACGCTCGCACAACCGCGGTGCGTTGTGTTCTATGTTTATGAAAAGAGAAATCCCTACTTTCCACTTAGCATAATTATATAAGCAAACCCTAGCGTCTTTGTGTTGTACTGCAACCGACTCTATGCACGCAACTCCGAGTGTTTAGGTTTCTTTATCTCACGCAATGTAGATCTTTCGCTTATACCTTAATGTATACTCGTACCTGTTTATTTATTTGTACCTTAGTTATATTTTTATTTATGCACTTCGTGTTGATGTTTTATAGCTGTAGTCTACATAACACATTATATCCTCACTTTTCAAAATTAAACGACCAAAATAAGAAATATTGTAAACCATAATATCCATATTTTACATATCGATAAGTATCTAATTTACCTAATTTTATTTGGTACTGGTCGTATTTATCTACTTTGTTTTATCATATATGTAATATTAGTAACATTTAAGTATCATATTGTTTTAACTCGATGATTTTCTCTTTTCACAAACATCAAACACAAATCAGATTTGTTATCCCTTTGAATTGAAAAAAAAGTAATTCTGCATTATTTTTTTCTTGCTGCAATATTGCGGTTCTTTGAAATTACTTTTTATTATGCTTACTTCAGCATCATTATTTTCTCATATTAATTTATCTTATTACCTTCGGATATAAAATGAGTATTACACGTGACCTAATACAAACAAATATAATCTTTGAAAATTATCAAATGTGTGTTCAATATTTCTAACACCACTATAAATATGTATACCTATTGGCACTTTCTAGTCTACCAGCATGCTCTAAATGTGTCTGTGTTTGATAATAGCTTTACATGTACGAAATTATCTAAGGTTTCTGTCGTTTTCAGGTGTCCTCACCGTAAATGTTAGCGTGCTACTTCTTAGTTTAGCATCTCCTGACGAATCTAGTCTTGTAAGTTATCCTATCTTCTTATAATCAGATATTATGCTATACCATTGGTTAACTTTAACAACAAGAATAAGTACCTACCTATCCCCTAAATCTTGGAACTGTCCATTCGTATTGTATGCGTTAAGAGTAATCCCAGTCATGCTTACCTTAGATCATCAAAATTACATCATCCACGGTAGGTACGAGTAAACTTTTTCATATTGGTCAATTCTTATATGGGAGAGTTTGTTTCTAATAACTTATTACATACTAGAGTTCATGAGATTAGCGGATTTTGATAAAAAATCAGTGGTACAGCCTAAGTTTGTATCTTTAATGTAAACAACTATTAGCAAGGTCATTGTTCTTCCAGAAATACGAAGTAGAGTTCCTCCTACAGCAGCAGTGGTACGACCCACGGCTGCGGTACTCGAACCAGTCGCAGTACGAGTACTTGAACGCCATCCACCATCACGAGGATATCTGGTTGCCGGATACTTATTTCATCATGCATGGGGACTTTAAGGTCTGTGGGCTGAGTGTGAGTTTACATCAAAGTAACATCCGAGTAAGCTTTTGAAACTCTAAATTTTGAGATGAATTCCACTCCTTCGACACTCCCTAAAAATCAACCAGTTCAAAATATAAAACAACGTCACATACACAAATATATTTTTCAAACACAAATTACCTACATTGTTTACAAACAAGAATTCTCTGTCTGTTAAAGCAATGTATGAAAAATAAAAAAATCTGATAAAAGAAAACTCTTTAAAGGTTCCAGGCGGTCAACTTTTGTTTTCGTTTTTCCTCGATCTCTTTCATAACAATTTTATATTTCAGGATCCTATAATACCCATGCACTTCGCATTGCGTATTTACCGCAATGGCACAATAAATTACCTGATGCGACGGCATCTAATACTGTCCTGTCAGGGGAGGCTCAACATCTTTCCATTTGACGACCCGTTGTGTTCATTTGCCTTAGAAAGTAGTAAGTAGTATTAATAATTTGTACCTTATTTATATACCCAAAGATCTAATCAAGCTTATTAGGCAAGCAAAGTTCATTAAGTCCGGAAGTCAGATGAATTAACGAAATGTTGATTTGATTGCAGTATCGTACGAACAATCTGCTATTACCTACGTGTGGAAAAATGATGAAGACACTCTTCGGAAGTCACCTTCGTTGACGACGCTCAACGCCTACCTCATCCAGAACCAGACCATTCCCTGCCCCATCAAAGCTAGCTGGAGAGGTAAAATGCGAAGTCTTTTCTAAACATCATTCTACAACATACAACATTGCTTCTCGTTAAAAAATATCTTTATTTAAAAACATTTATTCAATATGTAGACTAGTCTCCTAAAATCCTTCTCTTTTGTTACAAGCACATCCTATACTTTGCACAAGAAGGGATCAGAGATATTTTAGTAATCGTATCGAAATTCTGATTAACTCTTTTCAGCTTGGTCTTGATTTATGTAAAAGGTTATATATTTTACAATTTTCTTTTGTGTATCATGGAAAAAGACGTAGAAGCTTTATAGTGTTTGTTGTGTAACATTATGATGGTTTGATTATTTAGGACATAGCTAGAATTACGCATGTTCATTGTATTATCATTAGTTCATGTCATATTTTTGTTCGTAACACTGAAAATGATGTGACACTAAAACTTAGAACCGTACATATTTTTTGTAAAGTTTCTTAAAAAGTCTAGAAAGTAAGAGTTTGTTAACGTCTTTGCAAGCAGCTGATGGTATGTCACTTTACGAAGACGATGAAGAGCTGACATGTAACCTTTGCCAGAGGCGATTTGAGGAGCAAGGTACTTGAGTCGCACCGGACGATACACCAGTCTATCCGGTGTCATCGTATTTGCCGTATATTTTCCGCTTATGTGTGAGTAAATGCGTTTGTGTTTCAACTGAGTGATTGATGTACAATACTGCGGAAGGTAAAGACTTGTATTTTACAACTCCATCACAACCACTCATAAGCCATTTGTGTTTAGTCCACTTTTTCATCTATCTCATGCATGAAAATCTTTGTGAAGCACGTGTTAAAGTACCTACATAGTCCGCTCTCTTGTCATTTGAAGATGTTCATTGTCGCTAGACATGTTGACGAACGCATAAAAACACAACACGCATTACTCATGCATTTAGGATTACTAGTAGTCCTTTATTAATTTGTATTCTTTTTAGAAATGTATTTTACAAGGCCTCTGAATAGAGTTATTTGGAATTTTAGCATTGCCTTTACCCAACACCCCGCCGAGAAGACATCATATTTTATATTGTTTGAACAAAATACAACTATGAGTCTTTTAGTGTATCGCGTTGTAATGGTGTTCAAATTGTATTCTAAATGTGTTAACTTCGCAGGTAACTACAGCTGTCTAAAGGTCGACCTAATCTTTACTAGAGACCGAGCGTTCTACTTTACGACAGTATTTATCCCTGGAATAATACTGGTGACTTCCTCCTTCATCACGTTTTGGCTGGAGTGGAACGCAGTGCCAGCCCGTTCCATGATAGGTAAAAACACGGCTGGCGAATGGGAAAGCCCTCGGTCTTGCAACACTTCTTTTTCTCTCTATTGGTACATGTGGCTGCGGCTGTCAATACTACACGCTATGTTCCTTTTGCAGGGTACGCTTGTCGTTGGCAATGTAAATAGTTATGGATGGCCAACGACTCACGAACGCCTAGTTTCATTCATATGTTATTTTTAGATATTGCTTATTTATTTTTAGGTAATTACAGCTGCCTCAAAGTGGATCTCATCTTCACGCGGGATAGATCATTTTACTTCACCACAGTTTTCATTCCGGGCATCATTTTGGTGACTTCATCGTTTATAACTTTTTGGCTGGAATGGAATGCAGTGCCTGCTAGAGTAATGATAGGTTGGTGTATAGCTTATAGCTGCTTTTTATCCATCGTACTAATTTACTTTTTAGTATTTATAAACTTTTTTTGCCAGATAGGTGTCTTTCAACTAAAATAATAACTATACAGGATGTTAGGTAAATGGGTATATGAGCCGACACTAGCCCATGTTAACATGGGCATACAAATGGTATGGTGAAGTCAGAAATTTGATAGCATCATTTTATTTTTTTTAATTTTCATACAAAATAAATTTTATAAAATCCGATTTGTATGAAAATTAAAATAATTAAAATGAAGATATCAATTTTCTGATTTCACCATACCATTTATATGCCCATGTTAACATGGGCTAGTGTCGGCTCATATACCCATTTACCTAACACCCTGTATAAACGTAATAGGCATATGAATGCTTTTTTTCTTAGGTGTTGTAAGCACAAATCTAATATCAATGTACCTACCTATTTATAATGATTTATGCCGCTTTTATTGCATGAATTACGTCATCGTGCTTCCTTTAAACAATTTTAATAAGTAAAATTACTTAGTTGATTTCAGTTTTTACTAAATTACTCTATAAATGTAGGTAATCACAGGTTCCAGTATTAGAAGGAACTATTAAGTAAATGCAAATACCAAAATATCATGCTTATATTTTATTACAAAGGGTCCCCATTATTTCAATAATGCTGAATTTGTAATTTTGTTAATTCTGTATACAGGTGTAACAACAATGTTGAATTTTTTCACAACATCAAACGGTTTTCGGTCAACATTGCCGGTGGTGTCGAATTTGACGGCCATGAACGTGTGGGACGGCGTGTGTATGTGCTTTATTTACGCCTCGCTCCTCGAGTTCGTGTGCGTCAACTACGTGGGGAGGAAGCGGCCCCTCCACAATGTGGTGTACAGGCCCGGAGAGAACCCCGTCACTCAGGTAATTACCTTCTCAACCGTACCTCTCATCACTCTCTATGTTGTAACGATTCGTGTGATCGATGTTGTTTGATCTAGCGCCGCATAGTAGCGGTACCAAAACACTTTTACTCCCTATATTATACATAACTCTATCGCTTCTCTAAACTATCAGTGTTAAATGTGCAAATAAGCGAATATTCAATCCAACCACGCTGACTTATCTGTTCATCCAATGACATTATTATGAAATCACATCAGAATCTTACCTGTGAGTGGAAATTTAATTGCAACATATTCATATAATGAATATTGTATGTACATAAAATTTACAAAAAGTTCTGATATCTACTTAATTTTGATATTATAACTGCTCTTGCTACGAAACATTATTTACTCTATTACATACAGCACCTATATTTTGTACTTATACATTTTGATCATTCGGACGCAAACAAAACTCCACAATTTATTCTCGAAGGATCTAAAACTGTATGCTATTATAGACGATGTGTAGATGCTAATATAAATGTCATTTTGATCCCAGTTCTCGTAAGCACTAAATCAAAATTTTGCACGTAGAAGTCAACTATGTTGAACCCGTAGATCCTTCGCGAATTTTTTTGTATTTTATTCTTATACTCTTTGCAATGTTTTCTTTTACATAACAACAGGACATAGCATAACTTTAAGTCAAATTAAACGTAACCATGTGTGTATCGGCGATGTCATGTTGTTTCTTTTTAACTCTACTATGTACCTACCTACCGCATGCTTCACTCTTTCAGAATTACCTACTGCATGAATTTGTATTTTTTACCCTATTGGGAGGTCAGAATCCATCACATATCTTTTCATTTGCAATCGTGCTCTTACAAAATCATAACTTCAGTAAAATCAGTCAAAGACTATTTTGTGTGGCCATATTTTTAAATAAAATCCTTCTAAAGATAAACACTTCGCCGTTCATAATGAGTAATGTATCACAAAACACTAAAAGGACAGGAGGAATGTACAGTATAATAAATTTTGCAAAATTGAAAATGGGAAAACATTGCAAAGACATTTCAGTTATCTGATACCGGTAAAAGAGGGCACATGATCATAAGATTAAATTCATGCGTATAAGTATAGTACACTTATTTTCTAAAGGATATCTAGTTACTTCTTGCAATCAATGATTTATGAGTGTTTGTATAATTTAATGTACTGGCCACAACAATCTAGTCTTCGTTCACGTTGGCACCTCGTCAGACCACCAGTCACGAGTGAACAAATTGTGTGTGTGATGTGTTCGCAGCGACTGCCCGCTGTCCTGAGCAGAATTGGCATTATACTCGCCAGCCCCTTGGTAAGAATGTTCGCCACCTTCATTGGCACTTTCCAAAAACTGTTATATTTCTTTTATACTCCTTATTATTTTGAAACACCTTTGGTTTATGTATTACAAACCCCAGTGCTTGTAGACAATGTAACAATCGTACCGCTAACCGCTTCGCTATGCCCCCAAGTTACAAAAAATCTGCATGCGACTTTACCGAATCGAAATTATAGCGAGTGTTACGTTGTCTAGAGGCACAGTTCTCAATAGCGAATAGAAATATATCAGGCCAATAAAATCACCATTGTTAACAGCACGCTCTTTGAAAGCATGCGTAACTCGAGTATTTAGGAAATCATCTATGATTATATTATTGATCGGCTGTATAAGGTAAGTGCTTACTGCTTATTAAATATTAAGAAACTTTTATGTTATGTTTAAGAATAGATTAAGCATGACCTTCCAAAAACAACGCCTTAAATCTGCTTTACCTATGGGACAAAATGTTGCCAATACAAAACATCAAGGAATACCAATAACAAAGTAACCTATTATAGCAGACGTACATGTTTTTCTTTTCCAGACAAACTTCACACAGTTCTTATCTTCAATAAAACAAAGTCCTAATAAATTTTATTTATATGATAATCCAGAAAATGCATTGGCAATATAGGTACAGTAGAACATTGGTTCTACTGTACCTACATTATCAATTTGTATAGACAACATATGTGATATTTTGTCCTTACCCATGCAGCATGGCTAAGAATGAAAATTATTTGTTGCATCTGCGCTATTTTATTTATTAAGCAGTTAATATAAAATTATTATCGGTACAATATTTATCAAACACATAACAAAATTTATCAATCAAAGGCTTTTTTAAGCGTTTTGGGTATGAAACAAAGACCTCAGCATCATCTAAAAAGTTAGTTTTATAAATTCAGATTTATGTGAAATATGATAGAAAATAAGGAAGACATTGACTACCTACTTCAAGGTGCTAATGATGGTCTTTTAATCTGCACTAATAAAACAAAAATATAAGCAACAACGCATTGCTTTTTTTTTACTAACAAATACCAGTATTAAAGCTTACAGTAACAAAAATACTACAGCTTTCGCACACCAAGCATTTGAAGTAATAATTAAGTGAATAAATCATTAAATAAGGTATGCTTCAGTAAGTCAAAGTTTTAAAATCATTTAAGAATATAGTAGGTGCGAGAGTCCAACAAAATCAACTTCATTCGTTTTTGAAAGGGTAATGAAATCTCTATTATGTGATCTTTAGAGGTATTTCTCGTTTGAAAAAAAAAGGATATGATACATAATAACTTAGTTGAGAATGCATTTGATTTTGACAAGCTCTACATTACATTATTTTGCAAGAAATACTATCTAACATCACAATAATTAAACCTACAACTTCAATTATAAATTGAGAAACCGTTTTAGTAAGTTGAGTAATTTCGTTAAAACAAATATTTCTGAAGCATTCCTCTCCAAGTTGATTTAGCGAAATATATGCCATTCATGCTTGTGCTAAAAGTTAAATATAATTTACGTAGGAGGCGATGGCATTTCTCCATTGGGCAACAGATACCCCCCAACCGGAGACTAGTGGTGCTGTAAGTGAAGTCACCCAACAAACCATTTGCCCGCATCATCACATGACCTGATAATCACGAAAACTAACGCATCATTTTTTTTAACGCTGCTTCGGATTGCAACAGCCTGTAAGTATGCCCAGATACGTGAACTGATTTCGTCTTACTTTTCCCTTTCTATCGCAATCATGCCGTTAGTAGCAAACCTTGTGAATGTGTCAGTAATTTATGAGTCATATTTCTCTTCTACTCGTGATCAGATACATTTTCATTTTTCCCCTTTATGTATCCCCCAAAGTTATCTTCGTAGCTTTCATCGCACTAAATGATTTCCTACTTCCATTTTGCACACTTTCTTTTCGTTTTCTTCATAATATTCCATCTGAAGTTTCAAAATCGATGTACGATGTATATTTTATGTTATCGCAGGGTGATAAAAAGAGGGAATCGACAGGAGCAGCGGACTTAGTGACGTGTACTACGTGTACTGGGCCCCCGGGCTCGTGTACCCACACAGCCAACAACGGGGGCGTGTCAGAGGTAAGCAGCAAGCATCTCATAATACACACACCATTAGTTCTATCAAGGCTCCCAAAACCTTAACCACAGTTTTGGCGAGATGCCCACACTCTTGATAACTACACAAAATACCGCATGTTATGTTTTGCCCCATACAAAATTTATTTTAGTTTCAAGCTAAGAATCATTCTGTATGAGAAAATACAACGACATCATTTAAAATCTTACACAAACATTAGTTACCTACTTATCTTAACCATCCCTCGCGTAGACAACGTATAGTAAGTGCATTGCACCTACATTATGTGAGTGAGATACAAAACAAAAAACACACCATTTGTAGAAAGTAGAACCGTACCACATGTAGAGAATCACACGGCTAATATTACCTCACAATTGGCTTTCCGTATCATCATTCATTTGCAAATTAATCTCTTTCAGCCATGTTTCGTCCAGGTTCGCAAAAAAGAACCACCGCACCCGATCCGCGTAGCGAAGACCATAGACGTGATCGCGCGCATCACCTTCCCCACTGCCTACGCCGTGTTTTTGATCTTCTTCTTCATCCACTACAAAGCGTTCTCTTAATGCAGCCTCCGCGCCTCAGCTCTTCAGGCCGCTTCCCCAACGAACTGTCTTTTACAATTTTGTCTTATCGCGTCACGGGCTTGCATGAGGCCGAACTGTTCCACACCAATGTTTTCGATGAGTGACAACATTCGTACGAATTGTGATTATTACCGTAAAGTGATCGTATTTAAGTTAGTTGTAAGGAACAAGCAGATATCGCTATATGCGGCTTACGATAAGTGTTGATGAAAGTCGGTCGAGTGATGAATTTCTACAGGTTTTGAAATAGTTTTCGATAAATTCGTATTATGTGGATGTTTGTAATATACCTGCTGACGAATGTGCAAGGTAATATTTTTTGTGTACACAAAACTTATGATAGGCTAAAGAGGGATCAATAACTTAATTGTATGAAAATGACTTACTTGTATTCATGTTATTAGATCTTGGGCGTGAGCATATTATATGGAGGGTTGGTTTCATGAAATTTGTGAAACGTAACGTTAAGATCTTGAGCGAAAGAAATCTATTTCAAACCTAAAGACAGTCCAATTGTACTTTATTGCTTTAAGTTTTTATTGTATAGCTATAAGTTAGTAAAAGACATGATAACTTATATTTACTTAGGATTTATTAGAGTTAATCACTTTAATTAGTTATGCTACTTATATTATTTATTCATATACACCCACATAAGTTGTGATAATAAATTAAAGTTTAAAGTTGCTTTATAAGTAGGGATGATAAAGTATGGATGATTTATGACTAGATATTGTTTTTGCGGCATTATCGGTTTGAGTGGATAAGTTTAATGTTCATGTATAGACAATCTACTAGACGTAGTTGCATAGTTAGATTAAAGCTCAAGTCGTTACTTATCTTTAAATTAAAGTAAATTATTATTAGTCATGACATAAAACTTCTTGTAATTTTCAAACTAAGTCCATGTAACTATAATTTATTTCATATAAACCATGAACATGCCTTGTATATTCGATGTTATATTTTTTGCCCGAACGAATATTAACTAATAAGAACAGAACGTGTGACGCCAGCTGTAAATATTGTATTGGTATTAAATAATTACACTTCTCAATACGCACTAAGTATTGAACCCTTTCGGTTACGTGAAATGTAATGTGTGAAATATTGTACTTTGTACTTACTAATTTCTTATTGACTGTAGAAAGAACAGTGTAACAATTAGGCATTTTGATTTTCAAAATGTTTTTTTTTCTTGTACATTATGTGCGTACCTCTTGACTCTTACAAAACTGTAAAAGATTTGACTGCGTTTGAATTATTAAGGCAAAGGCATTTTTTTCTTTCGTAATACATACCTACGTTCCTATCCATGTCCATGCTTTTTAAGGAGGCCAATAATTTAATCTCTTGATGAATGATAAATTATTTATAGTATTTCATAAGCCAGTTCAATTTTAATAGGTACCATCGACACAATGCCTTTTGCTTGTTAAAGACGTGGACCAACGAGTCAACTGTTTTGGAAAATAGATTTTATAACTTAATATTATAAAATAATTTGTAAGAAAAACGCGTTTTGGCTGTGCTTTGAATTCAAATTATCTATATTTAATATACATATGACGAGTAGTTAACGCATGATCAAAATTTTTAAATATGAATCATGATTTCAAGTTTGATCTAAACATTGGCATTGTCGCGATTGATGACAATCAATCAAAAATGTCTGATGCTTCTTTTATTAAACTTATCTAGAAACTGTTTATGCTACTGTAATGCATAATAATATTACGACGTAGGCAACGAGCTAATGCGTGTGACAACAATTTTAATTTCTAAAATTAAGAACGAAATCTCTTCTTCTTTATAATTTCTAAAATTAATAAGATTGTCGTTCGTTAAGTAGTGCAGTTATTTGTGTTATCCTAATGAACAGGCATTGAAAAAGTTAATTAATGAAACATTTAGTGGTCTACTTGTAAATTCACAAATACTTTTTCAAATCGATGAATCAGAAAACGAGCAATTTTATCCAGTATTCTTTAAATTATTCACAACGCAAATAATACTATTCAAATACGAAAGACTACATTTTGCGTCGCGTCGGCTTCTATGCTCGGTTCAAAATATTATGTAATTTTCAAAGTATACTTTTGTTCTCATAATATCCTAAAGCATAAATGATCTAATAAAAATGATCTTTATCGATTAATTACGTTAACCCGTTAAAATTTATAAATGTTATAAGAGGACCTAATACTACCATTCCTTAAAGAATAGGCTCGAAACACAGAGTCTTTGGCTCGTGGTGATACTAATTTAAATTTGCAAAGTTTTTATACTTACTATTTAATATGTAAGAAAAATTACATATCATTCGCTTTATAAGATACAATCTTGTACCTATTTAAATTACGCAATTTAAACCTGTTAAGCAAAGCTACTTTATTATGTATTCTATGCTGACTAGATTTGTACTATGTTATTATATTTGTTGAATACCTATGTAATTTTATTATATTAACGTTATACCTATACCAATATCTCAATATAAGTACATACAAGTACAAGCAAAGCATACCAAAGTGTTTGTTGTGTGGAATATCGAAGAAAATAATACCTAATATTATGTAGTGTTTTAAATAAACCATTGATTTTGTCCAGGTCTTAATTATTGTCGTTATTAAGTAAACATCAAAATGTGTGTGAATGGAAGACCAAGATAAAAAAAATCGCGTAGGTTCACAATATAATGAGGAGCATACTGTAAGCCTGATATAGGTATCAATAATTGTCAATAGCCACATCGCTATTAAGCAAGCATTCTTCATCAAAGATTCATGTAGCCAAGCTAATAAAATATCGGTGCTTATTTTTTTGAATCTGTAACATGTGCATTAGATAATTTATATTCGCTGCTAATACTTATATGTGTTTTACTGTTAAATTTATTTTAGATCAAATAAAATTAACAAATTACTTACTACAAGATATGATTTTGTGGTTTCCGTATTAGTTTTTACTCAATGTTATGTAGGGTATCTTGACTAGGTATACCAAATCGCCAAGAGATTCATTTTTACTGCAATTTTCTAGTTGAGGAGGAACCAATAATGCCTGTCGAGTTATTACGTAGGTAACATTGTGAATAAAATAATTTAAAATAAAAAGAAAATCAGATAATTGTCTATGTAACGAAAAAATTACCTGAAATTTTGATTTACAGTTTTTTTTGTGAAAAAGGCAAATTCTTTCTCGGACAGTGTAGGTATTGTCTTGAATAATGTTTGAAAAAATAAATACCAACGTGTGACAGATAAGTACCTAAGCACCTTGTCATCGACAACCCAAACAAAATCCACAAAAATCAGTCCATTTTCTTATATGTGAGTTCGAAGCAAAGAACTACGCAAATTATTTTTCTATTATTTTCAGAAAAAATATTAAGTCTATCATAGTTCGACTGATTTATCAAATCCAAAATATATTTTATATACATTTTCTCTCTTTTATAAAAATAACCGACTACGATTAAAGTTACCTACCTTTTTGAATATAAAATATCACTCATACAACTAGTAAATAATTGGAAGCTTCGCCCAATATGAGAGAGTAGGCTGAATGAGCCGCTTTAATACGAGTATAGGTAAAGTATATATCAAATAATATGTAAAGTACAATATTTATTAATATAATATAAACGTTAGGAAAATGTATTGTATCATAGGCGTGCTGTACCATAAAAACAATAATACATGTAGTGTCATTCTGATTTCTGCAAATATTGTTGCAGTTTACTTCAGCGTTAATTATAAGATTAACATAGATAACAAGCCAAGTTAATTTGTATTCTATACTCAGGTCCCTATTATAAATCTCAAAGTCCAACTGATCAAACGCAAGCATAGATACGATAGTGCATGGTTGGTTGACAAGAATTTCAATGCATATTTTCAGAGTTCAGAGGCTATTGATTTCGATTCAAACTTGGGTGCTGTTTCATAATACCGTTCTAAAGCAGTTTCATACATGTTTTCAATTTTAATCACCTAACCATATCTGTGGCTTTAAATAAAAAAACTGTGTAATCACATTGTAGCATACTCATGACATAACTCATACATTTATCATCATTATTTTGCATCAAATAGCCACCTATTTTTACATTATTGTAAAATAGATGCATGAAACATACTGCCGAAGTGCCCATTTATATTCACGCGTAATTTTAACTTATGTTAAAAAAGCGATCCCTTATTTAGAAATAAAATTAGTTAGGTAATTTATTAATAAATCGAAGCACGAAAAGACATTAGTGAGATAAAACACAAAGATAATCCATTCAGCGAAAATTTGAATGGATAGTATTTGTATAAGGTACTTAATTAACAATATTGTATAGTCACTACGTCACTGGTAGGCATGAATTTTCATCTAGAAATGCCTTCAAAACTTTGCTATTAAGTAGGTATACATAACTTATCGAAACTATCTCTAGGAAAGCACTCACGCTAGAAACTTTGTTTTGAGTTGTTGTCCATCCTTCTAAACGGTAAGTAGTGTAATCGAAATCGATATTATTTTAAATGTCTGGTGGGGGGGACTTTTTATTTTTGTCTCAACAAAAAATAAAAGGCTATGTATGTACCTATACAAAGTTAGGTACAAAAAAGAAAAATAGTTTTCCACTGGATTACTTTTCTACACACGTCTTGCTCTCAATGCACCAGTTTTAGTATGCTTTAGCTTAATCGGTGTCTTTCGGTTAGCATTAGGAAATTATTATTATTATTATATCTTTCAAAATATTTCAGTTCTCGTGTTTGGGTTAAACGTTTTCTTGTTTATTTAAATATACGTAAATGAGTTTATTTTTATTTAAAAATAAATAAATAATAAAATAAAGTTATGTGATCAACGGATAAACTAAATAAGTAGGTAAGTTACCTAAACAAAAGTTTTTTTATCATGGCCTTATTAGCGATGCCTCTACTTCTAAAATCTTGTGGTTAAACCTTATGTTGGATCCATCCTTGCATGATCCAAATTAATTTACAAATCAATTATGTACCTACTTACAATCTTAGATCGTAATTTAAGTACATACCTACGTAAGGATGTGTGTACATTGTACACTGACGTATTAAAATTTTCTAAGAAACATATTAAATCCGTCATGTAAAATTACTTATAACATAATTTTTAGAATAAACCTAAGCATATTGATATAATAATTATTGTGATCAAATTTGATCTGAAACGCTATCACTTACTAATTAAGTAGGTAGGTACCTACTCCGCAATATTAAATAGGTAACTACGTACAATACAACACGTATAATATTTTCCTCAGCTTTTCTCATAGAAATTCGTTTTGCTTAGAAAAGTTTATGAGTTTGCACTTTTGCATTTAACAAAAATTTTGTTGTTGGAACAACACCATGTTTTCAAGCTACTCATTTATTATTGTTTAAAACTATTAGAAACAACATGTGCATAATATGTTTTATACACGAGAAAATTTATGAGAAAAAATGGAAGAACACCAACTCGCATAGCCTTTGTAAATAAACCTGTCAGCTATGGCCGCCCGTTCGTATTTATACTTAGTGGCAATGTAAATAATTTTATTGTAAAATTTATGAATTAAATTTTCATCAAATAAAACACAAATTCAAACTATTGTGTGTATTATTGACTATACTACTAGTAGTGCTGATGAACGTGTATAAATAATAATGTGTTGGTTTTAAGGTACAAGTAATAAAATGGATATTTAAAATCCCAACTTCCCAACTAATATACAGTGTGTCCGGGCATGTAGTGATCAAACTTTAAGGGCGTAATTTATGGACAATTTTATCGATGAAAATACTTTAAATTTGGGGCTTGACCCATTTCTCGCATATTTACAAGGATTTAAGTTTTTAATTTTAAATTTTCACCTCTTCCTTCAAAAACAAGTGATAGCGTGGGTAGTTTAACATTAATAAGCAAAAATTTTATATCATGCGATAGCCAATAAAATTATCTATTAGTAGAATTAGAAAACAGATACAAGTTTCATACATTTTAAGGGTGTAAGAATGGATTTAATTAGAAATAAACATGATTTTTTTCACATCTTTTTCAGTTATTTCCCAACACAAGAAAAACCAGGTCGTTAAGGTATGTTTTATTTGCATTTTATTATTAGAGAGAAGACATTAGAATGAAAGCTAAGCAGCAAATACTTCAGGTACAGGAGGAAAATAGGAAGACTTTCAATGAGAAGAGGAAACCAAGTTCTCAATACAAAGAAGGAGATTTGGTGGCCATAAAGAGGACTCAGTATGGACCGGGTTTGAAGCTGAAACCTAAGTATCTAGGACCGTACCGGGTGACGAAGGTTAAGCGGAAAGATCGTTACGACGTAGAGAAGGTGGATACTGCTGCTGAAGGGCCTAATAAGACGTCCAGCTCAGCTGATCAAATGAAGCCGTGGCCTAATTAGGTAAAGTATCTTGCTATTTAAATAAGAGGTGATGAATGAAAGGATTTGTAAATTAAAAACCACTTTTATTACAATTGTTAGGTCATTCATTATTGTATATTTTATTTCACTAAAATGTAAAGTTTATCATAGTTCATGTTTCACTTACTGATTAATTATAAAGATGAACAATATTTCAGTTTTATAAACATTGGTGTGTTTAGAACTTGAATATATTAAGACTTGATATTGAGTAACCTGAAATTAAAGATTTCAAATTATTTCTATAAGATTAATAAATAAGATGATATACACTATCTTAGATGTAAAGTGTTTAAGACTAAGTTGAAAGATTGATTTATAATAAGATGATAACTGTGAAATTAATAAATAAGATGATAGTCAAAAATCTAAAATGTTAAGGATTTCATGTAAATTGTATAAGAATAGTAGTTTACCGTTAGATGTTTATTTGGGTAGGTAGTTATTTTCAAAGTTTGCTTTGTGTAAGAAGTTAAATGTAACATAGAGTTTAAATTTGGAGCTATTGGATGCTTGAATAAGTTTTTATTTACAAAGTTAGCTATGTATAAAGTTTAAGATGTTAGGAGATGTAACTAAAGTTTAATGAGTTGAGTATTTACAAAGTTTAATGATGTTTAATGGAAGTTAGTGTTTGTAGCCTAAGATTGTCTGAGGACAGACAAAGACAGGATTGCCGAGAGTGTAGGATTGTAACATCTATGGCGTAAATACTCTATTGTTTTAAACTCTTTGGATGAACGAACGAGTGTGAGCGAGACGAACATATGGAGGGTGAGAGGGAAGGAAGGAAAAGGGTCATGGCGGCAAGACGGTTATGAGTAAAGTGTGGCTCTGTATTTTATAAAAGAAGATTAAACATATTATTGGAAGAAACTGATTTTCCTTGCGAAGCCCCGTCCCTACATATATTTCGTCATCACCATTAACATAAGATCATTACCATTTTAATAAAATCATTACCATTAGGAAAACGTCATTACCATTTTGTGAAAAAATATTTGGACGCTTGTTACTTCTAAAATCACGATTGAATCTAAGGGCCTCACACTGATCTAAAAAGCTTATTGCTTAACCTTTCAGTTTAAGCTAGTTTGCACGCATCCCTGTTAAGTTTTTCAAAAAACGTAAAATAAATCCCGCGGAATAAAATCGGCGGATCTACCCGGGACACAGGTTCTCGTTGTAGTTACGCGCGACTTCATATCTATTCTCTTTCTATGATCTGAGGTTGTAGCCGATAACAGAGGTGAGGGCTATGTGTAATGATTTTACGTCACCTTAACTTAAACCGGTGTTTTTGTATAGAGTTTGATAGACTTTTGAAGTTTGTTATAGTTAAAGAAAGATGGTACAACTCAGCCTTTTGCTTTAATGTTTTAAAGGCAATAGCGGAGTGGATTTTTATGAACCAGTTGCTATAAGGTCTTTCTCATTTCTGCTATCAGACAATCCAGAAAGTACCTACCTATTTCATATTTTTTTAGAGAAGTTGGAGCTTTTTGAGTCAATATCCCAATGTCTATTGATCTTAGATCATTAAGAGATAGTAGCCATTATCAGTTTTCAATACATAATCGAGATCAAAAGCGAGGCGAATGAATGAGCTAACTGAGAGGATCTTACGAAAGGATTACTTAAATAAAGATATGATGTGAATAGAATTCAAACAAATACAGGGTGTTAGGTAAATGGGTATATGAGCCGACACTAGCCCATGTTAACACGGTCATATAAATGGTATGGTGAAGTCAGAAAATTGATATCTTCATTTTAATTATTTCAATTTTCATACAAATCGGATTTTATAAAAAACTAGCTGACCCGGCGAACTTCGTACCGCCTTAGCGTAGAGATTTTCTTAATATTTTTTTCCGTAAGAACCATCCTTGGACTTCCACAAACATTTAAAAAAAAGAATTATCGAAATCGGTTCAGCCGTTCACACGTGATGCCGTGACAACGCGAAACGGGTTTCATTTTTATATATGTCGGAGCGTCGGGCTCTCGGACGGCACCAGAAGAGTCTCTCATTGAATTCATATTATCTACCTATGTGGGCCTATAGGGAACACGTGCGAGTGGACACTAACACTAATTATAATCACTGATTATAAACGACTAACTTTACTATAGACTAGAATGTAAAGACTGGTTCGTAATTTAATCAATATTGTCCACAGTTAAATTTAACAGAAAGATCAAAGTTACTGAATTACTTTACCAAAGCTAGAGACGCCTAAATTAAATAGATTGGGAGCGATTGACGAATTTGTGAACCACGCCCAGTCACCACCACGTCCAAAACCCGAATGTGCAATGACTCTAAGACTGAGTCCCAGAATCTCCACGTTTCAGGGCTCTGTACCTGAAGTTTTTGTAAAGCTATTAATCCATCAATACTGCACTTGAACGGGTTCACAACTACGTCAGGCAACATGGAGATTTATGTCACCTTCGTTCCCAGGCGCGCACTTAACTCTGGCATAAGAGCTTTGGCGCTGCTTAAAATTCCATAGCAATAAACTAGCTAACACATTGAAAGTGTTGTGAGAACTATAACATTAAGTTATTTAATTTATTGCGCCCCGCGCGCCGACACGGCGATCCTGACTCTCACACGTCCTCGTGTGGATCAGCATTTAAGTCGTCATGTAATATGACAACCTCACTCATGTAACTTAAAGTACCGTTCGGCTATCCTACAATACCACTATGAGTAGGAAGGTGCATGTCAGTAAAATGTCAGGTCTCCACAGATTCAAATCAAAACTACAAAGTTTTCAACTCAGTCAAGAACAAATCTAGTTTCAACTAGAATCTTAAAGTTATTTCAACCAAAACTAAGGCCAAGGTTAACGTAACTAATACCCGTGACACACTGTCACGCGCTATCGGAACACATCCGACCATCGGAATCACCATCCGATACCACCAGCACTCACGGCCAGTCACAATGGCACTCACGGCCAATCACCATCGGTACTCACGACCGATTTTTCTTGACCAAAACCAATGGACTACTATATTCAGAGTGACTTACGCGTATTATGTCCTTTTCTAACCATTCTGCAATCTGTTCCTCCACAATTTCCTGCTCCTTAAGTGCCAGTCGTCGCGGTCGTAGTGCTACAGGTACCTCATCCTTAAGCACAATCTTGAGCTGCAGTGGTGCTTCCTCCGTCTGTTCCGGTTTGTATTTCTGTATGCACTCGATGACTTCCTCACTCAAAGCTGGATCTTTCATAGGACCTACAACAGAATTAGATGAACATACTTCACTCACATAACATCCCAGTCGTTCCCATTCTTTAGTATAAAACTTTACACAACCCTTTTTAATCACAACTGTTACGTCATTCAAAAACTCTTGTCCTAGTATTACGTCGTAAGGTACATATTCTTTGTTTATTACATGAAATATTACGTCTAAATAATATTGTTCGTCTACGCACAGGTTTAGGAGACACTTCCCCAACGAATGCACTGTTCCTTGTCCAATTCCAGATAGCACCAAATCATCTTTCTCACATTTGGGCTTTCCCAACTCGATGTAAACGTCCTCTGATATGATATTCACGTCGCTGCCGGAGTCAACTAACGCTTTTTGCTGTATTTCATTCATTGTCAACACAATAACCGGCTTTTTCTCCTCCGTTTTGTTGATCTGAGAGGTTGACAATGTTGACATCTCGTCGTAAACAAATGTCGCCATCTTTGGTTCGTCGTCGTTCGTACTGGAGCCGCTAGGGGCGCTGCCTTCTATGGAGTTTGACGTAGTGAACATCGTCCGCGTCTTGTCATGATGTTGGTAGTCTTGTAGTTCGTTCCATAGCTCACCGCTAGAGACGCCGCAGTCTCGAGTGATGTCAGCCGCGAACATAGCGCTCTTCTTTTGTCTGTGGTCGTCTTGCCGAGATTTACCGAACTCCTCCGAAGTCTTCCGATTCGCCGTCGCAGTCGAAGTGCAAGCCGATCCAACATGGCCGAATTGGTTGCACTTGAAGCACTTCATACCTTTGCTTTTATGCGGGCAATCAGTTGATGCATGTCCAGTCTCTCCACAGCTATAGCACCGAATCTTCCACGACCCTCGTCGATCACTCTGCTGCTTGCTTGTACTCACCGCACGCCTCTGCTGCACAGCACTCTGCATCTTTCTTGATATCGTTTCATAGATTTTCAGCTTCTCCTTTAAATCGTTATAGGTTGTAACACCGTAAAGCATGATCTTGTTCGTTTCTACGTCCACGATTCCGTCAACGATGTATTTAATCGCAACGTAGTCCGGCATCTTNTGAACCGGCGAACTTTGTTCCGCCTTAATGGCAATAAATAAGCAGACTTTTTTTTAATTTCGAACGGGATAAAAAGTATCCTATGTCCTTCTCCTAGCTCTAAACTACCTCCCTGACAATTTTCAGCTAAATCGGTTCAGCCGTTCTTGAGTTATAAGCGAAGTAACTAACACGACTTTCTTTTATATATATAGATTATATATATATATATATATATATTATAAATGCGAAAGTAACTCTGTCTGTCTGTCTGTCTGTCTGTCTGTTACGCTTTCCCGCTTAAACCTCGCAACCGATTTTGATGAAATTTGGCATAGAGATAGTTTGAGTCCCGGGAAAGAACATAGGATAGTTTTTATCCCGGTTTTTGAAACAGGGACGCGCGCGATTAAGTTTTTCTGTGACAGACAAAATTCCACGCGGGCGAAGCCGCGGGCGGAAAGCTAGTTAAGTATAAAAAGAATAATACTTAATGCATTCATTCCTATTTTATGTAGTATCACTCTAAGAAAGCTTAAAATACCACTAGGTAAGTAGGTACCTACTGGTATTTTACGTATGGTAGTACCTACTTAATTAATATAAAATTAATTCTTATATATAGGTACAGTCCACAGCACATCAAGCTATACATTTTCGTTGCAAAGTCGCCCCTATCGCAACTACGTAAGATACCACAGTGTTTACGTTGGCGTTGACGTGCTGTTGACCGTACATATTATAGTGAAATAACATTATTTAGGTAGGTACATATTGTGCGATGTCGAAGTCATTGGGGGAGGCAGCGAACGCCTGTAGCTGAAATGATGATGATGAACAGTACCTACTTAATAAGTATAATAAAGTCAGAAAGGCAAAATACCTTATTTTACAATCACTCGCGTACCTACCTTTCTTGGACGGGACTTTGATGGGGAATGCCTTCCTTTAATTCTCACTTTTCCATGTTTTTCTTTGATTAGTGTGGCCGATGTGTATTTATGGCACTAAACTTACGCAGGTAGTACCAGGTAGGACTATTCCATATTCACCACTATAAACTAATTTAGAAATTAGAAACAAACAAACCCCGTTTTTCGTCTCTTTTCGAATCCCGCATTTACCGCGCCGCGCCAACCTCCTTTTTTTTTAAACTAGCTGACCCGGCGAACTTTGTTCCGCCTTATTATAATGGCAATAATTAAGCAGACTTTTTTTTTTATTTCGAACGGGATAAAAAGTATTCTATGTCCTTCTCCTGGCTCTAAACTACCTCCCTGACAATTTTCAGCTAAATCGGTTCAGCCGTTCTTGAGTTATAAGTGGAGTAACTAACACGACTTTCTTTTATACATATACAGGGTGGCCAAAACAGTGAGGTCTAAAAGAAAAATTTAGATTCCTTACATCAAGGTGTACCTAAATCACCCCCATGTATATTATACGATTGTGCTTAGTTTAGGAGATATAGTTAATTTTGTGATATTTTAAAATTTTATGACCTAGTAGGCTTTAAACATTTTTATCTTTTTTTTGGGTTGACTTTTTTCAGATTCCTTTTTTTCGACAGATATGTTATGAATTGCGGATGTTTAAAAAAAAAAATTCCGTTACATGNAGAAGAAGGTTTTACGAAGATTTTTTTTGCGTCGTTGTCGAGTGTGCATTCAGGTCAACGGCGGACATTATGAACATTTACTTTAAAATAAATCATTACTTCCATTTTTGCTCTCTCTCTCTCTCTCTCTCTCTCTCTCTCTCTCTCTCTTTATCTCTCTCTCTCTCACACACACACACACACACACACTCTTTCCCTTTCTCTCACACTCTAATATGTAGGTATAGGTGTACCAGAATCTCATGGCAAATAAGTAGGGAAAATAAACTTTGTTGAGAGCAATACTGGGGAAATTGGAATAAACGATCTTGATACTATTTAATTTTTTACTTTATGACTTTAATATTAATGAACATGAAGTACGAATATACATTTTAGGTATGTATGAGTATGAAGAATGTTGTTATAAATAAATCGTATATTACTTATAGTAACTAATTTTATTATGCACCATACTTAACTTATCACTTCATTCAGAACTAGAAAACGATTCTAAGAACTCTACTTGCATTTCTTGTTCTTCAATAGATGATCAAGATAAAGAGGTGTTGTAAATAAATTGTTCTTCCAACATTTCAATGGAGAAGTTTCCTGATGTTAAAAAAAACTATATTTCACTGAATGTCATTAAAATATATACCAAAACTAAAAAGACGGTGAAGTTTTTTTTAAAATCGATCCAGAAATGTCTGGGAAATTAAATAAATTATAGCCTGACCAGGAACCTAAAAACCCGGGCATAGAGGNTCAGTCGATTTATCTTATTGTAATTAGGTAGGTACTTTGAATTCAATAAATAAGTAAGTACATGATGCGTTTTGTTTTTGTTAGTTATAAAATAATTAAAAACGTATTAAAAATTTCCCTACTTTCGGGAAAATCGCCTTCACTGTCTACACTCCCCAACAAAATTGACACTAATGACATAAGATTTTTGCCTCACTCTTGACGAAGCGTTTGTATGAAGACTATCCATCTAGGTTTTATTAATCTAAGCCCCGAATGACTGTCGTGCGTGAATACACCGATCAAAACGGCGTGAATAGTTATGCGTAACTTTAGGGCCCTGTAACTTATTCATTTGTAGAGATATTTTCATGATTCTTTCACAATTATTATTAGTTTTACTTATATTTATTTCAAGTTTATTTAAAAGAAAAAAATTGGAAACTTCTCCATTATTCAATCTTGCTTGATGAAATCTTTTTCAATTTTCTTTACATGGTCATAACATTTTGACCATTCCTCTGCACCAATTTGTGAGATATACTTGAAAACATCGATAAAGCAGCTATTAAGTAAGAATAAAAAAACATAACCCTCCTTCTGACGCAGTTGGGTAATAAGCTAAATGTATCAAACATTTCAGTCCAACTCACTGTCAACTCGACGGCGCGTTTAGAATTAAAGATTGACTTTGAATTATGCCTTATTTTACAATTCACATTGAAAACAATATGACTTACTTGAGCTTTTTCGACTTTTTCACAAAAATAACAAATAGTCTTCTTCTTCTTCTTCTTTTTTTATGGCAACGGCTTGGTTTTGAAAACCATGATTTCGCCAATGTCACGTAAACAGTTTTGACAAAGTAACAGGGTTTACAAAAAACGAAGAGATTACAAAATTTTTGCAGCGACTGACAGATGTCATAATTTTCTTTGACAGGTGACAATTAAACCATAGACAATTGCCATATGAAAAACACACTTTTCCAATATTTTTGTTTGCCATGAGATTCTGGTACACCTATAGTTATATCGAATTTAATCGTAAAGTAACAACCACCACTGTGGTCTAGTGGTAAGGCCACCTATTTAGGACAGCCAATTCCTCTGTGGTTTAGGATTTCGAGTGAAGCTCGCTGATCATCCATCAGTTTTCATCAGGTCAGATAAAGGGCAAGAGATTCCTCGTTGTGGATAAAAAAATGTTCTGTTCAGTTATTGTCTTTAAATGTGTTCTAAGTAACGTAAACTTAGAGAATTGCAATCATTAGTTGGTCCTAAGAAAGTCAAAAACATGTAACGGAATCTCCGACTTACCACATTAGTGGAGCGATTACAGAAAATAATGGCCTATTAAGTACATGTTTTTTTGTGTTATTATGAAAGTTCAGAAAACTGCGCAGTTTTTAAAATTATTTTGGACCTATGGAATTTCTTCTTTTTTTTTTAACTTTTAAGTTGAAAATTTTAGAATGTTCCGCTAATAGCATATTTTTTATGTTTCTAGCAAAAATTTTGTATCTTGCATCAAAGATAGGAAGTTGATTATTTTTTTCAAAAATCTGCAATTAATAGGGAATCTGTCAAAAAAAAGAAATCTGAGAAAAGTCGACCCGAAAAAAAGATAAAAAAATTTAAAGCCTACTGGGTCATACAATTTGAAAAAATCACAAAATTGACGATAACTTCTAAACTATGAAAAATCGTAGAACATACATGGGGGTGAAATCGATAGGTCTAGTCCTCACCTATCACCTGCCTTCGGCTTGACACCTTACAAGAAACACCCTGTATAATAGATAAACAGCCTACGAAGCATGAAGCTAAAGATAAAAATGGAGGCCACACTTGGAACAAAAACTTGAGTCAAATACCTACTTATCTCTATCTCGGTCTCTGTGGGCCGACCTCTCTTTTTAGTGTGGTCTGTAGTATTGCTATCTCCTTATTTAAATCTCCTAGTAAATTCTTCGAAATAGCCATAACCAAATCAGAAGTTAGACAAATAAATAGTTAAATATTTGAACTACGATTACCTAGTTAAATTAAAAATCTCAAAATTGTCGGCCGTTTAGGCTTAATGTGTTGGCGAATCAGGGAATTACAATCCCAATTCCTGAGGAATCGGTACCATGTGGCAACATCGGCCCAATCCGGCCCATCATGGCGGTTGTTTACCTACTATTTTGTTTACTATGCAGTTAATTTCGTTTGAGATTTTTTACAGGACCTAATTTTTTACAGGATTTTTTGTTTATTTATAAAGAGAGAGTCTGCCCACAGAGAGCGAGATAGTGATACATAGGTTGTGCTTCAAGTAGGTAGTCGAAGTGTGGCCTCCATTTTATCTTTAGCTTCGTGCTACGAAGGAAGTATTTTACGATACGATATGATACGATTGCAATACGACTCACCCTCCATCTACTAGTTATATTATCTTTGCATTACCTGCTGTTTTATCTGTGGTGTATAAAGTGACAACAAGACAGACAGCTGTCAAGAAGTTTTTGAAGTTTACACACGCCGAATTTTATTGCCGATTGGAAATAAATAAATTGATTTCTTTTCATGAAAATACTTCTGATTGTATTATAATAAACAAAATGAAAGTCGTTTATTTTCTAGTATTGATAAGTTGTATCACAATATCTGAGAGTGTCTTACAGAGTGTGAGTGATGATGATATTTTGCAGTTGATCAAAGATCATGAAAAACTTATTGTTTTCTTCAGTAAGTGTATCATTTTATTCTTTAAATCATACATTTGCGTATCTTAGTAATGGAATCATTCACCATAATGTATTGAAACCCTTGTAAACGGGACTCGCAACCTAAATTGTTGTATTGTACATTTACAGCAAAATCAAACTGTCCATTGTGTACAAAATTTGAGGAGCACATTGAAAGTTTGCACGAAGACTTCGAGAAACATCTGAATGCATTTACTGTAAAAGCAAGCAATAGCCATTTAGTGAAGCTTTACAGCCCAACCAAAGAACCAGCTATTGTATTCTTCCGACATGGGATACCAATGTTATACAATGGTAAATATGTGATAAAGTAGATGTATATAACTAAAAGTTAAAAGTGCAAAGTAATTCTGTTTGTTATGTACTAAATTATTGTCATATTTTTAGGTGAGGCTGATGAAACTGCCATATACACTTTCCTTGAGGCAAATCAATCACCGGCAGTGAAAGAAATGACCGATAAGATATTTGAACATATGACTCAAGCCGCTACTGGTGCTACCACTGGTGACTGGTTTGTTATGTTGTAAGTATGTTATTCAAACTATTACAAGCTTTTAAAGATCTAAAATAATAAAGAATAAGACAAATTTGGTTTGAAATAAGCACCAAGTGCAAAAATATTTTTTATTTTCAGTCTTAATACAAAATTAAACATTTAGTTAATTCTTTTTGTTATTATTTTCAGTTATGGGGCATCATGCGTTGAGTGCCAGAGACTTCACGCTGTATGGGAAGGAGTAGGAGCGACATTACGTGGTCGCATCAATGTGGCCCGTGTAGATGCCAATTTGGCAGGAATCAACACAGCCAAAAGATTTAAAGTAACCAAGTTGCCCACATTCTTATTGTAAGTATAAAATAGCATTACTAGCATAGTAACACCTGTATTATTAATTCAAAAGATGAAATTACTGAAATGTATAGCTATTGTTTTATTCATTATTATTTCAGCTTCAGACATGGCAAGATGTACAAATATGATCTACCGAAGAATGATATAAAATCATTTGTGTCATTTGCTCAAGACTGGTACAAAAATGCTAAAAGTGATAATGTTCCACTTGTGCCATCTCCATTGTAAGTATTTTTATAATTAAATTTCAAATATTGTTGGTACCTTCAATATTTTTCTATTTGTGAATACCTAACATTTTTTTTAATTTTCTTTTCAGTGATGATGTCGTAGATTGGTGTGTAGAAATGATAAGATTTTGGGTCACTTTTGGACTGGAAATACTAGCGAAATATCCCTGGATCTGGCAAATTGGTGTGGCTGGATTTGGCCTTGTAGCCATAACAGCTCTTATAGCCCTGGTAAAGGCTGGCAAAACTAAACCAGTCAAAGAAACTAAAAAAGACAAGAAAAGTAAATAATGCTATGCTATAAATAGTTATAGAATATAGATTCTATTAGCATTATTTAAAACTTTTGCTCATGCATTTACATTTTGATATTTTTATAGTTACTTTATTTATATGCTGTACAGACTTGATTTTTTATATATTTTGGACTGTTGTATTTAAGTTATATTGTGTATTGTTTTCACATGGTGAATAAAACTTGGTTTGATCTATCAAAATATTTAGGCAATAGGCTAGTTGCCTAAAAAAATTTTTTTAGTCCGTAATGTTTAATATCAAAAAATATTGGACACATATATTTTTATTTGTCAATCTTAACAAATAATTACATAGTTATGGTGCGTTGAAGTTGCGCACGACGTCACAACGTGCGGCATTTTTAAGCAAGCGTTGACGTCACGGGCCTCTTCTTATGAACTTTGGGGCGCTTTATCTCTTTAAATTTTCATTAGTTTGAAAAAGTGAAAAATACGTGTAGAGTATTTTTTTATAAGTTAACTGACGGACTAATTAAAACTCTTACTTTTTGACCCAGGCAACATCCCCATTCCGTCCAAAAAAAGAGTTAAATATAATTTGAGAAATGTAAGAAATGATCTCTTTAAATATTGTGTTGAGGTGTTTTTGATTATTTCATAAATATCTATGTATTGTATAACTTGTTGTGCGTTGGACTCTTAATATTCCTCCTTCTGAAGGAATATTAACTTTATGGTTGGACTTTCTGTGAGCCTTCAAGCAGATTATAAATAAATAAATAATAATAAAACAATCCATGTTATTTAAATATTTATTATAAAATAAATAAATGTAAAAACAAGTTTTTTTTTCTACATTTACCACACAGTGTTTGCCTCTGCAACTTAAAAAACTAAAGTAGGTACTTAAATTGGTCACAGCTTTTAAAATATTAATTTAATATATTTTATTTAGATCCCTTGATATAACTAATCTCATTGTCAATTACATATTATTTACTTCATACAGACATCAACATCATCACATCTAAATATAATAAATTATGCTAAAGAAGAAAAGAATGAGGTACATTCATCTATTTCACACAACATCAAATTACATGAAACCACTAAGAAAATTAACAATGAACCCTGCCTGAGTATCAGATTATTATAACATGATTTTCCCCTAATACCTGTAAGCTACACACACACATGCATTGAACACCAACTTTGTAGTGATTAAGACAATACAAATTACATTAAAAACTGAACCTACAGTGATACATTTGGAAATTATTAGGTTAAAATGTGTTAAATCAAATCTACACATTCAAGTGCTTGTGCCAAAGCTGACCAGTAGCAAATACTGAAATATTTACCAGAAGAGTACTAAATCGATTAATAAATAAATGCTTAGAAATTGTTTTCATGTTAACTTGTTGATAACATGAAACTTATCTATACAGTATCAATTTCAATATTTATTCTAAAGACTGTTGAAGGGTCTGCAAGCTCAGTTCTGATTGCATTCTCAAACTTTTTGAAAATTATTGAAAATTCCATAATATCTTGAGGTTTTGATTCTATCCACATCTTATCAAATTCATAGAATAGGTAGCAATAGAACCTATGGAATAAATTAATATTAGGTAGTTGTCTTTTAGCATTAAACATGTAAGTCTTAGCAGAACCATCCTTTAAAAGGTAGTAAGCCATTGATGTCAGGTTGATTCCCACAATAGCAAAGGTGTATCCATACTTTGGATGTAGTGAATGGCTTAAAACATGACTTGACGCCTGTGGATATTCAGTTGCAAAGAACAATAGGTTCTCAAGGCCCAGAATACCCATGCCTCTAAAGTCGGTTTTAGGATCATCACCCTGAAAGAAACAAAAAGATTATGAATTCAGCATTAATTAAGCATTATCTTTAAGTGAAAATGAGAGAAACAATTGATTTCAATTAGGTACCTGAAATCCTATGTGCTGCCATTGTTTAGTTACTCGTTTTTCGAGTTTATCATTTGGTACCAACAATTCCCACAATCTGATCAATTTTTCTTCATGTTCAGTGTTTGCACTATCAAACTGTATCCGACGAATATCTTCTACTTCATCCATTAAATACCTATAGCTCCAGATTTGTTCCATGCATTGTCTCAAGGAAACTACGAAGGAGCCATGAAGTTTAGGGTTTATTTTCTTTACTCTCATCACGACCGATATTGAAGGATCGAGGATTTCTCTGAAATTCTGCGGCACGAACCGTCGTTCATAAACAACTGTATCCAAGTATGAAACAACTTCTTTAACACATTGTGTGCGTGATAACATCAGAGATCTTTCTACACCACATGCCCTCGCTGCACCAGCTTTCTCGCCGTAACATATTCGTTGTAACTCACATAATCGTGTAGTTTTTCGCAGAAACCATTTTATTAGAGGCCTTAGATACCATTGTAAAACAGACCAAATATTGAACACTATCATTTTTCTCTCCAATTAAACCTTGAAGCAAAATTGCATTTCGAAACTTCGATTTTTTATTTTCGTTTTGTTGAACTTCGCCCGTTGTCATGACATTGTTTGGTGCTTACTTTTTGACACTGACAGCAGCATGCGCTATTTTTTTTAGATAGAAGATTGAGTACCATGATGAAGCTAAAGATAAAAATGGAGGCCAGACTTGGACTTGGAACAAAAACTTGAGTCAAATAAAATACCTACTTATCTCTATCTCGCTCTCTGTGGGCCGACCTCTCTTTTTAGTGTGGACTGTAGTATTGCTATCTCCTTATTTAAATCTCCTAGTAAATTCTTCCAAATAGCCAATTCACTAACCAAATCAGAAGTTGAACAAATAAATAAATAAAATAAATTTACTTAGAAAGAGAGAGTCTGCCCACAGAGAGCGAGATAGTGATACATAGGTTGTGCTTCAAGTAGGTATTTGGAGTGTGGCCTCCATTTTTATCTATAGCTTCATGTTGAGTACTCAGACCGAAAAACAAAACAAGATGTTTTTTTGTCTATGTCGCGCAGCGGGAGTTGAGGCGTTCAACAATGCAAGACAAAGGTTGTTTTTGTATCGGTATTCGCTCGCCACACAGCTGACACAGCACAGCATGCTGACGTCGCGCGTCCTGGCAAAATGTGATTGTATTAATTTCGAAATGCCTTCGCTTAAACGTTTTTTTTGTATGTAGTATTAGTATATAGTAGTAGTAGTTCCATGAAATTATAATATCTCTGCCATTTATTTTTTTCTAAAATAGTTATATGTCAATGTCAATGTCATTGTCACATCTGTGAGGTCCCTTGGATCGGTGTAGAGCAGCGAGATACTTGTATTTATTTATATTTATTTACCAAAGGTGTGTGATTGTCTTGTATTCGTTTATTTGTACAAAGGTATCCTGTCATTTCTGAAAATATTTGTGTCTGGTTTATTTCATCAAGAAAAGTCTCAAAACTAATCAGGTGAAGGCTATCGGATAATGTATGCATTTATGTATTTTGTGTTCAGTTGTATTAGAATGGACAAGATTACCTTGTATAGGTTCGATCTAACAACCAAACTGCGCTGACTCAGTTCTATTTATACAAATTACAAGCGCATACGATGCAGTTTCACGTCTGTGCTAATAATTCCTTTAGATGAAAATAAGGTGTGGTGTGAGTCATAAACAGTGCTCGGGAATTCGGGAAGGTTCCTAATTTTGGTTCGTTTTTCTCAGTAGTAAAGAAAAATGGCAGACCCTGTTGAAGAAAAGGTGGTAATGACTCCGAAATGTAAAACAGAAACGTCCACCATCCTTGTGGTCGAAAGGAAGGCAGTCGAAGCTGAGGCCAGCGATAAAACCCATGTTGCTGGCGGTGACCACACGGGACTAATTATAAATAAGGAAAAAGTTTATGGTAACTATGATTTATAAGTTAATCAAATGCATTTATTATGTTTATTATAGAATTAGAACCTACACAAATACATTTATATAGTCAAGGACGGCCTTATCAGTTGACCATGTTTATTTGAAATTCAGTATTATATTCTGGATGTTAACCTAAAATGAATGTTTAATATTGATTAAAAGTTGAAAGCTTAACCAAGTCTTGTTAGATTTTGAATGTTTAAAGTCACTAGATATTATTATATTGAATATAAATAAAATATAGTTCTACTTTAGTTGTATACTGTTTTACTGAATAATAATTAGCTTAATGTGACTTATGATCAGATAAAAAATAATAATTTGATCATTAATGCCAAAGATTACCTCTTACAAAGTTACTATCAAATAGGCTCTATGTAACATTATTAATGAAGCAGATAATATTCATGTATGTGTATGACTAATTACAGGACAATGGCATTGTCTCAGCTTTATCTGTAATTGAACTCATTAAGCATTAATTGAGAGTTCAATCTTCAGCCTTGTATTTCTTGTACTTGTGTTCTATGTAGATTTACAGTTTCTCTTTAATATGGAAATCAATTATGAAGATTTTAGACTAGAGTTCTTACTTTTCTTTAACTTATTGTATGTTGTATTTACAGAAAATGGAGTCACAGAACCTTGCCATGCTCAATTGGAATTTTGGGTGTACCTCGTATCTGTAGCCAATGGATCACACACCAGAGAAGCGCGGGCCCTCAGATTCTGGTTCAAACCACAAACACCCCCTAGTGAAAGATCCCATGAAGCCCAAGCCTTTTTCCGAGAGCTTGTGAGCCCACAAGACTTCCCTAAAGGTATGTGTAGTTTTGAATTCATATTTTTGGAAACAATACATCTCTACAATACATCACACTCTAAATTGACAAACTTATAAAGAGTAAATAAAACATAATCAGTACAATGTTTTATAAGGCATCTGTTTTCAACCAAATTAGAAAGTATGCTACACCATTATTATGAAGTATGGAGCATATAAATGAGCATAATGTTAATGGTCGGCCATTTGGTGTAGTGGTTCAGAACGGACTACTATGCCGAGAGGTCCCGGGTTCGATTCCCGGCCGGGCAGAAATTGAAATGATGAATTTTAATTTCTGTGACGGGTCTGGGTGTGACTATGTATAATATTTATGTATTTAAAAAAAAAGTATATAAGTAGTATATCCGTTAAGCTAGCACCCATAACACAAGCATTAAGTTGCTTACTTTGGGGCTAGCTGGCGCTGTGTGAAATTGTCCAAAGATTTAGATTTATTGTCCAAATTGTCCAAAGATTTAATGTTAATGGAAACGTTATTAATGTCAAAATATTATCTTGTTTTCAGATTACGTTGGATTTATAAAGAAGATCATGAAATTGATGCAGCATAAATACCACCAACTGAAAATCCTGGAAATAGAGCTAAGACAAGAGGGCAGGAGAACACCACCACCTGGTTGGTATTATATTTATTCCTTATCAGCCTTTTTTAATCTGGCCATATAAAAAACCACTTAATTTGGGAGATTCTAAACTTTCATGTTTTATCTAAATGCAGGCACTTAAAAGTCTTAAAATACTGTTTTTCATCAATGAATAAATTTTTGCCAGAATTCAGTGCGTCAATACTAGAAATTTTAAAAATAAGTCAAACAAATATTATGAGATTTTTATTTAAATGCTATAATTACAATTATAATTATTATAATAAATATGTAATTAAAATAAATATCAAATGCCTATATTTTATATTAGAAACCCATTATTTTGTGTAATTTAATATTTTATTTACTGTATATACATATTGTTACTAATTTATTCTATAGATATGTATTTATTAATTCTATCGTACAGAAACCAATGGCGTAGTCACGAGTAAGGGTGTCGTATACAACTATTGTAATGGGTGTATGTATTTTATTATGTTGTAGTGCATGTCCATTTTATTCTAATCAGTATGTATCTATCTAAAGCCTGGTCCGTCAGCACGTAGAATTTTGTCCTATGACCCCAAGCTACCCATCCTTATCGCTCGCGCGTAATTATGTTGCTATCGCATTCGCACACTCACTGCGGGCGCCCCGTCGCAACAGCATAAGAATGGGTAGCTTGGGGTCATTGGACAAAATTCTACGTGCTCACGGACCAGGCTTTAATTGTTCTTATTATTTTAAATAACAATCTATCTCTCTATCTAAACTCTAACTAGGATTTCTTGAAGTGTGCCTTGTATTTCGTAACAACTTTATATTTCCATTTTGTAGAATAGAATGTGTGGGATGTGTAACAAATATTTTGAACTGGCCTCTGAGGAAGTGTTCATTCATGTAGATTTAGATTTGCAAAACAAATATTGTGTGTCATTACTTCCTGTTTTTTATTTTTGGATCTATGAATCGCTGTGTCATTTCGGCATCTCGAAACGAATCTAGATCCGAAAATATGGAAACGACTTAGTATAGGGAGTAGCCCTGAAAAGAAAAATTAATTAAATGTGTATTAGATTACTATCAGTAATATTAATTCTAATAATATTCCATTTAGATTCTTTAGCACCAGAACATTTAGCTGTATCAAATAACTTTACTAATAAATCTATCTCATATCATTTCTTTACAATCATTTAGTGCTAGAAACTTTATTTCTGCAAATATAGTTTAGTACAAGATAACTTTACGTATTGTTCGAAGTAGAATAGAAGTATCATTAGTAAATTAAAATAATAATCTCACCACAGGAGATTGGGTCATACTTACTCCATTTTGAATTGGGTTTTAGTATTTTAGAACAAGTAAAAAGTAAATAAAGTAAACTTATAGTATTATATTATTACTTATAACTTTTGTAACTTCTTATGACTATATTTCTTTAAAGTAGTTGTAGTAGTAATAAAAAGATAACTGAATTTCTACTTTTAACTGATTGTTCCATGAAGAACCAATCTTGTGAATATAAACACATACATTTATTATTTAAAGGTTCGTCACTGTTACCAAGAATACAATTAGGCCCAGAACACAAGGTGAAACGCAACTGCAACGAAACTGCAACTTCTAGTTACTTTTGAGTTGCATCTAAGTTTCTGCCATAGCGTCCGTTGAGAGACCACACATTGCAACGCGTTTCAAACCGGTTTCAAACTGGTCGCGTCATGTGTGGTCTCTCAACAGAATCTATGACAGAAACTAAGATGCAACTCAAAAGTAACCAGTAGCGGCGTAAGGGGGTGCCAAGCATCAGGGGGTGACACAGGTCGCGCAGATCAGTACTCACTGGCGTGGNCTGGCTGGGGGAAAAAGCCTCGTGTTTATCGTCTAGGGGGGGGGGGGGGGGGGTGCGATTCTTTCAATCTTCGAATCGGTAACCCCAAAATCCTGGGGGGTACCAGGGGGTGCCTTAGGACTTATGACAGGGGGTGATCGCCCCGGGTGCCAACCCATGCTACGCCGCCACTGAAAGTAACTAGAAGTTGCAGTTGCGTTTCACCGTGTGTTCTAGGCCTAAATGGTATGTTTAAGTGTGCTAACAAAATTGTTTTGATTGCAGCTTTTATTGAAGATAGTGCCGCAAGCCAGACTCCAATAATATCTGAACAAAGAGTTTTGGACATGATAGAGAATGCTTATCCCAACCCCTTGACTGTTGAAGACTTCGTGTCGTAAGTACCTTTTTACAGATCATAGCTTAGGTTTGAATATTTTATTGAGTCTGAATCAAATATTGAGCAAAGTTTCTTACACGGGTCATTTTCGCGAAATTAAAGACGACTACCACTTACACCAAGCTAAACACAGAGCCCCGATTACGGTAATTTTTAACGTCAACAATCCAGACACGCTTCTCGATTCTGCGATACGATTGGTCGTTCAACAGCGTACGTCAGCTGTTTTGACCAATCGTATCGCAGAATCAGAAACGCGTCTGGATTGTAGACGTTATAAAAGTTACCGTAATCGGAGCTCTGGATTGCATCTTATAACGGACGACGGACATCCGATTATACATTTTGGTTTCTAAATAAGCCATATTACAACGACATACGTCGTCACAATGTCGTCTGCACAGTTCTATTAGCTACGATTTTCAAAACAAAAATATAAATTGATAAACAGTCGACTGAACAATAAAGTTTTATCTATCCCTTGACGACGATTGCTCAGAAAGGAGATTATAATAAATTTGTTTTTAGCGTGGGAAAATGGTCCAAGGCGGACATCAAAGATGCACTGGAGTCATTGGAGGAAAAGGGCCTAACGCGCACCATGTCCGAAGGATTGTACATCCGTCAACATAGTGTCGACACGCAGGTAATATTCTTTTATAACTTTAGTTTATATTACAGATTGTTTGTAGACATAACTAGTTATGGCATTATGGTTCTGAGAGATAAAAGTGGGACACCCACCATCAGAAATTCCCTAGGTAAACTATGATAATGGCTACTCGTTAAGTATTTTAAAATGTATAGTTATGCTAAAATAGGTTTTGCGCGCGCCAGAAGTTCTTCTGTCACAGAAATTCTTGTCGCAATCTAAATCTTCCTCATAAAACATTACATTCTGTATGTCATTCTATTCTTTGAGGCAAAAAGTGTGTTCTCCAAAGCTTTTAGGAATGACGCCTGTATTTCGATAACATTTCTTTGGTATTCTAGCTGCTCATGAAGTCCATCTCTCAAACACTGTATTCCACATACACTGAGCTAAAATCGTTTGTTAGGTGGTGAAACAAATGCCAACGTTGTGTTCGTCACGGCAACCCAGCATAGCCGTGGTCACGGCTCTGTACTGCGAGAAACAAGCTGTAGACGCCATGATGGACAACCAAGAGACGTATGTGCGCTACACTACTGTGGGTAAGTCCTTGCCAACTTGATATTGTACTTTTGTACCAGTAAAAAAGGAAAATAATTGTATAAGCTTGTATTCAGCTCTACAAGACTGTTATTAAGTTACATAGCCGGATATATCGAACTAATATCAACTGCTAAAACCACTAACAATTGAACCACAAAAAGATTTTACATAGGACCCCAAAACACCAACTTCTGTAATAAACCTAAATACTTTTTCATAAAACTTGTTACTGTCATTCATATTCTTGCATCTCATAATTTAAATGAAAGACATCAAATAGTTGATAAATTTTGGGTTATACTTATATTAGACACCTTATAATCTACTTAAATTATTACACAAAATAATACACACAGAGTAATATTTAAAATATTGTGTTGTGTTTATTACTTATTAACTTTAACAATACGCATCTCTATGATTAAGAACGAAAATAGGTTCGTAATCTTTTATAAAGGCATGATAATATAATAATAAGACAAGATTTGTAGTATCACAAGACTCAAATTTATTATGGCAAAACCTACAACTGTTCTTTTTATCTCATCATTCATTAGGAAGATAAAACAACCACTTGTATTCGTAAGAAAGATTAACAATTTAATGTATAGGGACTAAAGTTTACAGCAACAAATGCAATAGTTCATTTAAATGCTTTTCTACTTGGAATCTACTAACTAATCACTTCAGTTTTATCTTTTAGCACTATGATAAGGCAACAAAAGCAATAAACTGCTTAAACTAATACAACATCGTCATAACACTTAATAAAAGTACATGGATATCATTTAAATACTATAAATGAACAACATTTTTTAATACTTATATTACATAGGCATTAAAATACTGAAAATTAAATAAATAATAATAAATTATGGTCTGGTGGGAAAAAATGTTAACATTTTTGACTAATTTTTACACTTTTTCAACATTATTAATGGATGTATCTGATCATCCAGTCAAACCAATTATAATGACTTGTAGCTCAAAAAGCGATAGCTACACTGTTTACTTATACATATTTTAAGAATTAATTATGTGTAATTGTACACTAACATTACAAGAACAAGTATATTCTTTTATCAGAATATTAGCTTAACAATAAAATTATAAAAAGTAACTAAACATCTAAACATTTCTTGTGCAAAGCTGTACTATACCAATGTTATTTTTATTGTGCATTTTACATCAGGGTCATCGTTACTAACCATAATCAAACTCAAACATAATACTGCATAAATCTTTAAATTAATATAATAATTTAATTCATACAATTCTGATGTTACTTACATTATTAATGAATAATCTTCATTATGATAATTCAAAATGCAATTGATGTATTTTCTGGACATCACCATCTATGGTCAAGAATCTAATATCACTGAGATTATGTTTCAAAAAAAGTTGCTTCATGAGTACCGAGTTAAAAGACACATCCAGAATAGGATTGATGTCTTCAGAAATCCTTATAGTTATTTCGACATCAAACCTCGGGCCTGTAAGTAAAAAATATTTTCTTTTTGGATTAATGATATTACCAATAGTTAAAAAAATGGGGTGATTTACATAGTCTTAATTATGTAGATTCAGAACACAGAGTTACAAGATATTATACATTACTTAACTCTTTACAACTAACTCTTTACTTTAAAAAAATTTGGAAGGCTTCCTTAACATCTCAATTTATAAAAAAAACAGCCTTTGACCTACTTTTTGATCTACCATTCACAAAATAATCATAAAAATCTGTCAAGATATTTGTCAAAACCTATTTTATAACATAAAACCGCAGTACTCATAATATACCGCGACTTACCTTCAATTATTTCTGAAGGAGTTATCGCTCCAATTCCTGAGCTAGGGTCATCAGGTATAATATTTTGTTGACCATTGTATATTATTTTAGTAGTAAATTGGTCATTAGGAATTGAAGTCTCCAATTGGAAGGCTATATTCGAGTAATCTGGTCGATCCTGTCCTGTTACTAAGTTTATGGTGAATCTGTAAAATATTAACAAGAATAATACAGTGCGGTGTTAAAGTATGAAATAGCTGTCTCTATTTTTCCAACAAACATTTTGAATTTTTTAAGAAACCTCAAATCTTAGTTGTATGAAATTTTGTGGGTAGATTAAGACAACATTAAACCATTTAATACACAAAGAAAAAACTAGAGAATAACCTGAAAAAATATATTCATATTTTTAGGTATAAAATATTACATTCTTAATCATCTCTTTTTACTACTAAACATTTTGAGCACACCTAGCTATTAGTCATGCATTTCTACTCCACATAAAGCGATTAACAAAATACTTACAATCTTGGGTCACTTGTTAGGGTGCCAGCAATTTTAATTCTGTCATTTCTTTGAAGTATCCTTGGTAACAGAAACATGATTTCGTTTTGGTTGACTGGTACTGGCCACGGTGGAGCTCTCTGGCTATCTCCGTTTAATTGTGTGCCGTACTCTTCATTCGCCTGCTCTCTAGAATATCTAACAACCAAATAACATTTATAAATACTTCACAGCGTAATTTATTTATCAAACGCCTTACGGTTCGATCGCATGTTATCACTTTGTATTTGTTAATAATTATAATTTACGATAAATGGTTCAAGAAAGCTTATCTCGTTAGGTTATTTTTAGTTGGTTTAATAACATTGAATCCCACACCGTTGAAACTATTCTTACATTAGTCACAGTTTTGTTTTTCATATCGATCGCATCATAGGTACATACTGCTGCAAATAGGACATCTTACAGTGTTTTGTTTTTATTAAATTTAATTACAATTAGAGAAGTCGGCGTAAAATAGAGTTTTTCACAATCTGATTTGACAATTATTTTATTTTGACAACAATCGACAAAGAATTTGACATTGACATTAGACAGAGATAAAAAAATGCTCAGACTGCTGCAACCAACTTCACAGTAGACTTGAGTCAGAGTAGTAATAGAGCGCAATTTTCTCTTCTCACTTCTCACGATACTTTTGTTAATTACCAAGTTACCAAACACATAAAAAATCTACTTATAGCACTGAAGTTAAAGGTTAAGTTATTGGGTTAAATGAAGACATTGGTTACCTACTTAGAAAAACTAGGGTTACTTACTCTACGTAATAAAGCATTTCCACAATATTTTGGCCCTTTTTACATCTGTACCAAAGTTAGTCAAGTTTCTTACTAAAAACTGTTAAACTAATCACTATATTAATAACTGAACAAAAAATGAACATTTCATACCCAAGTATGCAATCCCAACAAGATTTTAACATCTTCAATTATTTCGAGACACTAACCGCAAGTTTACACGTCAAACTGACTAATAACATTGGCGAGTCGTCTCGGATAACTGTCCTACCTACATCTAAGATCTAGAAGTTCGTAAAGAATGACGCAATCATGAAAACAAACACGACCACTGCACACACCTTGGGATTAATGGTTAGTGTACGTCACGGCACGTAGTCGCGCTTGGAGATTTCACTCGGCACTGTGGATTGGATTGGCAACCTACCTTGTCCTATAGCGACCACGCGCCGTAGGAGTACGAAGGCTTGTTTGAACTGACATGCTAATAAAGCACCCAAACGTGTTCTCGTAGAATGCACCTGTTTATACACGTTACTTTTTGTATTAATATTTTATAGACTTCTGATCGGAACGAACTGTACAATGTAACTATTACAAATTTGCTACAGCTACCTACTTAATGCTACCTACTTAATTGCCAATTAAAGAGATGCTCGTAATACCACAGTATATTATGATGGTAAATACTTGAGTCCCCCCTCGAATGCCTACAATGCGAGATACATTAATTTATTATTAGGTACTTACTTAGTTACCATCGCATTTGTTAATGGAAGCCATACAAGATAATAACCTGAATGNGTTCGAAAACGGTTCGAAATAAAGCTTTGAAAGAATTGAAGTCGGGTTTTTTTATTCGACTTTAATTTATGAGATATAAAACATTGATGTAGCTTAAATATTTACGAAGATACAGATGTGTAAGCTGGAGACACGGTACTCCAGCTCGCACATAGTTTTTTGATCGTGGTTTTAACAGTATTTGAGCTAAAGTCTTGAAAAGTGGAAAGCCTACTATTTGGATTCGACTGTAATTTCTGAGGTATAATACATTATCGTAGCATAAATATTTACGAAGATACAGATGTGTCAGCTGGAGACACGTGTCCTCAGCTTACACATAGAAAACAACTCATAGTTATGAAGTTCTAATGGCTCTAATTGAATGACTGAGAGGTTTGATGACTCTAATTAGGCTTTTATTGATGGTATACTTGGAATTGCTCTAGGGTCAATGAGGAAGTTGGAGACATTCAGGTAGATAATATATTCAAATGTTTTTAAAATATTTACTTAGGTACCTCTTTTATTATCTACACTAATATTATAAAGAGGAAAACTTTGTTTGTTTGGTTATAATGAATAGGCTCAAAAACTACTGGACCGTTTTTAAAAATTATTTCACCATTCGAAAGCTACATTATCCACGAGTAACATTAGGGTAAATTTTATTTTGGAAAAAAATAGGCGGGTCCACTATAGGCTATAATAATGTAGTCCACGTGGGCGAAGCCGCGGGCGGAAAGCTAGTGTTTTAATATTATCACAGAGTAATAATATTTATCTTTTTTTTTTAGAGTAAGTAAGTAACTACTGATTGTAGTGCGACCATTGGGCAGGTAACAAATTATGTCCTAACGAGTAACAGTGTGACTTGATAGATTTTTTATCCCAACCATTATGGGTGGATTCGACCGAACAAGACTAAATATTAATCTCAGAATAAATCGTCAGTTTTGACACATTTCCATACTGAAACTGTCAATGTGCCAGTTATATCAGGAGTTATTCTCGGATAAAAGTTTGGTCGAATCGGGCCTAAAAGTGTTACCTACTTATTTGGCTGGGACTCGTTGGGAACAAGCGATTTTAAGTTATTAAAATTTAAATCTACATACATGTATAACTTTTTTACTACGCTTCACAACCACTTTAATGATAATTATGTAAAAATTTAATATGACAATTTAGACCAGTTAACCCAAATGTAGTAATTGACCTCCGACGCGCCTGTCTATATACTTACTGAAAATAGCATTCTAATAATATTGGGGGTTCATCGGATAATGTAATGTGGGGGGTACCACCCAAAGCCGAAAAAAGAACACATACGAGTACACATTGGTTTTTACGAGTTTACTTATTACTAGCGGCCCGCCCCGGCTTCGCACGGGTGCTATGGATTTTCTCGGTTTTTCTCTTCTATAATATGCATGTTTTATAGATGTAAACCTTCCTTTTGAATCACTTTATCCATTAAAAAAACTGGATCAAAATCCGTTGCGTAATTTTAAAGATACATAGGGACAGACAGGCAGAAAAGCGATTTGTTTTATACTATGTAGTGATAATGACCAGAGAGACAGTAATAATAATATGTATATGTAAAAATATGTATGTTTTGAAAACTGTAAGTTAGGTTTTGAGTAATAAATCTGTTATTTATTTTCAGAAACGCAATGCTTTTATTTTGAACAATATCATATGTATAACATTCACTTATAATACTTTGGTTCTGACAATAAGAAAGCAGTCAATTTTATATATCTACCTAACATAAATTAATACAATTTGATCATTTATGTAGTCATTGCAAGTCGAGTTTACATATTTTTCTTAATGAGTAACAATTACTATTATAGATTTGATAAATAACACGTTTATTCCTAAAAATAAATTAAATAATTCAAATTGAAATAAAAACACGATAACAACTACAAATTAAATAAGTACATTGATACGATAAAGTTCCACACACAGCTGCGGTTCATTAACAAGCGTTCAGAACTTCAGACAGAACATCATTATGTTCTGAAACTGATCTTATTAAGGTCCTTAGATTAATAAATCTTAAGGTCTATTATTCAAAGGTAAATCCCTCAACCATCCAGGCTTTAGTGAAGTCGCTTTTGCGTGAAGAACTTATCGAATTCTAGTCTAAATTTTCAGTCTGTTGATCTAGCTTACTACTAAGTTCCAAGTCCCTTTAATTTTTTTCCACTAATCAGTTCTCATTTGTGAAGTTAATACAATATACCTACAGCTAGGGTTGCCAGGTGTCCGGTTTTAGCCGGACATGTTTGGCTTTTTACGGTTTGTCCGGCCTGTCCGCCTTTTAGGGTTAAATGTCCGACCAAATGAAACACAGAGTCCGGCTTTTGTGTTTTTGGAGCTGGCAACCCTACCTACAGCAAAAGTTTTTTTTTTACATTAAATTAAAATAACGATGTTATCAGGTGCTTGTAGTTCAGTCACTGACACAGCTATTTTTATGATCATCTCACTTAAAAGCCACCTAAAGCAGCTTATTATTCGAGTATATGATATTAACTACTAACCCCCTTCCTAATAAAAAGTTACACAATTGTTGAACACTGTTTTAAAATGACATTTCCATACTAAACGTCACTTTAAAACAACGTGCGTGTAGGTTTTATTAGTAAGGGGGTTAGTCATTAACATTGTTTTTATTAAAATAAATAAATAAATAATAACAATTCACCTATCTGAGATCGATTGCTATATTATACCTAGGTACTTAAGCAAATTTAAAATCCAAATTAATAACTTTCACATTTTTGTCACTGAACTGAAAGTATCTTATTTTATCGATTTTGTTAACGACGAATGTACGCTGAATTGAATTCGTGCTAATTTCTAATATGTTATTTTCCGCAGTGTCGGCATTTAATCTTCTTTTGAGCCGCATGTTAATTAAGTTTTCTGAAAAGATAAATGAGTATTTCTCAAAAAAAATGTACATTTTGAAAAAAAAAAGTGTGCTTTGAAACAGTTCAAAAGTTTTATATTTATAAATCATCACACAAAAAAAACACACACACAATTTTGAAGGATGAATATTAATCTTTAAGATAACGAAGAATTATAGCTATAATCCTACTTATTACCATATATTTAGATATTTTAAAAATAGTCCTTTTTTACCTTTCATACAAAAACCTGTTTGCCACCCTAGCTTTTTCATGTATTTTTGTTTCATAAAATGCGATACGTAACTAAATTATTGTAAATTTCTTTGTATTATCATTCTACAGTAATCGCAGTTTCTGTATCAAATTGATTTTCTATGGGGTGTCATAATGAATTGGCAATTTAAAGCAAAAAAACAAAATGAGTCGCTCTCATTTACTATTTCGTTATTTACTCTTTAGTTACGATTTATTTCTACTTTCCCATGGTTTCTGAACAATTCCGTATTTATTTTACACGGACAACAATAGCTGCACTCTGAATGGCTGTTGGCCTGACGTCTCCGCCATAACATCTATCGCGAAAATTAGTGAAAACGTGTGTGTTTTGTGGGATTACTTTTTCGTAACAGGCAGTAAAATCAGCGATTTTATATAGAACGGTAAGTCTTCATTTAACCATTTTTTGTAATACGTGTGGTACGAACATTTAGTAAGCTTTTATATTTGCTGTAACAAATTTTATCAAAAAAATACTTGTTTCTGATCTCATTTTGTCTAATATTTCGTTACGTTTTTTGCGAATTTCGTTACGTTACGAAAAAGTACAACATAATGCTGAGTGTATACTGTTATTACCTGACTAAGCATAGTAATATTCACTACTTAATTAATTTCAAAAAATATAGAGCGTTAATAACAAAAGGATTGGATACTATCTGCTTTACAGAAGTGCCACCAGCAAAAAATTATCAAATCATTTAGATTACGTTTTTATGTGATTACATCTTTTGTTTTTTTAGGAATGCCGCCAAAAACCAATGCCGAAAGGCAAAAAGCTTACAGAGAACGACTCAAAATGGATAAACATGATGGAACAAAAATAATTTTATTAAAATAGTATGAATGATTACTCCCTTATTTTATTTCTAACCCCTTAATATTACCCCGTATTTGGGTGCATACTTACAAATATTTCGAATTGAATAAATAAAGAGCATTCACAATATTTCGCCAATGTATAACAAGCCTTATGGCCTTACTATTTCGTTACTACCGTTTCGTTACGTACACTTTTTTTGAGAAATACTCAAATATTTTTGTCGTTAATTTAGGTATGAAATTATGCCTACATCTTCAGTCATCCATATTATGGACGTTCAGTTTGACAGTTTTTAATAGTTTTTGGAAAACTTACCTTCGCCGTTATGAAAGAAGTGATAAATGTCCTCTTCAACAAGTAGTACATTATATTCGTCGTAGACGGTAACATATCTGGATTCCATATTTATTTTCAATGAAAATATGGCTTTATCTGTTGAACCGTCATAATCTCCCATAAAACTTATTCCAAAACTGTAAAAAAATTAAAGACTAAGTTATTTATTGTTATGATCAATCTATCTATTAACGGTTTCAATATCGTCGTAATATAAAATTAGTTATAAAAAAAACTTACCTATTACAATTATTTAAAACGGTGATGTTTATAACATCGTTGGAGTTCAATATCGTCGGAAACAAAAACGTGTTACTTTCTAGCGGCCATTGAAGTATTGGATTTGAGCTGCCAGATGAGTTTCTGAAAAGGAAAACAAATAACATTATAGCCATTTATTAATAATAAATGTAGAGAACAAATAGCCCATATTGATTATTTTTCACTGCCGAGTATCCTCCCTAAAATACGAGGAGAATGTATGTCGGTAAGTTGAAACAAAACGTATTCCAATGGTTCGTTTGCTCATTACGTTAGAAACTAGAGAAACCTATTATAAGGATTACCCATCCGTGTCTTCTGAATAACTCAATGAGTATTACATGAGATGACGACAATGTTACCGCAAAAAAAAAATGTTTCAGTTTGGAGACACTGTTTTTGTGATTATTAATCAGGGGCGGATCTACCTCAGGGCTGTTCGGGCTTAAGCCCAGGGAGTAATGAGACAAAGTATGTGCTTAGTTCTAAAATTATAATTCTACTTATGTACATTTATTGTAATGTGATTAGTTGAAAAAGAATGCTAGCTTTATCACCATGGACGCGACGAACGTGACTTGTCCATCTTCAGTTTGTACTTGTTAATTTTAAAGAATTTCCATGTTTGTAGAAGTAATATTTATAATTCTTTTTAAATAGGCTTAAAAATTCATGATAATAGTGCTTTTTATGAACTTTCAAGGAAAACTATAGCGGTTAAGATAGATTAGTTAGTTCAAGAGTAATAGTCGTTTTACTCAAGTATTATAAAATTTCATACCTAATAAAAATTTATTTGAAGAAAATGTTAAAAGTGACTAGATGAAGAAATTGCTTGCTTCTGAAATACATTGTGGTAACGACGGACAACTACGGAACCCTACACTTCGCGTGCCACGACACGAACTTGGTCAATTTTTATATAACAAATTAGAAAGAAATTATTGTTACTTACATATCATTATCTTCTTCGGTCGGGCGTCCCATAATTGAGATAATCCCAGTCACAAACACTAACAAATTAAGATACATTTTGATAGCCCGATTCACAAATTACTAAAAAGTAACTATTGCAAACTTGGTTTACTAACTGTTAATAAGCACTATTGTAGTGCATTTGATTGACAGTTGGTTTACCAATGCAATAATTCGCTTTACAGTTGCTTTTATATTAAAACAAAGTGATTCATATTAAGCTGCGTTTAACGTATACGTCACATGTATACGTTGGTGGTTCATTCATTCAATGGTTAGAAACAAACCGCAATCCCATAAATTATGGGATTACCCAGAATAATGAGTGAAAATCAAATAAGCTCTTAAATTATTGTCAAAATTTTGTTTTTTTTTTATGTTCAGAGTTCACAATGTTCTTTTAAACTTTTTTTGTACCTGTAGCATATTTCGATGTGATGTATATTGACCTAAATCATGATTTAAATTTTAAATGTTAGGCAGGATGAGACTGACCATATTAGGATTGACGCGCCTAGGTGACTCGTAATATTAGTAATGACTCGGAGTACTTACACCCGTCTGGTTTTTAGTGGTTAACTTACCTTTACTCTTTTGTGGGGATGGGGAGTCCCATGACACCTTGTGAACACGGACGGTACTTACAATATTCCCTTTTTACTTAAAAAATCCAAACAAATATTTGACGCCTTTTAATCATTCAGAATGTCCTATGACTGAGATGATGATGATGAATCATTCAGGTAGGCTTATTTACCTTTTCGATTGTGATCCAAAGTCCAAACCGATTATGACGTAGGTTGTAGAACTAAACGGGCCGTTAGTTGTATAGGCACTTAAACTCATATTCAATATGTAATGATGATTATTTTTGAAAGAGTTTTCATTTATTTAAGCTTACCTAGTTATTATTAAAGAAAGTTGTAGAGACTGTCGAAAAGCCACGCTATTAGGTACTGCGAAGACATGGTGTTTGATCGCTTTCTAATCTAATCTCTAATCAAGATAATTTCCAATAGGACTTGAGAGCAGAGAAGCATGCATCAGCATTTATAGATACTGTCCTAAAATTCAACGATAAGCCGGCGCTGTAGGATGGACATGGTCTTTAGGAAAAATAAGAAAAAATAAATTAAGATAGATTTTTGACACCGTGGTTTATAGGCAATGTCTAATCTAAGACTTAGACTTAGTGCTAAAAATTACTTAAGTAATTAGCACTTGTTTTACGCAGCAAGCTTAAATTGTGCCAATTTTCCAGGTGAATCGAACGTCTACACCCTGGGCACGATAGGGGCCCATAGAGTCGTCACAACCAAGTTGCCTTCCGTGGGCCGCACTCGGGAAGCCATGACCGCTGCCGGCAACACGACCACAAGACTGCTTGGAATTTTCCAAAAGGTGAGTCCGATTTTTTTAAATTTAATTTTAATGTAACTTGAACATTATTCACCCTAGCTCAAGATTAATTAACCGAAGGTATGGAAAGAAATGGGCGCCATACAACGAATAGGTGTAAACATAATTATCCCAAATAACATTATGTAAGTAAGATGTTGCCAATACAAGAAGAAGAAAAAGTTATCAGATCTCATGTAGAGCTAAGCTTCTAACTCTACACGCCCCTTCTCTAAAGCTGAATTGCATCACCTTAACACTTCAGAAACTCTACACCTAGTCAAAATATTTGGCATGGCCGTTTTCTTACCGTCACGTAGAAAGAAAGAAAAAGTATTTATTCGATGCAAGTACAAAATAAAATAACAAATAGATATAATAAAACCAAACAGTAAGGTACATGCACCAAAATGGCATCTGCTCAGTATAAGCCGTGACGGCAGAGAGCGCGTCACGACCACTGGTATTCTGCGGATGCCAGTTGAGCAAAAGGGCGCAGCCCGCCCAAGAACAATCGGTTTACAAATTAGTGATTTTAAAAATTAAAAATACACATACATGTACGTTCATGTAGATTGTAGATAGACCAATGTAGTAATGTACTACTTGATAATAGCATGATTGCCATTATTCAACTTAACTCTTGTGTTTATTTAAGTTTATGAATGAAACCAATAGTAACTAGGTATCAGTATACCTACTGTACAGTGCGGTGTCGACGGTGACTAATTTTATCATTTTGTAATAATTATGTGTATTTAATTGGAAACATTATTGACGTCCTTTTCCAAATTTCTGTATAACACTATTATCTAAGCTGAAAAAGGAAACATGTCTATCATGTTAACATAATATTGTACACAATTTAACAATAACATTGTATTACCTTAATAGAAATTGTACGAAGTGGGTTACTCTTACCGATGATTGTGATTCAAATAAGGAGTCATGGATAGCACGTACTAATGTATCTGTAAGGTTGTCATAACTGTGTCATTTTACGTCAATGCGGTTTTGTAACTTCAGACTATTTTATACCGACTATTTTGGCACCATTTTAATGGATATTAGAGCGCCCCTTGCCATTCCAACTCCAACGAAGTAAACTCAATTTAACATTATTGCATAAATAGCAACAGCACTTTAGTTGTGGCTATCACCAAACTGTGTTGTAACCAAATCGTCCCATATTACAGTAGAATTTATAAACTCTATCCTTTTTTTTTTCAATATTTAAATTCAATGGAATACATCAGGTATTTTTAGCAAATGAAAATGGCGAATCCATTTACTTCAAGTAAATTGTTTTAATTTCGGATTAATTACGGATTAGCAAGCTGAAGTAGCAATGGGCAGGGCACATAGTACGCAGAACTGACGGCCGATGAGGCAGCAAGGTTCTGGAGTGGAGGTCTCGTACCGGAAAACAGCGTAGGACGTCCACCCACAAGGTGGACCGACGACCTCATAAAGGTAGCGGGAAGGCGCTGGATACAGGCCGCCACCAACCGGCCATTCAGCAGTGGACGTCCTATGGCAGAAATGATGATGAAGATGATGATTTTTTTTAAATTGGAGAGGGTCGTGTGCCAGTCGCTGCAGGTCTCCACTGAAACTAAATGACAATGATGATCTATTAGCTACAAAACGTATTTTTGTTTTATCAAGTAGATAACCCAGTTTCGCTGAATGGGCACGAGAAATTTCTTTTCCAATAACAAATCTCATATTAACTTATTTATTAGGTCGCCCTTGAGTTCTATTTTGCAGCATGCGTGAAATAGCAGTGATTGCATGGCAGCGGTATGTTTCCAATCGGTAGCGTATGTATATGGTCTTCTTGAAATAGAATCGAAACGAGCCGTCGAGCACCAATATGGGTTCAATAAACTACACTCGTTCGTCCTGAGGAATTTGATCATGGGTGTTCATGAATATTGATGTAGCGTTTTATTCCAAAGATTTATAAAAAAGTTAAACTTATCTCAGATAAAAACATTATATCTCTTGTGAAATCTTATTATTATGTAGTTCTATAAAACTGGTTAAATGAGATTGAATGAGAGAAGCTTAAAAACCAATGATTATTTAAATTTTTCTTTTAATAAAGCTATTAATAAAATAACCCGAGCTATTAAAAACCTATTAAGTATTCTCAGTTTTAAATTCATTACAGACATCTACACTGGCTGCACCATTGTTCAATTAAGTATATCTAATAAACTATTAGCATGGCTATTAGATCGTTAAAAGTATGTCAGTTGATTGATGATTATGATATTATAACGACGAGTAAACTTTGCATTAGAAGAAGTATCATTTTAAGTCGATATGAAGGCAGTTTTATATTCATATCGTATCTTTGGTAATATTTCCAAGCATCTTTTGCAGTTCACGTGTTTTTCCCCACGCATTGTTGTCTAGTGCCTATAATAAGCAATTGCCTTATACGGTCATGGTCATTACATTCATTAGTGACCATATAAGAATGTATTCGGTGATGTAACTTTTTAATAGGTTCTTACAGAATCCTTAATCTGAATGTTCAATACCTCGTTAGTTTTTTACTAGCATCAGATAAATGCATGAAATTGCCAGGGACCCCTCCCTGGGCAGGAGGTACCCAAAAATACTAGGTTCCTTGAGTCTCTTTTGGTGGGGCGGTCATGATTATTTATCCTCCTTCTATGAGCTCACATAACTGACAACTATAGTACTTAGATAGCTCAGATTATTATAATCTGAATTTGCAAGAGTGCTCACTTTACCTTTAAATGACTATACTTCAAATTCGAAGCACGTCATCATGAGCGCATTACGAATCAGATAATCCAATTTGCTTTAACTGGTCAAAAGGTCAGTAAACTTGTTAACTCTTATATTTATTCAACTCTTCTCGTATTATTTATAGTTCTGTCGCGACTCCAGACTTCCAGACACATAAAATTCAAATCACTCAAAGACATCATTGTATCCCTCGAGGAATACGGGATGTGAGAAAATACGCTAAATCTGTAACGCATCACTAATTATAGACAATGAAACATTGTATTTCAATTTGACCAGCATACGTGACTGGTCAAAAAGTCAGGGTCACAGTACACATCGTTTGTCTCTTAAGTGACTATTATATTATTTATAGTTCCTTACACTAAGACATTATTGTCTCTGAAGGATATGGAAGAGGATAAAAAAAACGGAGATTCGTTAAATCTGTTGATGCGTCTCTAATCAAATAATCTATTGTTTTTATTATTCGATTGATTGATTGATTATTCGATTAATTAATCTTATCAGAAGTAGGTAAGTGAAAGAAGTGATTATTAAGTGTTCTTTTCAGAATGTCTCGAAAAGATTTCGCTGGACTATTCGCAAGAAACAACGACTTGGTCTCAGCTTAGCGAAGTCTTATTCAGACATTCATAATTAATTTATTCATTGCATCATGTACTACATTCCGATGAGATTACTGCAATATTTTATTCGATTCCAATTTTACCATGTTTCTGTGCAAATAAATTAATTTGAATTTGATTAAAGAATAATTTGCAAAATAAAATTATTTTCTGAGTTTTCTTCAGGTCTTTAAATAAATTGTAAGTAGGTAAATGCGTTCAGAAAATTAGAACACCTTTTTGCTAAAGTTTCATTTTAGTCTCTTTGATTTATTACATTTGTAGTAAATTATTTGAATTTATTGCACGACTCTTTGTGAATGAATTTTAAAAATATTGGTTAATGCGACATTTAGTACACAGGAATTGTATTTATACCTGAGATTTAAATGATTGACAATGCGCAAGTGCTACTTTATTCGTTGTAGAAGAAAAATGCTATTTACTCAGTAGATTTTATTTTCATACTATGGAATGATTTTATAGTGAAGCGTGCAACAATTTACTGTGTTATCGTATGGTTGATTGCGTCGTGCACTTTCGGTCTTTGTTGCATTTGAGCTCTTAACTAAGTAGGTAAAAAGTAATCATCAGTTTTCTACAGTTCATATTTAGCGGATTGACAAGAAAAATATAATTTCTTAAGTTTCGACGAAACGAATATTGTTTGTATATTCAGTAGGTTTGAGAATATGACGTAAGCTATTTATCTTACAGATGATTTATCAATAGATGCAATTCAAAGGCTATTTTGTCTATAATTGGCTTTAATTTCTATCAAAAATCAGTTGAATCTTAATTCGTACCTACACATCAAGGGTTTGATGCCTCGCAGTTCATTTGTCAAACTCTGCAACCATTTTTCAATGAGGTTGTCCTCATATTAGTTTCGAGATGAAATATTTGGCGTGAAGCTTAGTTTGGCCTACTTTTACGAAGAAGTTACTATAATAAATAATTTTATTCACAGGTGGAGTACGTGTTCTTAGTCGGCGTCGGCGGCGGAGTGCCCCACTACACGGATTATGCGAAGCACGTGCGACTGGGTGACGTGGTGGTGTCGACGCCGGCATCTGACCTCAGCGACAAGTGAGATAATCATTTTTATTGAGGGTTTCCCTAATTGCGTCACCAGCTGGAGCCACTGGCGAGTAATAGGACCTTTCTTAATAGTAGCGCCAACCTGCCGCGCTAGGATGATGCGCGCCATGACAAAATCTTATCGACACGACAAATGTATGGGCTTATCGTGCATAATCGTTCAATGTCGTTGTTAGGCCTGGTTTCTAACAAGGTGGAGCGAAGCGGGGAAGAGAGGAGATTCCATTGAACTCTATTGGCCTCTCGTAATTAGAGAAGGTCGTTCTCCTGTAGTGGACAGTATTACCTAATGATTATGAAACAAGTGCTATAGCGAATTCACACGCGAAGTGGATTGCTAGATTGTTTTGGTCCTTGGAGAAGGCCTTTATCTGTAGACCTATTTTGGATTAAAAGAAAAGCACTCGAATTGGTCAGCGGTCTAGTACATACATTCACCCGCGTGTGACATAATTTAACCTAACTTAACAAACCCTTTCCTTACTCATAGTCATAACTCGTTCGTGCCGCATACGTAGATACCCAGGAAAATACGACCGGGAACTACGAATTCATTCACAGCTGTTTTATGAATGAAACAATCAAGATAGGTACTAAATTTTGTTTTCGGTGATTTATGTTTTTCGGTTTTCGACTATCATCTTGACGTTATAAACTGCAAGAAATATTTTAAAAAAACCTTGAATTTGGGCGAAAGCTATACCAAGTTACCTTACATTACTAATGAAATACGTGTATTAAGGAAGTTACACATTAGGTACAATCCCGTTCTTATCATTAAAAAACTTAAGTATTTCATAACTTTCAGTATCAGTTATTATTTAATATTGATGGTTCTGTAATTAATGATACTACATAATAATAGTAATGGGGAAATACCTACCGTTTGCTTAAGTAGCTTGAACTCGAGTGCGTGAAATATTTTATTAACACGCGGTTGCGGATATCGTCTAAATAATTATTGTTCATAATTAATTGTCCTGTTAATTTTAAATCAATAGGCCTAAAGGCGGAGTGAGTAAGCGTTTTCTAAAGGCCTTTAATTAAATCCCATTTATTGAGAAATTGAATTGTAACGCTGTTTAAAATAGTTTCACTAAACAGTTTACCTTGAAAGTCCAGGCACATAAGCTTATGACAAAAAATGTCCCAATGAATAAATGCTACAAATTAAAAAAATCTGTTTTCGCTCGGTAGTTGGCGCCACTGGCGAGTCTGTAGTCCTGTCACTTGCTGATGGTTATGTTTTAAGGCCCCTATTGGTAAGAAGACCTGTCGTATCACATTTGCAGTTTGTAGTCATAAATTATTAGTGGTACTTGCACTGCTGTCAATAGTTAGTGGCGCCAACAGTGAGCGTAAATTAGGTAGCCCTGACCTTATAAGAAAGAAAACTTGTCATTTGGGATGAAACTTAATACATATTTTTACTTTCTGTGATGTATGTGTATACCTATTGAGATATTTTATATTGTTTTCTTCAGGTACGTTTATATCTTCTGTGAGAAAGCAGACCGCAACGAAAAAGGAGGTTGGGACTACGAGGTCAAACCTTACAAACCATCGAGTTTCCTTCTCCAAGACATCGCTCTACGACTCACAAGCTCTCAAACGGCACCGTGGAACTCTTACGTTGAGGAAGGTAAATTACATAATAATACATTAATATTCTAGTTTTATTTAGAACTTGTTTATTAATATGTTTTAGTTATTTAATGGGAAATCTGAGTCCTCAGCTATTATTACGCACATAATTTATCTCGCTTTAAAAATACAGGGAAACATATGTTGAAACAATTTATCGGTNTTAGAACTGGCCCCATAGCAGACATTTTCCTACATCTAAAGGCCTTTTAAAATATATATTGGTTATGGCTATTGGAGCGGGTACCACTTTCCATACATTTGTGCCCATCATCCTTTATTAATAGGAATAACAATAAAACATCTCTCTCCTAGTTTAACATCCTACTAATATTATAAAGGCGACAGTTTGGATGTCTGGATGTTTGTTACTCTTTCACGCAAAAACTACTGAACGGGTTTTGTTGAAACTGTACAGTATTATTGCTTTTAACCTGTTATAACCCAGATTATCATATAGGCTATAATTTATGACGATATGTGACAAATAAATTTCAATAAATAAATAAGACGTGTCTAAAAAGCGCCATCTATCGTCATTGGTTAAAATCATCTACAGCGCCGGAAAAACTACTGTTTTTGACGTTCGTAAATAAATGTAAGTAAATAACGCCATCTATCAATATATCTAACGGGGGTAAAACGAGGTCCACGCGTACGAAGTTGCGGGCGGCCGCTAGTGTGTACTAAATTACTAAAAAAGTAAAAATCCTCTTGATCAATGAAAAAAGTAGCATCTGTTTACTTGGGTGAATTAATTCGTGAAAACGCAGGTGAACTGAATCGACTAAAGTCGTCCTTGTTCATTTCTGAGGACACTAAAAATCCACCCAGGTGACTAAATTGCACCTTAATGACTTTTCCTGACGTGAAAAAAAACCGAATGTACAGTAGAATCCCGACTATCCGGATCAATTAAAACCAGGGGTGTTCCGGATAATCGAAAATCCGGATAATCGATTTCAAAGTAAAATCTTACAATAATAACTTTTTACAATGGAAAGGGTTGACAACCCTTTCATTATTTAGAGTCTAAAAATCTAAATTTTAGACCATTGGATGAATCCATTTCTTTTAACAATGAACTAAGACAAAATCCATACCGTGTTACGGTGGCGGCGCCTTCCATTTTTATGGATCCAGACCCTAAATCGGTAATAATTAGAAACTGTGAAGAATGAGTCCGGATAATCGAGATTCTACTGTAGATAGATGTAGGATTATTTCTGTTTCGCTCTAATGCCCCTAACATTAGCGGAACAGTGTGCCCACATTGGCAAACACAAGTTCATCACTAACAAAAGAAGAAGAATCGCTACAAATCAATCAACCCTCGGCAGGTCTCCAACGCCTGCGCAGCGTCCCAGGGCGCTGGGAGCCACCAGAGGGCGCCACCGACCGCCTGTGCGTCGAGGTCGGCGCGGGCGCATACATCGAGGTGTCGCACCCCACGCCACAAGGAGACCAAGTGTGAGTTACTTTTATAATAATAAACGCGGTTTAGATTTTTTCACACAAATGTTTTTTCCCGCTAACTCCCGTTCCCGTGGGAATTTTGCAATATCCTGTTGTAACTAAGCTTTAAGTTTACTAAGGTACCTGCATGCTAAATTTTAAGCGTCTAACTTAAGCGGTTTAGATTTTTCATACTAAAGGATTTTCCCGCTAATTCCCGTTCCCGTGGGAATTTCGGGAATTCCATTCTTAGTGCACCTCTACGGTACCTAAGCTACGTCCCTTCCAAATTTCAAGTGCCTACGTTTAACCGTTTAGGATGTCCGTTGATATGTCACAAGTCAGTCAGTTTCTCCTTTTATATATTTAGATTAGATGCAGTTTTAGTGCGAGTAAAAGACGTTTCAACTGATTTTCAGATTGAATAAATTACGAGCGCATTTTGTTTACGTGCATTTATTGCGGGCACACCGCCACCTCATTTTTTTCCTGCTTGTGTGAGTATTTTGAAGTCCATATAGCGTCCGATATGCTGCTTTTACACTGCCAAGTGGCTGCATTAGCCAAGTCAAGTCAAAAAAACAGTGGGGTGGGGATGAAAAATAAATGTATTTCATCCCCACTCCTCTGTTTTTTTGACTTGACTCGGCTTATTTCCGCATAGTGTAAATCCGTCACTATGGCGAGTCAGTCCCTCCTGAACTAAGATTAACTTCGTTACGGATCCAATGACAATTTAACTTTTCCCTTTAGCTTCACTACTTGGGTTTTTATTGGCAGTCAAGCTTTAGATCCTGGCTACACATGGGTTGCAGTGATCAACAGATATAAGTAGTCCTAAAAACACAAGATGTTGTGTTCCAGTGACCAAGTGGGCAGCATTTACGTACCTACATAATTTATTTGCGGGATAAATGACAGTTGAACTTTCCCTGAGACAAATGCGGCCATCACTGGTTGGTTTTTATTGACGTACAACTCATACAAGCTGTACACAAGAGTTGCTGCGATCTTTACCGGATCGTCGGTTCACAGAGTGGGAGACCTGCCCACACTACGTCTTCTGGCTCGTGGTCCCGTGGTGGTGGGCTGGGAATACAGTTCTAAAAAAAAGTGTTTATTCCAGTGACCAAGCGGGCGGCATCCGCGTGCACTGCGCGCCGGTGGCGGGCGGGCGCGCGGTGGCGGCGGCGGGCGAGGCGCGCGCGGCGTTCGCGGCGCACGCGCGTGCCTTAGCCTACGACTGCGAGTTGGACGCCGTGCTGGACAGTGTGGTTGGGAACAGGAAGGACTGCTTCGTGTCTGTCAGAGGTATTGCTCTTTAAGGCCTATTCAGACCTAAGCGGTATTCGCTACCATCTGCGGCAGAGAAAACCCAGTGGGTATGCGGTAATAAATAATACTGTTCAGACCTAAGCGGTATTCGCTGCCGTCTGCGGCAGAGAAAACCCAGTGGGTATGCGGTAATATTACTGTTCATACCGAATCATCACTGCGAATATCGCTCAGGTCGCTCTAGCCGCGCGCGATACTGGATACTAAATACCTGAGCGAAACCCGCGCGGTATGTACCTCTACCCACAGCGGCAGCGAATATCGATTAGGTCTGAATAGGCCTTTATTCGTTCGTTCATTCGTTTCAGCCAAATGACGTCCACTGCTGGACAAAGGCCCAGAGCCCCGATTGCGCTAAAAATTTTCATGTTCAACGCGCCCGGACGACTAACGAACCAGCTGTTTTGACAAATCCGTATCGCGGTGTCGTTTTGCCAGCTATAGTCTGGACTCTGAGCACGTAGAATTTTGTCCAATGACCCCAAGCTACCCATCCTTATCGCTCGCGCGTAATTATGTTGCTGTCGCGCTCGCACACTCACTGCGGGACGCCCGTCGCACAGTCGCGACAGCAATATAATTACGCGCGAGCGATAAGGATGGGTAGCTTGGGGTCATTGGACAAAATTCTACATCCTCAGAGTCCAGACTATAGATGAAAGTTTCATCATGAAACGAAGCATAGACTTAAACGTAAAGCTAAATGTCTCATGTGACAATGAAAATACTAGGAAGGTACGTCCATTACCGTGATACCGAATTTGCACCTCAGCTGGAATGAAAAACGAGGCGCAACTGGAGAAGCGCCAATGAATTGGAGACGTTAAAAATTAGCGCAATCGGGGCACAGCTTTTCCACAATGAACGGTCCTGCGCTGCCTGCATCCAGGCTCTTCCCGCGACCTTTACCAGATCGTCGGTCCACCTAGTATTCTTTATTAAGTTGAAATTATTATTACCTTGGAACTACCGACCAAGGAGACGCCTTGGCTAGGCTACATAGTTGGATGGACGCTATTCTCGACAAAGATATTTTATAATATTACCATCAATCGACTACGTCTCGTCTTACTCTTCTTCAATTTACAAACATTCTATTTGACTCGGATAGAATAGCAAATTATAATTAATATGTTTTCAGGTTGTTTCAGTCTTTAGGTCTTTTTCTTGTCATTATGAGCCACTGTATTTTCACTCACTCTAGTTGGCACCACTAGCAAGTGACAGAACCTTACTCACCCGTTGCCACAAGTTGTGAGAGCAAAGCCCTCATTAAAGCTAGACTTATAAAAACTAATTATATTCACATCACTAATCTTATTTTTTTCGCAGGCATTTCAGACTACCGCGACGGCACCCGCGGCAAAGAGTGGCAGCCACACGCCGCGCTAGCCGCCGCCGCTGTCATGAAGTCCATCGTCGCCGCCATGGACCCGCCCACAGATTAAACACCTCACCTGCTAGCCTAGGACGCATGACATTATATCGTTTTATCGATTTTACACGATAAGCCCATACATTTGTCGACGATAAGATTATATCGTGGCGTGCATCCTATGCTGGCTGGAGTTTAAATACTCTGGAGGTCCTATTGATCTAGTATGGAACATGACGTCATTGTGCACGAAGAAAAGGGTTTGTCACAAGTAAAAAACTTACATAACATGCGTATTTCGATATTTTCTCTCAAATATCCAGTGGTTGTTGAACTATCAATACCACTTAGCAGACATAAAGTTAATATTTACTGTTTTATTTTGTGTGTTTGCCTATTAATTTGTGTTTTGTTCATTTCTATCAAAATTAAAGTCAATATCTATTGTAGGTAAATTGAGACATTGATACAATGGTATTTATAGAGAAAACTAAACCTCATTTCTACGATGAATCATGTTCCATAGAATACAATGGATATTACCTAACACTGTTATGTTCGTTTCAATCCCTGGCGCGTTTATTACCGGAAATGTGGTAATTATACAAACAAATTCTATATTTAATTTTGTTCTAAGAAGACATTGTAATTAATATTGCGTTTGCATACTATCGCACTGCCTCATGATAACGTATGGAGCACTTTATTTTTAAAATCTCAGTTCGTTTTTCTTTTCAGTGTATTTTTGACCATAATTGTTTTTGGATGTGAATCTAAATGTTTCGTAAAATATTCGATAAATGACTAGCGCGGCTTTTTGTGCACTTTAATTAAATTACACTACTTAAAGCCTAGCATTGTGTGGGCACGTTGTATCGCTTTTATGAGTATCTACAGTACAGTGGGTATTTAAAGGAATGTATTAATAAATAGTAATCTGACACTAGCACCGAATTGCATGAAAAAACAGAAGATATGTAAATGTGGCGACTAGTGTGAGTCTATCTTTAGGGACATTTGAGATTAGTACCTACTAAATATTTCGTACCTACGAGTCGCTTCCAAAATAAAACTTATACGTGCCGAAATAACGCTCTTAAGAATGAGTTTATTTGTTCCATAGAGGTTTACTCTATCTATGTATATTATCGATAAGTTTCACCAGTGTATGTACTTCAAACGGGACTTATCTTTGCCTTATTTATTGTGTAGTTTTTACTAAATTATTATGTACTCAAAGTATAATTAGCCGTACTGTTAAACAGTAGAAACTTTTACAAATAGCCATTTACTGCCATAAATTCTTCCAACGCGTGCGTAAACGTACGTCAGCTAAAACTATTGTATTCATCACAAAGTTGAAACGTAGGTCACAAATACTGTGTGATGTAGACAAATAAATCTTGAGTACCAATGTAATTTATTTACAGGTTCACTTGCCTTAGATTTGGCTGTTACGATTTATATAGATGTTTATATCACTTAAGAGTTATTTACACAATGTAGTAATAGATAAATGTAACGAATCATTTTAGTGAGATATTTGTTAGATTACTAAGTTGTCTTGTCTGCCTTTACCTTACACGCAAGCAGCTGTTACCAGTGAAACCTAAACTGTAGGGAAGTTCAATCTATGGTTAAGTAATTTTGAATCCTTTTAATCATATTGGGTGGAATACAGCTGCATGGTCTTATTAAATTTTAAAGAGCTTCGAAAATGAATAATTTTAATATGTTTAAGTGTCCTTCCTTAAAATGTATCACGAAGCAGAACTGTGTTAAAAAATCTTCCCATTGTTTCCATTTCTAGATAACCGACTTAGGTAGGTTTTCACTCATTATTGTTTTTTGAAATAAAGAAAAATGTGTCATTCATACACAAAAAAGTACCAAATAGTGTGGTGTTAAAATATTGTTTATGTTTACAAGAGTATTATTACCATGATCTACTTACACATTTAAAGCATTCCGCTATTAATTTAGTTTTAGTGTTTTTTGTAGAAAACCAGTTTAATAATAGACAATGACACAATGTTTAATCGCATTCTATATCGAAATTATTGATAGCAGTACATATAGGATAATGAGATTGATACATCGGGGAAATTGTAAATGACAAGTACTATTTAAGAGTAATGTATATTTAACCAAAACTAGAACTACCACTGCCATAAATGGCCTATTTATTATTGTTAATAATTTATCTGTTGTGAAATATATTAAAACCAAAGTTTAGACTTTTGGCTGTTTGTAAACACCTAGTCTAGTCGTCAGAATTGTGAAATGAATCGTTATTTACGAAATTGCATAAATAATTTATAAATCCCATATTGTCATTTTACATAGGGAACTTTATTATCCTAGAAATGTTGGTCTCAAACAAATAATTTCAGTCGCTATCTTATCCGGTTTTAAAATACTGAGCTTTAATTTTAGTAAAGTAATAAATTACTATGGTGCGTCCAGACTGGGCGCATGGGCTCGCGCGGCAAACTTAACATCCTGCTCACTCAAGAGCAGGGTGAGCAGGATGACCAGCGTGCCGCGCGAGCCCGTGCGCCCTGTCTGGACGCACCATTACTTACATTATTCTCTTTACAAAACATGTGGGCAACAAACTCATGCAGCTCATTGTTATAAAAGCCAAGTTTTTAAGAAATCAGCTATTTTGTCTTACTAACAAACCAAACATCCTTCTCCTTAATTGGTTAAAAAGTATCAACAGCGGCTGAAAGAATAACATGTTAATTAAACAAAATATATTCACGTTGATATTGACACTGAAATAATGCATAGTATTTGTTGTTTTTAAAGTTTTTTTTGTTTGTAGTTCTGAGTAGGAACACTAATTAGCTTAGTTTTAATTGTAATTATGTAGCCGATCTAATTTATAATCTTTTGTATATTTGGTATAAGTCCTGACTTGTATTATTATGTATTTATTACAATTTTAAAGCACAATAAAGTTAATTTTAATTCAGTATTATTTTATTGTTTACCTAACTCTTGTAACTGATAAAGGATATAGATGTTACGGTCAAAGTGATAAATGTGAAAATTATGAATAATCGCCGGTTATTATTTATTTATTTATTTATTTATTGATAAAGGTACACCAACAGCAATACACATTTAAGACATTCACAGTATACAACACATATTAGGGTTTTAGTTTAAATATGTTTGCCAATTACAGGTATACACAACAATTTCCAAAACATTGCAGCTTATTAAATATGTTATTTGTGTATACAAAACACTAAGAATTTCACAACCAACGAGTCAAGCAATAAAGTTTTCCTATCACGAGTGTGTACTGAAAGGCTGAAAATGATTGTTTAATTTGGTTTTGAATTTGGTAGAGGAAGTTATTATGAATAATTACCGCATGATTTGGTAAATGTGATTAATATGAGGTCATTTATGTGTGTAAAAAACTAAATAGGCGGCTTGGGGGTGGCCCAAGGGCCCCCCCCCGCCGCACCTTAACCTATTTTTCACTTTAAATCAAAACATTATGTTATAGGCATCATGGAAAAGTAATATTATGCAAAAAACATTCCAAACTCATTATGCCAAATTATACTAATATATGATATCAAAACGTTCAAAAGTTTGGCTGTACACGAGCACGTACACAAGATGTTGTTCTCTTTTATGAAATTTGTTAGTACTAAGGTTGAATTATGAAATAATCACTGTTAAATGTGATTAATTTATCACTTTCACCGCGACTGTCGGGAATTATTCATAATAACCGGTTATTATTAATAATTTTCAATTTATCACATTAACCGTAACATAGATATAAACCTAATTTACATTTGAAAGTGACAATATATCAATGTTAGAGTATCAGGTACATTTAATAAATCTCTTTTTTGAAACGCTCAGAAGTTTGTTGCAGTAAATAAAATAAAAATGTTGGAATGCTCTTATAATTATATTCTCTTCAACAATAAAGATACAATTTACTTAAAATTAATACAATATTTTACTTAGCTATAATAGCCTTTGATTTGAACAGTGTCCAAGTCCAAGACTGTACTGCTGGATTGTAGAGTACTCACCAGCTAATAGTTTTTGATTTCATTCTGAAAATAATAATAATATGAGCCTCTATATGATTCAATGAATTATTTTAAGATATATTAATTAATGATGAATGTGTGTGATGTTAAAATACATAAAATGAATGCTCATAATTTAAAGATATTTTTTGTTAGAGAATATTCACCAGACATATACAGGGTGTTGTTAGGAGCCAACACTAGCCCATGTTAACATGGTCATATAAATGGTATGGTGAAGTCAGAAAATTGATATCTAAATTTTAATTATTTTAATTTTCATACAAATCGGATTTTATAAAAAATATTTTGTATGAAAATTTAAAAAAATAAAATGATATCAAATATCTGACTTCACCATACTATTTATATGGCCATGTTAACATGGGCTAGTGTCGGCTCATATACCCATTTACCTAACACCCTGTATATCTTAAAAAATATATAAGTTATCAAAAGGGTTATTACTACTCACATAATAAACTTATAGGTACCATATAATATGATGTTTTTTTATTGAAGTAAAAAGTATTAGTTCAAAAATTAGTACACAAATATATCAACACAGTGGTGGAGTGAACTCTGTGTTAGTTTACATAGAAATTCCCATGTTAGTTGACATGTAAATTGCATTACACAAGCAAAAGTAAACCAGTTGTAATTAGAATACAGTTCTGAGACAAAAGCCTAATAAAATGTTGTTACTTGCATCAGTCTTAGTAGGATGATGTTGTCCGTTTGACCATCAATGTTATTGTTGATCTTCTAAAAGTTTACAAAAAATATAAATTTAAACAAAACACAGAAATAAAAAACGTAACATTTATCTTGGTAATGAAGAAAACCACAATGATTATTGAAAAATATTTTAATAAGTCACAGTAAATTTATAACTATTAATCTCATTAGGTATTTATTTACTAGATCTTACATTAATTCAGCATTTTTTGACAAAATAATGGAAATAACTACTTACCAACGTATTTAACTTCGTCAAAAGCTTTCCTAGCCTTCTTGAGCTCTTCATTCATAGTGAGCAGATCTTTGACACGGGCATATTTACGTGGATCTTTGCGGACCAAGAATATGATATCCTCAACTTGTACCCTTCCTGTTCTACCCACTTCCATTGCTCTGAAAAGTAATTAATTCTAGATCTGAAAATTATATTCTAGTATGTCTATCTAAAAAGAATTTTACTTAAATATTGAACATGGTAAGGCCTACATAAAGTACAGTACTACAAAGACTGACAATTATTATCTAGGTTCCCACTGACCTGTGTGTTGTTTCAGTTATAAATTCAATAACAAGATCTTCTAAAAAGTCCACACTTTCAGTGTACGGATTTTGATCATCACCAAATCCATACATCATACATCGAAGTTCTTTGCTAAAGAGCCTTTTTCGTCCAGATGCAGTTGCTCCTAGCTGCTGCTCAGTTTCATCTTCGTCAAACTTAAACCAATAATATTAAACATTCAATCTTATGAAGCTTAAATAAAAATTTGTAAGAAAAAAATGTAATAGCATACCTGATCAAAATTGTCAGGGTTATCGGGTGTTGGGGTAGTCATGGTTAATTCACAGATAAGTTTTTGAATAGATGAGATTATGGAGTGTTACAATTTGGAAGAATTCATTAATGCAAGCAAGCAAAATCTAAAAAAACATCACACACAGATGAGAACACAATATGCCTGACCACTATCGATGGGCGTTATTCGTTATCACGGGTTATTAAACGAGTGATCAGCCTGACCAGTGATCACTCGTTATCCAGAAACGCCTAAACTAGTTTTTTTCTTAACGTCATACAACGTTAGAATCTCTTCGTTATTCAACACGATTGTTTCCACAACGCTCTAAAGCTAAACTGAATTCACTCTTAAGCAAACAACATAAGGTAGATATTTGGTTGACATAAAAAATAACGTGTTTCCCGCTTCGTTATGACAGATTTGATGAAAAAGTCGTACATTGACGATTATTAAACATATTTTTTGTAACCTAAAGGAGTAAAGCGAGTAATGTATGGTGTCCAATTAATAAGGATCGTAACGAAACGAGTGCGTGTGCGAGTGAGAAAGCCATAGGACGTTAACATAAGCGTGGATGAAATAGGTATAATGTTCGTCGTACGTTAGATATTCAATTGAATTTGAGTCTTATTTTGAAGGTCATAAGTTCCTAAATGCCTTGCAGCTAACCAAACACCTAACGTTATAATTATCACGCTTGCTTGAGAGTTGTGGAAATAACTTCGTTTAAAAAAAACTAGTTTTGAAAACGTTATTCGTGATTCGAAAACCGTCGCGTTTAGTTATTTCAAAAACCCATAACGACACATCTTTACTGACCACTGTCTCATACTCTCTAATCTGTGCACTGTCTCATCCAGTGGGTAGACACTTCTCATACAAAAACTAGTCTCTANAAACAATTTTGCTGACAAAAGTAAAAAAGCACAGCAACAAAGCATTGAAAAGTAATCTTGAGGCTGAGGTTCGATCAGCTGATAAGAAAATTAAAGATGTTTATAAATAAAAATCCTATTTTTTCTTAGAAAAAGTTGTGAAAATAAAAGTTTACAAAATTATCATTTCTGTACTTTGTTATAATATTCAATAATTCCTCATGCCTACAACTGCTATGTCATGTTCAATACTTATTGTAATATACCTATTTTATTTCGAAATAAATAATTTACGTTACAAAACTTCGTTTTACTTACACATAGTATAAAATAAAAATAGTAATCATTAAAATATTGAAGGTTCCTATACTAGATATCGATATGCAATTACAACCCTAGCAAAGTATCGATAATCGATAAGTTATTACGAACGTCACTAATACTGTCAGAAAATAAGGCATTATGTTGGTAGCTCCGCCTGTAGTTTGTGCGGTTGGTAAAGATTTGCGGGTCGTTCTCTAAAATGCATATGTGTGTGTGAGCTCAAAAAATATCTATGGAGTGCCGTCTTTTATGCTCTTTGGTCTCATCTGTGGATATGGATTAGTGCCTGACTGTCAAGTCAAATGTCAATGTCAGTATTGTCAGTCTTGTTGTCACGCCTTTGACATATAACACACTATGGACCGGGCATACTTAAAAAATAAAAGTACGCAGTACGTACTGCATTACACACACAAGTTACAAATATGGGAAATGAACATGGCCGCAATATAGGCAATCAGTCAGTGCCCCGATTGCGCTAATTTTTAACGTCTCCAATTCATTGGCGCTTCTTCTCCAATTGCGCTTCGTTTTTCATTCCAGCTGAGGTGCAAATTCTGTATCACAGTAATGGACGTACAGTGCCCCGATTACGCTAATTTTTAACGTCTCCAATACATACGCGCTTCTTCTCCAGTTGCACTCCGTTTTTTATTCCAAATGATGTGCAAATTCGGTATCACGGTAATGGACGTATATACCTTCCTGGTATTTTCATTGTCACATGAGATATTGCTAGAGGGGATTGCCTGTCAGTTCCACTCCTGTCGTTAATTCCTCTATGGGGCCTTGGCTAATTCCTTGCATGATCCAAATTAATTTACAAATCAATTATGTACCTACTTATAGCCTGACCAGGAACATAAAAACCCTGGCATAGAGGCGCGTCAATCGCATTTGATAGTGCAACACTGAGTACAGTCGTACCTGTGTTAAATTAATAGGCTAACTTTATGTATCAGGATTTAGGATTACGGGCTAATTTGATATTTTCATGAATTAACGAAAAAATATTATTATAGGTAACCTGGTTTAAATAAATTAAATGAAAACATCAATCGAGCTAGTAGGATTTATTTTATTATTCATCAATAATCAAATTCAGAACTTGAATATTCAACTGCAATGTACCTGCTCATGAACGCTTCAAACTCGGTACTTCTTTCCCAATTCCATAAAATTCAACACTTAGAAAGTGACAAAAATCTTTAAAATAGGTAGTTGAAACAAATCACAGCTAATTTTCATAGTGGCAAATTATAAAAGCGGCATTAGACTCATGAAGCTAAAGATAGAATGGAGGCCACATTCCGAATAACTTAAAGCACAACCTATGTATCACTATCTCGCTCTCTGTGGGCAGACTCTCTCTTTCTAAATAAACAAAAAATATAAAGGATGATGGGCAAAAATGTATGGAAAGTGGTACCCGCTCCAATAGCCATAACCAATATATATTTTAAAAGGCCTTTAGATGTAGGAAAATGTCTGCTATGGGGCCAGTTCTAATTCACGTTTTGAAAGCAGTAATTTATCCACTAAGTATTATATTGAAAGTATAACACAATCATCCATGTATACGAGTATGTATTATGACTACAAGTACAATCTATTAATATAACTAAAAGAAGCATTGAACAGGAAAGGATTATACCTACGATGAACTACCCTAGCTATTAGCCCTTTATTCGCTTTCATCATCATCATCATGATCATTTTAGCCATAGGACGTCCAGTTGAATATAGGCCTCCCCCAATGATTTCCACAATGGCCGGTTGGTGGCGGCCTGCATCCAGCGCCTTCCCGCTACCTTTATGAGGTCGTCGGTCCATCTTGTAAGTGGACTTATTGGGTCTTGTGGGTTTATTCGCTTTAGCAACCCATAATAAAACCCTTAAGAAGAAATAAAACTTTAACCCCTTTATTTATAAAAGTTACACCCTAGTTGAACTCTGGCTTAAATTGTCATTTGGTATGGAAATGTCATTTTAATCCAAGGTTCTTCCTACGTGTAACTTTTTATTAATAAGGGGGTAACTTCTTTGAATAAAAATATTTATTTCACAACTGTCCCCATCAATATTTATAGAGTTAAGGAAGGATGCTGGAGCAGTAAACCCTTCTTGCCTCGCATAACCTGAGTACCATACGATGGACACGTATGATACTTCTTCTTCTTCTTCCTCGGTCCCTCACTGATGAGGATCGCGACCACAGATAGTGTTCCTCCACAGACTGCGGTCATAAGCTGTGTGGACCGCACGATGCAAACTCCCGTCCACCGTCTTCCTCACCGCGTCCGACCATCTCGTCGGTGCCCTGCCCTGAGCGCGTCCCCCTTCATACTGTATGATACTTAGGTTACACAAAAAGTATCTTTATCTTCGAACGCAACCAGATCTGAGGCTGGTGGCCATAGTAAATGTTGTTCGTCTTGGTAAGACCTTTCAAATGACACTACAAACATAACTATTGGAGCTGGGTACCATTCTGCAAAAAAGTATGTATATCTTCGTACACAACCAGATCTGAGGCTGGTGGTCATAGTAAAAGTTGTTCATCTTGGTAAGACCTTTCAAACGATACTAGACACATATCTATTGGAGCCGGGTACCATTTTGCCCATTGTCCTTTATAGCCTGACCAGGAACATAAAAACCCTGGCATAGAGGCGCGTCAATTGCATTTGATAGTGCAACACTGAGTACAGTCGTACCTGTGTTAAATTAATAGGCTAACTTTATGTATCAGGGTTCAGAATTACGGGCTAATTTGATATTTTCATAAATTAAAGAAAAAATATTATTATAGGTAACCTGGTTTAAATAAATTGAATGAAACCATCAATCGAGCTAGTAGGATTTATTTTATTATTCATCAATATAGGTGTACCAGAATCTCATGGCAAACAAAAATATTGGAAAAGTGTGTTTTTCATATGGCCATTGTCTATGGCTTTATTGTCACCTGTCAAAGTAAATCAAGAGATCTGTCAGCCGCTGCAGAAATTTTGTAATCTCTTCATGCCTATTTGTTATTTTTGTGAAAAAGACGAAAAAACTCAAGCAAGTCATATTGTTTTCAAAGTGTATTGTAAAATAAGGAATAATTCGAAGTCAATCTTTGATTTTAAAGCGCGTCGTTGAGTTGACAGTAAGTTGGAGTGAAATGTTTTGATACTTACCTACATTTAGTTTATTACCTAACTGCGTCAGAAGGAGGGTTATGTTTATTTTTATATTATTCTTACCTAATAGCTGCTTTATCGGAGTTTTCAGGTGTATTTCATGCATTGGTGCAGAGGAATGGTGAAAATGTTATGACCATGTAAAGAAAATTGAAAAAGATTTCATCAAGCTAGTTTGAGTAATTGAAATGCTGAAAAAGCTATTTATATTATATTAATACCTGTTTAACTTGATCATCTATTTGAAGAACAAGAAATGCAAGTGGAGTTCTTAGAATCGTTTTCTAGTTCTGAATGAAGTGATAAGTTATAAGTATGATACTTAATAAAATTATTTACAGTAATATACGGTTTACTTATTTTTCAAGACATGTTCCTATGTTAAAAACCCGATGTATAACAACATTCTTCATACACATAATTACCTAAAATGTATATGTAGGCATTCGTACTAAACTTCATGTTCATTAATATTAGTCATAAATAAAAATTAAATAGTATCAAGATCGTTTGATCCAATTTCCCCAGTATTGCACTCAACAAAGTTTATTTTCCCCATTTGCCATGAGATTCTGGTACACCTATACCGCAACCACGCACTACAAAATTTTGCACCATTTCTGGTGATAAAACAATGATTGGGTCCTGTAAAAAATCTCAAACGAAATTAACTGCATAGTAAACAAAATATGTAGTAAAAAACCGCCATGATGGGCCGGATTGGGCCGATGTTGCCACATGGTACCGATTCCTCAGGAATTGGGATTGTAATTCCCTGATTCGCCAACACATTAAGCCTAAACGGCCGACAATTTTGTGATTTTTAATTTAACTAGGTAATAGTAGTTCAAATATTTAATTAATTATTTGTTTAACTTCTGATTTGGTTAGTGAATTGGCTATTTCGAAGAATTTATTAGGAGATTTATTAAATAAGAAAATAGCAACTACAGTCCACACTAAAAAGAGAGGTCGGCCCACAGAGAGCGAGATAGACATAAGTAGGTATCTGACTCAAGTTTTTGTTCCAAGTGTGGCCTCCATTTTTATCTTTAGCTTCAAGGGTTGTCACCACAGTTGTCTCCAAACTTTTTAGGTTATGTTTATTGAAAACATCAAAAGTATAAACCTTGTTATTAATTACCATTGTTTTATAGCTTTAAAGCATTATTATAAATAAAAATAGTATTGGGATAATCACCTTTCGAAAATGAATCCTATGACGTGAGTATATGTTCTAACAGCAACATTAATTAACAATAAAAACAAGCTTGAAATAACCAATGCTTACTATTTTCAGTAATGTGAAGAATGTTTTGAAATTGAGTGAGCGTGAATTATCTGGTAAATCAAAGACTTCGTGGCATGATCAGTATAAAGATAGTGCGTGGATATTTGTAGGAGGTCTGCCGTATGATCTCACCGAAGGCGATGTTATTTGCGTATTTTCGCAGTGAGTATATCGTTAATTAATTAAGTATTCTAGAAAATGCGTTAAACGAGCCTACTGTTTACACCAAACATGTTTTCAGATATGGTGAAATTGTCAACATAAACTTGGTCCGTGATAAAGAGACTGGAAAATCCAAGGGATATGCATTCATATGCTTTGAAGATCAGCGCTCAACAATACTTTCTGTCGACAACTTAAATGGGATCAAAGTGAGTTAATGCTTACCTAGGAGACAGGTCGGTGTTTCATGATACTAGAAATATATTAGAATAATAAACATTAATGTATTTTTTCAGATTTTGGGACGCACAATTCGTGTAGACCACTGTGAGCAGTACCGTGCTCCAAATGCAGATATGTCCAAAATTGATGAAGTGACTGCAGCTGTGAGAATTCAGGGCTGTGCACCTGTCCCTATAAAGCCCGAACCAGTAGTGAAACAGGTACCTATTGTAATATTAATAATAATGTATTCAGTGACATGCATGTCACTAAAGGCATAGCATGCAGTAATATTAGTATGTATAGGGTTTATTTGTAGTACATTCATTATCTCTTTGTAGGATTTTACTATTAAATTTACTTACAAACTAGATATTGTTTGTAATTTCCTAAGTATGAAAGATGATTAACTAGTGGTACTTTAATCATGATACTTTTTTGTCTAATATTATCATAATTTTATTGAAACCAAACTTGTACATATTTCTAGGCTAAGCTTTTTTTAAAGTAAATAAAAAAAACGATATTTATTAATTTCAGGAGAAAGAAAAAGGTACCAAGAGGAAGAAAAAGGAAAAGAAAAGCAAGAAAAAAAAGAAAAAAAGAAGCAAAAGTACAGACTCAGACTCTAATTCTAGTGATTAGTAAATTGTTAACTTATAAATAAAATAAAACTTAAGTGCACTTTTTATGAAACAAGCAGTCTTTTAGATCACCTAAAATTACTTATAGACTAGCGGTCCCATATGGTACCACTTTTTTGTGTGTTTTAATTTGGCTCTATACATTAACACGTGAAAAGATGCAGTGCTCTGATTGATGCAAGTCGTAGCCAATAGATATGGTCTATGCTTCTAGGAATAAAAATTTACAGTTATTATTTTCAGTTGTGTGTAATTAATGATTGAAGTGAGCGCATCAAAATTTTCTCTTAAAAATTGACGCGCCATTCAAGTAAGTGATCATATTTTTTTTGTGTGATAGTGAAATACTGATTTTGTTACAATCTTGTATTCTCCATCATCATCATCATCAACAGCCCTTTACAGTCCACTGCTGGACTATGAGCCTCCTCCACTATAGTGGAGGGTTTTGCCATAATCTCCACGCTAGGCAGGCGGGTTGGAGATTGCAGTTTAAAAGATTGATGTTTTTCATTGATTGTTGTATTCTCCATAAGTGCTCTTATTGTGAAATGGTGTAAAATTACGTCGATATATAATAATAATGGGAAATATTGTATGTCAAAGTTACTGGTACCGTACGGTACCGCTAGCCGCTTACCGTGTCTTTTTAATTATTTTATGATTTTTAGTTTTTACTGTATTTATTGGGAAGTATGTGATATATTCAATGGTAAATAAGGTATACAGGAAGATAAAGTAAAATAGTTTCCTATACTTTACAAAACCATGGGTTATTATTTATTTTAGATGTACCTTACACGAAACATTGGCAGTTTTGGAGGACGATGAAGTCCCAAAACGAAGCAGATATTTATAGAACGAACTCGAGATAATTGCAACTCTCGAACAATATTAGAGTATAGGAAATGTTACATGGGGCTAAGTGCAGTCTGCAATGCCAAGCACCATTCCAAATTTTTTAATATTCAAAGATAAAAATGAATATTCCTTACCCAATATACAGTTTTTTGTACATTTAATATCACTTCTGTTATTTGCTTGTATATTAATACATATAATAATAATAATAAAATATATATATAATTAACCCTATTTTTATAAAGCCCATGATAAAGTTATGTTTTAACAGACTGACACGGTAAGAGGCTAGCGGTACCATATGGTACCAGCATTTTTTTTCTAGATTACAGGTCGGATCGTTTTTTTAATGCTTGTATAGCATTATGTAGACCATAATTATGAACATATTTCAAAAAAACAAAAATCTGACACTCTAAGAAAACTCAGTCTATAATGGGTTAATAATACTTTATTAAAATATATTCATGACTAGACAGACAGAAATTGAGATCAAAAAAGTAACTTACATTTTCAATGTTAGTTAAAATATAAATTAAATGCATTAATAACAATACTTAGCTAAATTATCTTAAATTAAATGTAGGAACATTTAATATTAAGAAAATAAATTTACAATTCGTACAACAAATACCACAATAATAGTACAACAACAAATACAACATTTATACTGATATTGTTAAATTAATATATGTAGAAGACATCATAAATAATGGAATAATATGTAATGTTGTATACTAAATTATTACTAACAACAAATAGATTCTATCAAATGAGGATCATTTCGATTTTTAGCTGTGAATGCAGATTTATAGGGCTAAGAAATCCTTAATACACAGTCCAAAAATTTTTGTTCTACGACAAAAATTGACGAAGTTATGGCCAAATTACTAAAAAAGTTCACTGACCGCCCGGCGCGGGGACGATGACGTCATTATATCCGATCCGAACGCTGCCGGCGTACTGCGTGGATAGAAAATATTTTTTTCTAGCCAAACTATCAGTTTTACGGCCGAATACTGAAACACTACTCAAATCTTTCACTCAGCTGACGGGCTCCTAAATTTAAGTATCCTTCAATTTTAAATGGTATTCTCAAACGCCACTCAACGGATTTGAAGCCGTGATCAGCTAAGCAGCTCTCAAATGTTTACATAATGGCAACATTTACCAAAAAAAGTATGTTTTCATTTACACAAATGATGACTTTACGTTTTTTATCCATTACACGCAGCATCGTTTTGTTATGTATTGTTTTTTATGGTATATACTCAATCAACTTAACATAGAACAGTTTATTTTTAGTTTCTATTATATCTAAATCTCGTTTTATTATATAAAAAAAATTAATGCTTGCATTTTTATTTAATTAAAAAGATAATTTTAAAGGTGATACTTTTTATTGTTGAAATCTATTAAGTGGCGATCGTGGACCGAAACGTAACCACAATTGACATTTATCATTGTTGACAGAGCATCAAATTGACAAATCAACAACTCTTGGAAATGCTGCGATGTCCCCATATTATTATTCCTCAGAAGTAGGCATGTTTATGTAAAGCGATTTCATAGCAGCTATTTTGGTTTTTACTTTGTGCTNCCTCATTACTTGCGGTTAGCAAGTGTTTTTAATATAATATTCTTAATATCCCTAAGGTTTGAATTTACGCATTGGTCACTGTCACCATAGGCTATGATACCACCTGCATTACAAAATTGTTGGGGGTCACTGCTGTTGGGTACATTGTACTGTATTGAAGCATGTGTATCAAATGATATTACATCACCACCTCTTGCTTTGAGTATCGCATGTGGGCCACAGGTATCCCATAAGAATGTTGTACTCTTAGATAAAATGTATGCAATGGCATCACCTGTAACAAAAGTTATTGAGTTAGAAAGGCATGCATAACTTATTTGTCTCCTCAATATTCTTGTAAGCTCAAGGTATTTGAGAGTGATGACACATAGCTTCCTACAGTATTATGTTCTTTGCCAAAGCATAGAATTGTTTCATAGGCCAACAATTGCTGCATTTTCATATGTTTAAAAGGTCTTGATTTACTATATCAACAATGTGTTGTCTATTGGCAATAGTAGTAAAAAATTGAGTAAAAATATGAATATTGAATTAATACCCAAAGCAACTCCAAGAAGTTTGTTGCCAGCACCAGCGGCATCTGTGATGTTGCAAATCGTCATAAAAGTCTTCCTTATAAGTGGATCTTCTGCAGAGCTCATGTAAATTCCAGCAGTACCAAGATCAAAGTTCTCAACATTGTGTCCACCCCATCTCTTAACACCTTCATAACAAATACCCCAAAGAAGACGACCCTGACTACTGAAAAAAAGGATTTGTCATTTTTTTTTAATTGTTAGGGAATTGCAATATAATTGCTTGCTTGTCTGATTTTTAATGGATAAAATTAATGATTTAAATGATGACCGAATCTATTGATACTATTTTTTTAACTTTGAGTAGGCTAGTGTTTAATATTAACCCACAGACTCAAACAATTGCACTATAAAAGTCAAGAAGCAGATTTAAAATCTTTATACATACCAAATTATGTGGATCGGTTATGAGGACAATATAGTTTTCTATTATTCCATGCTTTGTGCTGTCTGATGGAAGGGTGGGTTGGGTGTAAGGCAAGTGACTCAATTTTTATCTTGCCTATAACAAGGTTTGGCCAGGGTCATTTTACTTGTCATTCAAAGCACAGAGATGCTTTCTTTTAAATGTGGATAGGATGGTTACATAGGATGTTTACAAATATGGCATCTGACTGATTAAAAGGAAATACTACTATTTTTTCTGATCTGAAAATAATTTAAAACTTGATGCCTCAGGTGTGATGAATACATAAAAAGGGAAATTTGGAGTCACTCACTTTAATAATACTAGTATCATAAATTAATTACCTATTGAAAAAAGGTTGATTGATAACACCAATGACTGGCTCTCCAGTGGATCTCCTGTATGCCCCAATCAAAACAGTGACAACCTGGAGTCCCTTATTCAAAGCTGCTGTACCATTTATTCCTGCAATGAACTCTGCTGTGGCATCTGTAAATAAAAATAAAAACGATAGGCATTTGCATTAATCTGATCACATTGCATGACTAACAGAAAACTATTTAAGTATTTACCTATGGGATCAATCCAAATTCCCAAGTCACTGACATCAACGTCAGGAAGATCAGATGGCAACTGGTAGTGCAGTGGATGTTTTGTATCAGAGTGGGCAGCCACGGCCATACGCTTTGCAAGACTTGGGTGTACAAGTGAAGTGAGAAGTTCTGCTGTTTCATCAACAGTGTCTGCTAGTTTGATCGACGTTCCACCAATTTCACAGCATTCTTCACCTCGAACATGACCAGTTAATTCCGGGAACTTGGTAACTAATGTTTTTCTTATACATTCTTGTGCTAACACATCAGCTATGGTTTTATAATCTTTTTCAAAACGAGCGTTTGCTTCTCCATCAGATTTCTCAGCAACAAGCAGATCATTTTTATTATCGCTATTGCAACAAGACCTTGCCACCAGTGCAGCCCTTTCTGAAGCATTTATTAGGGCTCGCAAAATTTCCGTCATTATTGCTAACAACTCAATTATTCAAAGTTAAAAATCAATATTAATTAAAGTACATAACATTAAACATTATTTAACGACACGAAAGATTTAACTTGTTAAAGTTCACAAGTTATTTTTTTGTATTAAATTTAATTTGTAAAATCGATCACAAAGTTAGTTTCCGAACGAGTTTGACATAACATGTGTCTGTCATGTTGACAAACTCCTCCCACTGGGCTCAAAGATAATATAATTAAATGGACACTGAAAGCTATCTCGGTAGGATCGAGAAAAATATACGATATAATACGATTGTTTACGATGCGGACACTGAACGTTACACGTTACACGATAAAAATTCTATTTTATGATGTATGTTTGGCAGCAATGGTACTTCATAAGTTCATAATCTTCTTAAGGATGTCTTGGCGGAAAAGTGAAGCGTCATGCTAAGCAGTTAGGTAAGTAATAGAATGTTTAGTGGACCATTATACAAAGTAATAATGTTGCATTATTAACCATAATGTTCGTGAATGTGAATATGCATTATGAAGGGCAAACGAAACAAAACAGTGTAACATTATGTTTTCAATTTCTTTCAAATAGTCCGAAGTAACAGTAAAGCACCACATCTTTACTGAAACTCAAGGGGTGGGGAGGGGTATTATCTTTCATTATTACATCGTTTAATTATGTGTGGGGTCCTAAAACTAAAAAAAAAATAAAAGTGAAGACTTGGCTGTATGGCGTAATGCCTTTGCCTTTCCTGAAAAATGTGTGTTGGCGGGAAACTGAAACGTCATGTTTCGAAGTTTTGTTGTTTATAAAGTGTGTATAATTAGCCCAATAAAAGTAATAATGGTGCATTATTAAACATTAAATTATGAATAGTTTAAAACTGAATGCTGTACATAATGGCGTATGGCCAAATAATAATACTCAGCAAAATTTCAATGTCTTTATTGTTATATTAGGTAAGTAACCTACACCTAGTAAGCACTTAAGTTTGTTTTCTTCTAAGTTTAACTTTTTTTCATATAAAATGTAATAACAATTTTATAGATACCTTCTAGATTAGATACCCTTAACCCTAGATAGCTAACCTCCGTCGATTCGACGGGCATTGAAAAGAAATAACGTTCTAACTTTTTAATGCCACGTCCAAACGTTTTGTCTCGACTAGCCAACTCAGAGGCCCGGGAGTCCTTTGCAGTGGTGTAGACAGTGGACGGGTAAGTTTTATAGTTTTTAAGATATTTGATCTTTGCCCGTCGTTTCGACGGATGGTTAGCTTTACCGTAAGTAATTTAGTTCGAGTGCCTGCATACATTTTTTTAATAAATTTGAGATTTTTTTAGATTTTCATCTTGTTTTCATTAAAAAACGATAAAATAATAAATCTACTACTATAAGAAGTTACTAACGATGCCCTGGATGCTAATCCTGCCCGTGAGACCGAAGACTTTCTGGTGGAAGATGATGTGCAAAGTAATCATAATTATTAACCATCATATTATGAGGAAAGTTATGTAAACCCACCACCAGACTTGTCTTCAGACGTGGAACGTGATTCGTCAATTATTTCAAATACCGTTCCCTCGGAAATTACAAAAATCAGCATTATATCATATCAAAATATGCGGTAAACATAAAGTTGATTTTTGTGTCACTTGCGCTAAAAAGAAAAAAAATATTTTATGATTTTATTACTTTTAATTTTTTTACTTACCATATTAAGTAAAAAAACAGATTATTTTATTTAAAATTTTCATTGATATTGCTTGTCAAAGTGGTTATTTACAAAATCTTCCAATTTCTTTAGAGGTCTAAGAAAAAATATTTTAATTTAATAAATAAATAAATATGGTGAATTTATATAATGCACATTTATTCACAAACATATGAAGGAACCAAACTGTAAAAAAAACTCAGATTTTTTAAATTACTTAGTCCAAAAAATAATCTTTTTTTAATACCCGTCGTTTCGACGGATGGTTAGCTTAAACAGGGTACGCCGGAAGGTTAGCTATCTAGGGTTAAAATGTTGGCTGCTAAATGCAGTTACGTTACAGATAAAGTCTATTGTGCGTGATCGACCTTTGTGGCGCGTGTCGATCAGTTACAGTGATACTGTTGTGCATTTCAATTGCAATATAGAATTACATAGAATTATCGACCTTTGTAACATTTTAAAATTGGTTCAAGATCATGTGAATTGGTTTTATTTACTTTTTTAGTAACACGAACAACATAAATCACACTAAGGTTTTATGGACGCAATACAGCGGTGGGACGGGACAGTCAAATAGAAAACATGAACAACTTAGGTATAATACACATTTTTTATAGTTTACTATAAAATGGGTATGAACAATGGGCAATAAAAAAATATCTAGTACCTAAGTAGTAGGCTTACCTACTACTTAGGTACTAGATATTTTACCTACTTAATAGTTAATATCAACTTCACCCGAGTATTGCGTTCGCACTTTGCGTACGTTGGGAAATCCCTCGACCCAAGTCCATTAAAGGTAACCACAAGATAAATTAATTAGGGGCACTTACTTTTGTTTTTGAAAGTTTTGGTGTGTGGAACTGGAATTTCCAACCCCGCATCCGTTTCCCTTAGGCATATACTTTTATTAATTTATTCCCCAGGTCACCTTTTGGCAGCAGAGTTTATTTTTGGTACTGATATTAAATTGTAGCAGAGCTGAAAAGTAACACACGCACGATTAACAAAAACTTTAACATGGATTTAAAAACTTGGAGTTTAACTAATGTCTTTTTTTATTCAATTTACTAAGTGGAAACTAGTCGAATTTCAGTAGGAATAATCTCGATTCTTCTACATTCTTCGCGAAATGCGAAAACCATACTTAGGTAGGTATACCTACCTATATTTGATGAACTAATTAATAAACTAGGTATTGCAATTTGGTTGCTAGTGTAACGGAAACCATAAAGAAAAAATTACCTAATAATACTTAGTTCAGTGTGCCTACCATGAGTTTACGTTAGGTGAGCTCGCTAGCGAATACGTCAAAAAATTCTATGAAGATTTTATTTCTTGAAAGTAGCCGCTAGGGGTGCTGCACAATATGTCATACATTTAAATGTCATTTTTTTACGCAGTCGCTAGCGAGCACACCTAACGTAAACTCATGGTAGGCACACAGCTTTATCTTCCAAGAAAATCTATGAAGATTTCGTGACAGTGGTTTGACCGACACTGTAAAGTTTTTGCCAATGTGTCCTTTACAACCTGTATTTACCTATAACATTATGTTAACTATGTTTACCAACAACTTGTTTTAAAATTCGTCCGATTAGACTGTCTTGAGCGTAAAGGTCACTTTCGTTTAATCACAAAAGATTAGCGTGTCGTGCAGACTCAGAATTACCTCTCCCTAGTCACGCAAAATATTATGACACTGAATACATAATTAAGTAATTAACCATTGTTCCATTTTAAAACAAGTTTTCCTACTTAAAAAATATCAACTGTGAAGTTATAAAGACGATATCACAAGAGTTACTTTATAAGGTAGAGACACTGCAAGATGATAACGATTTTTATCTTTCACAAGTTGCACAACAAAGTAATGTGTTAAATATTATAAAGCTGATTAAATTTAATTGTGATTATACAAAATTATTTCATATTTAAATATTTAAGTTTGAAAATGGCCTTAACCTGGACCACTTTTAACATTACTATTTGCTTTTATATCAGCAATTAAAACTTATGAAAATATGATATGCAATTTTTTTTCAATACATACAAGAGCTGGTTTGCCCCAATACGTAAGTGCGTTAACATGCGACTAATTTAATTAAGATTGCTAAATAAAATCAAGGATGACTGTGACGGGGTTCCTTTCTTTGTCCTTTATACTGCGGTTAAAATTTCATACTAAGTAAGTGATTCTGTAGGTAGGCAAGTAAAATAACTTGCACAACCTTGATCTACTTATGGACAATATAGACATTAAGTGTATTTTAAAAACCTTTCAACTCTTGCAGAATTGTGATTTTGTGGGCTTGATCTTAGTTTAGTATAACGAATATTGGTTTGGTTTTACGTAACATGAACGTGTGGCACGCTTATGGTATTGATGGTTCTTGTAATACTATAGGGTTGCCTGCTAGCTGAATATTGAACAAACAAAAAGATGAATTTTATTGGTGTATAAACAACTGCGGTAGATAAAATTTACTAATATTTGAACATAATTTTCTTTATCAGGTGTAGTAATTTACTATGTGGGTCATTCCATCGTTTCGGGTGTTACGTTCGTACACACATATTCAACAATTTCTTGTATTTTGAAATAGTATTTTAATAATGTTAGTGCCTTAATCTGTCCGTTTTTAGTTGTTTTATCTAAATAATAAAGTTTGTACAGCTTAGAATGTAGGATAACGAAAATATGAGTCGAAAAGTGTGCGTTTCGGGCGTTACGAGATTTTGCCTCTATGTTCTGACTGTTGCTGCATTTACTCGAAATTTAGCGAATTTTCTTAAGGAATCATACCTAAAACTTACAGGACTTCTAAAGTATGAAATTTACAAACCATGTAACATACAATCACTGTTACATATAACGTTTTACTATTTTTTTATAAATTTTTTCTTTGTTTCGGGTGTTACAGTGGTTCTGTTTCGGGTGTTACGAGTACGAAAATTCAACGTGTTTTATCGATAAAATCGGTGTTTTATTAGTCTCTAGGTACTACGAAATAAGGAGTACAACAAATAAACACAAATAGAGCGAATTCTGGTTTGAAATTATGTAGCAGCTTTTTTTAAAAAATATACAAAGTTCAAGTTTAATTTTTCCTCAGAATACAGCTTTTTCTATTGTTTTTGGCTTGAAATAGCATTACTTTAATTTCTAATTACGATATTTATTGGAAATGTCGAACATGGAAGCTTTTTAACAATACTTTAATTTTAGTGTTAAGTCGACATTTCAAAAAAGTCATAAATAGAGAAATATGACTCCTTTTCCGATGCCAGCGCTAGTGGGAGGTCGAAGGAGCCTCACAGTAATACTTTTTGACTTCTCCAAGCAATATATACGCGTTATCGACAATAAATAAAAATGTGATACCCAAAACGTTTCGGGTGTTACAGTTTTTAATCAAGAAAAAAACATACTAAATTAGTATCAAGCTCAAATATTAGTTAGTATTTGAAATCATTACTACCATGACCTTACTTTTACCAAATATTGTTATCCTAATCCATGTGTAAGGTACAATAATAAAACAAATACCTGTTTTTTTGTTTCGGGTGTTACATCGCCGAAGTAACAAGAAAACACACTTAAAACTTGATGATTATAAATTTTTTTGGGACTATGACGCTATCTACCAATACTATGATAAATACCCTCAAATCATATAGTGGCAAAACGGTTCACAGATTGATAGTTTTTTTTAAATCGTATTACCAATAATAAGAGAGAAAATGATCATTCAAACAGTTGACTTAAGAGACTTTGAAGACTAATATAACTTAAAAATTACTTGTTTCTTCCAGTTTTTTTTTGTTGCACATTATAATTTGGAATGTTTACTTTCAAAATTCATCAGATTTAATGCGAAAAGAACATATTTTGTTTTTCACCCTCGGTAACATTTGTCATGGAATGACCCATGTGTTACTATAAATTATATCGGATCACTTATTCGTTTTTGGGACAGCCTAGCTAATACGAGTACCTAATACTTAGAGGTTTTCTCAACCACGTTTGTTGTGAAGTTATGCGAATCCGTGAAGCAATATTGATGGTAATGACACTTTCATTACCAATTTACGTGATTCGTTCTCTGATTTTTAAAATCTATAACTATGTCAATGTAAAGCATGATTGCAAATAAAATTAATTATAACATGCTCCATTACATAACTGTTCGATTTTTAAGAGTTTTAGATACTAAGGGTTCCTTGTCAGGCCTACGGAACCCTAAAAAAGGATGCGGTGCACATTGCCTTCAACCTGTGAATTCAACCAAATTACACTTGGACAAAGAACTGTATTTTAGGATTTACTTAATAGTTAATGTAAGAGTTAAATTAGAATTTATTGGCTTTATTAAATTTGACACTGACACCAGCTTTGAGACACGCGTGACATGACTAATCGGTGGACGACCACGTAACGTGCGTAACCGACCGCTTTTAATAACTCTACAATTGGAGCGCCCCGGGACCTTGAACTACAAGCCGCACTTTTAACTTGACACTACGAGGGACGGAAGCAGAGATACGATCTGAACGCTAAGTAACTGATTCTATCAGAATTAGGGGCTAATTCATCAATCGAGTTTGGATAATAATAGTCACGAGTTTCAAACTTTTTAAATCACAATAGGAAAGCTCTTGAAACTCTCACCTGATGAAAAGTGATAATCAAACCAAAAATAGAAACGTGTTTCACCTCACCTGGAATCCTCAACCAGAAGGAAATGACCTTTAATAGGTTCAACTGCCGAAGCACAACAATTCTTATTTGGATTTAGAAAAAATATGTATCTAGTTATAGATTACCTACGGATTACTTTATACTGTTTTTTTCCTACAGAACATAATGTAACAATGTGTTAGGTACCTAGGTATGTTTTTACAACAAAACAAGTGAATCAACTCTTTTATTTTTATCGATAGATCTTGGAATCATGAGTAATTTTTTTCCCTCAAGGGGTGAAAAAGGGGTTGATACTTAATGTTTTATGGCGTAATTTTATTTCTCTAAATAATTAGTAAAATAGCAATAAATATAAATTTTTAGTTCTCACTGCCTTTTGGAATTTACATTACCTCGAAAAAAATTAGGAAATCCGTTCGGTATGCAGTAGATCCGTCATTTCATGATGAATTATGTAATAAAATAAAAAATTAAAATGAACACTAAACTACTCATTGAAACGTTACTATGCACAATCTTAAAAACTTCTGCCACGGTTTTATGTTCAGTAATCTAATATCGTTCATTGTATCATGTGTTTTATTGCTAAACTACTCACTACTACTGCTTGATTACGATTTGTGAGACCGTAATATTTCTTACACCCAGATTAATCGATGTGCATGTATTGTCTTAAATTTCATTCACCGATTCGTTACCGAGACCTTGAAAGATTCTGTAAATGCATACATTTCACAATAGAGTACAGCCTCCGCGAATTCAATAGCTTGTATCACTGCGACTTTAGCCCGTGGCGGTCCACCACCCGCTTCCCTTTACCTCATAAGTTTACACAACTAAAAAAAAAGAAGAAAAATTCGGAATTTATGAAAAAAAAAACATTGTGCTAGAAATACGACTTCATGATGTTGTATTAACTAATAACGTATACAAAATATTAATTAAAATTATGTTAAAGTTTTGTGCGTGACTGTATCATTAGATTGTTTTAAAACTAATTAGTGTAAGTTTAGAGTCAAAAGTCTACAATGGATTGCAAAAACACATTATGGTACGTAATAATTTTACACTTGTATTATTTTGTTTGTTTATCCTACTAATATTAAAAATTCAAACGTTTGTGTAGATGTATGGTTTCACGAAAACTGAACGGATATTGATAAAATTTTTACGGATACGGATATTGATAGTATTAGAATAGAATAGAATAGAATAGAAAACTTTTTATTTGCAAGAAAGGTATACAAGCAGGTAAGACATAGATCAAAACAGAGAGAAATAAAAAAGCGGACAATCAACTGCTTGTGCCCCTCTGACAAAAAGGCACCCGCTCAGCGTACATCAAGACCGCCAGGGCTTGTCTTGAAACTGATTTTCAGCGGGGGCCCTATTAACATAAAGGCTATAATTTATAACGATCTGTGATAATCTAAATTTCACGCAGGCGAAGTCGTGGGCGTTTTCCGGTGCGAGGCCTCCATTCCAGAACCTTTCTGCTCCATCGGCCGTCAGTTCTGCGTACTATGTGCCCTGCCCATTGCCACTTCAGCTTGCTAATCCGTCGGGCTATGTCCGCGACTTTGGTTCGTTTACGGATCTCTTCATTTCTGATTCGATCAGACCGATTCCATCAGGGCAGAAAGGTTCTGGAATGGAGGCCTCGCACCGGAAAACGCAGCGTGGGACGTCCACCTACAAGGTGGACCGACGATATCGTAAAGGTAGCAGGGAAGCGCTGGACGCAGGCCGCTACCAATCGATCAACATGGAAAGCATTGGGGGAGGACTATGTTCAGCAGTGGACGTCTATAGCTGAAATGATGATGATGATGAAGTCGTGGGCAAAAGCTAGGAATTATGATAGAACTAGGTAGGTAATCATTAAGTAGGTAATGATTCTACTTACACATCCTTATATTCATAACACAAACATTTACAAAACAAATGGCACAATGACAAAAATAATATAAAAGCATGCACCTCAACCGTGATTGAAATTGTAATTAATTTCAAATTTAGTTTATTACTAAATCACCAATAATTAAACATCCTGCTTGAGAACACGCGTCTTAGCAGTACCAACTCAGTATAAAAATAGTGAATGTGTAAACACAATACTAACGAAACTAGTAACAAACACAGTGAATGGAACCAAATTCCTTAAATCCCGAAAAATAAATAAATACCTATGTATCGAAGGAAATATAAACATGCTCGTGATCAATGGCTGTTACAATTAGTCATTGTGTAATCTTTCGACACTTGTTAATTACTATGTACTTATTAAATAATTTGTAATAACAAAATAATAATATATAAATATAACTCCAGTGGTTATTTGTAATTCATTACATTATAACGTTTAGTGCTTATTTTTTATAAAATGGTGCGTAGGTAAGTTAGTTCTCATAATATTGAACTTTTGCAAAATGTAACGTACCTAACTATCCTACACGTACCTACTCTACGTATAGGTCTGAAAAGGCAAACTTTTTAAATCCACACTCAAGAATGAATTCTATTAGATGATTCTTCTAATAAATGAACCCAATCATTTACAGATGAATTTAGATTGAAATGAGTTTTAATCTTCCTTTCAGAATACGAGCTTCAAGCTCTCACTACTGTGTTTTTTATTTCAAAAATATGTCTCTACTGAACGGACTTAAAAAATGCGGTAGGTTAAATTTCTGATCAGGATAAGTCATTAAAGGTTACGTACTTAGCTCGATAGCGTAACAAATTATTAGTTTTTACTTTGAATCCATGACAAAAACTGCCTACTTATTTGTTACGGGTGAATTCACCAGTGAAAGAACTTTTCGATTCGTGTAAGCTGTTACAGTTAGGTAATTTCAGTTTTAATGTCAAAGGTTACTAAAAACTGACACAAATGTGCTTTAAATTAAACAAAACTAGAGAAGATCTAATGTATTTAATAGATTTCCCTTCGCAATGATTTCCCCTTGTTTAGTAAAAATATAACATGGTTTATGGCATTACTTAATTTAACGTAAGTTTTTTCCTTTTCAGTGTTAGATGGTGGTTGTTGATAACGACTGTGACCGGTTTGGTGAACGCCCAACAGCCAAACGTCGTTTTTATAATGGTGGATGACATGGTACGCAGGTTCCTTTTTTACTACCTTAGTAATCTCACAACAGTTCTGAGCTCTCCATTAAACACGCAGCTTTTTTTGTTAATAAAAACTTACTAGTCGCAATTTTTGTCAACTGACTTTAGAAGAGCCGGTTCTATCGCTTTTTTACTTTGCCTACTATCTTACTTTTAATTACGATCTGTTATGTATTAGAATTTCAATTAAAGGCTCTATCTTCTCCATTTAACACGCAGCGTTTTTATTAATAAAAACTTACTTATTACGCAATTTTTGTCAACTGGCTTTAAGAGAGCCAGTTCAATTGTTTTTTTACTATGTCTACTATGTTACTTCTAATTACGGTCTATTATTAGAATTTCAAACGAAAATATGACTTGCAGACTTCCATTAGTTTGCTAAATCGAATCACATTCACTTCGCTTCTTACGTTTGCTATGTTACCTGCGCTCTATAGGCCAGAGAGTTCTTTCCTAAAGCATAGTTGTGGTTGGGGTATGGATAAAGCTAACTTTACTTATGCTTCCTTCTTTTTATTACCGTCTGCAGCAAATATTTGCTTGTTTCCAATACTTACCTACTTAGAACTTTTTAGTTTACGAGAATGTAGAATCTTTTTTGAAAGAGCATCGATTCGAAGCGAAATGGGAATCAGGTATAGCTATGACAAAGAAACAATGCAATAGAAAGAAGCAATTTGTTCTGTGACTTGGTAGACTACACAATGATACTTGACTCATCTACTTTAATTTATTCCATGTAATTTACAACCAAATTGCAGAGTAAAAAAACTTTCCATTAAAACTGCAGATTGTTCACAATTCATTAACCTACTTAATTAAGTAACTAAGCAATCAGTTTTTAATTGTTGTGTAACTAAGATAGGCATTGTATAATTTTAGTTGGTAATTTCATTATTATTTTGTAGAGTTGTCAATTTTTTTAAAAATATCACACAGATGGTAATACTGGTACTACTAACAACTCTGTCGCTCATTCATACAAAAAAATATAACAGAAAATTAAAATATTGTGCACGAGAATGCGCATCATCATAATTTTGTGTAAAAATATTCATGAGTAAAATTATCGGTCAAGTAATTTCGTAATTTTAAAATGGTGTATTGTTTTTTATGTACTGTTTTCATTTCAATATTTCATAAATTATTCGTAATCTGCCTATAATAAGGCCTCAGCCTCGAACTTAGCGGGCAGCGGGGCGGCGGCGGCGGCGGCGCGGGAGCGGCAGGATCTTATGCGTATAATCAAATAGACCGGTTCTCGAAAACAGCGGCGCGGCAGCGGGCAACGAGCGGGCAGCGGCGAGGGAGCGGGCAACGAGCGGGCAGAGCGCACTCCTTCTTTTGCCCACAATAAATCGAGCGTTAGGAATAAATTTGAATCGAAATAAAATTGTTTTGCGAATTCGTTTGCGAATAAAAACAAATATCTCGACAACACAACCCCGAACACAACACTTCGCCGCTAAAGCGCCGCGCGAGCTGCCCGCTTGTTTCGAGAACGGGTCTGCGTTGCCCGCCCCGCTCCAGCGCCGCCGCCGCTTTCGCCCCGCTGCCCGCTAAGTTCGAGGCTGAGGCCTAAGGGATTCAAATGGATCGTAATTTTCAGAGGTGGGTTAATGAGAGCTGTAATATTGCATGGGCCCGCAGCCTCAGCTCCACGTCAAATATTTATCGCTCTAATGCCCGCTCATAATCTCATTGAATTTATGATGTTCTTGAAGTGCGGGTGTAGGTACCTCGATGAATATTAACAGAATGTTATTGGGAGGTATCTAGATAAATCTTAAGAGCTTTGTGTCGTGCTTCACAGCTCTAGTAAATATACCTACTTGAAAAAATGTTGTAATATGTATACCTAAGTCTATTCGTTTGCATGCTAATCTCTGTAAAATGGAAAACTTTGAAGATGTCTAGAAAAACCTTCTAGACTTAATGAATACTTATGCAAAAGTGCTGGATTTATTATCTTTATATTGTTATAAAGAAGGTAAAAGATACTCATTAATAATTTGGATATAGAGTCAGATGTCTTTTCAGAGACCCATAGCTTAATAGATTCAAACTTGTGCACATATCACATCAACATCTAAGTATAGATGGTTGTGATTTTGAAAGTCAAGAGTTCTCTAGTTTGAATAAAGTTTTGAGCGACGTTTCAGCATACGTGATACATGTCTCCGTTATACTTTAACATTACCATTTTTGGATGAACCATGATTAGCGAACAGGTTGAACAGGCTCTACTAGACAATGTAACATTCGCTATAGATACGAACTCGTGCTCGCATTTATTACCCACTTAAAATGAGTTTAAAATCTCCTTATCTTTCTTCTGTTTTCCTTAGGGATGGAATGACGTCTCCTTCCACGGGTCGGATCAAATATTGACGCCCAACATAGACGCCCTGGCGTACCGGGGCGTGATCTTACAGCAGTACTACAGCGAGGCCGTGTGTACTCCGGCCAGAACCGCCCTGCTCACAGGGAAATATCCTATGAGATTAGGTGAGTGATCATTGGACAACCTTGGACACCTATTTCCAAACCGAGCAAAGCTTGCTTGTACTATGGGCTAACAGATTATAGCTACGAGTACAGTGTGTGATCATAGTGGTGATCGAGAGATTTCTCGGTCATCACATTTTAGTCTAGTCTAGCCGTGCTCTATTTTCATGGTTACATTTCGTCTACACTTATGTTTAATTCTCATTGCTGCTTTAGGATTGCGTCTTTACTTCAGATTTTTACTGCAATGTCCATCAAATATGCGGTTCCTTCATAAAATATTGGGCTAAGATCACATGCTAAGATCATATAAAGATGAAGAGGATATTACAGTACTACAATGCCTACATTATACAAGAACAACTAAATTGTGTTCTTTTACTGTAAGGCTCTAAGCATTGTCGGATTATTATAATAGAGCCATATTTTCCATTCACTAATGATACGATCTAAATAATTTATTAACGTATTTATTGCATTATAAATAAGAACAATAGAGTATTCTTTAAAATCTTAATATACCCACCGGGAAACTACATTGTTTTTACAATAAAATAAATATATTTTACATATTATTCGTAGCTAATTAAGTTTTAATGCAATCAATCAAGTTAATCGTATTTTAAAACATTTATCATAAAGTTAACACTTATTGTGCACACCACTCAGGCTTTATGTTACAATTGTAATTGTATACCAAATTAATTAATCCAATTAACTTATCCAGTTATACAATTAAACTATCCATTGAACTTGGTGTTTCCGGTTTATTCAGTGTTGCAATTGATGTTTTCAATGTCATTACTTAGATAGCTATTGAAATAAGTGTCTCGTGGATATAATAAGTAGGTTACATAGAGTAGAAAAGTTTTCATGAAGATAAGATTCTGCGTTGATAAGTCGCTCAGTTTTTTATCAAAATGAAACGATTGTGCAATTTAACACCATTATTACTTTTTAGGTATGCATGGCCTACCTCTGTACAATTCAGAGGACCGAGGTATACCTCTTACGGAGAGACTTCTGCCCTCATACATGAAGGAGTTAGGCTACGCCACTCACCTTGTGGGGAAATGGCATGTAGGCATGTCTCGGCCAGAGTTCCTGCCCACAGCGCGAGGGTACGACTCTCACTATGGTATGAGAGGCGGCCTGATTGACTACTATACTCATAATAATGTAGAGACGGTAAGCTTCATTCATTGTTTTTCATTGAAACTATGTTCAAGTTCCTTCTAACAATAAAATGTTTAATTTTATTGGACATATAGGTTATATGGTGGCAATTTATGTATTAAAATTTTGTTAAGTACGCTTAGTTATGATTTCATTTATGTTTATCAATAATTTCTAGTTCAATACTTTAGGCCTCAGCCTCGAACTTAGCGGGCAGCGGGGCGGCGGCGGCGGCGGCGCGGGAGCGGCAGGATCTTATGCGTAAAATCAAATAGACCGGTTCTCGAAAACAGCGGCGCGTCAGCGGGGCGGCAGCGGGCAACGAGCGGGCAGCGGCGAGGGAGCGGGCAACGAGCGGGCAGCGCACTCCTTATTTTGCCCACAATAAATCGAGCGTTAGGAATAAATTTGAATCGAAATAAAATTGTCGCCGTTGTTCAGACATTTCGTTTGCGAATAAAAACAAATATCTCGACAACACAACCCCGAACACAACACTTCGCCGCTAAAGCGCCGCGCGAGCTGCCCGCTTGTTTCGAGAACGGGTCTGCGTTGCCCGCCCCGCTCCAGCGCCGCCGCCGCTCCCGCCCCGCTGCCCGCTAAGTTCGAGGCTGAGGCCTTATAGTTTTCGAAACCAACCGCCTACTCTTACTCCTGTATTATGTATCGGGCTATCCGCAGATTTGTTGTGGTTGGTTAAACATGTGACTGCGGTCAGACAATTCGGTTATGATATAATAAAAATACACAATATTAATCAAGTGCACAATCTCATGTTTTGGCAAGGTTAGTGTGACCAGATTTTGAAATCTATATCTGTCATGAGGGTGTTGCTAAGTATATTTGTTGTAGCGGCCACTTGTTGCAAATGATTAAAAAGGCCGAATACGCAAGGTAACTTTCACTAGGCTTGCATGTAGGTAGGTACTCCAGATTACATTAGCGTGTGCTTTCAGTGGCCGAACGGGCGGCTGCTGTATGGCTTGGACCTCTTCGATAACGATATTCCACAAGAAGAGGAGCAACGGTATATTGTTGACGCGTTAACTGACAGAGCTATTAAGAGTGAGTTGGTTGATGTTCTTACTCCTTAAGTGGCCTAAGATCGCTCATTGTGAACTACAAATATCATCTACATGTCATCGCATTTAAACATTAAAGCAATTACAATAGCTATAGAAGTTAACGATTTTACTATTAGGCTGGGTTGCACCATCTTACTTTGACTTTAACAAACGTCAAAAGTCTGTCAAAATACATACAAAATCGCTTGTAGTTATAGTCACGGTCAAAGTTAGGTGGTGCAACTCAGCCTTAGTAATTTCAGTTGTATCTTTGCACTTTCGTAGGCTTTACAATCTAGGAAACTTTATATTAATTACCCAATATTTTTCTAGTAATATACAACCACAATGAATCCCAACCGTTGTTCCTTCACCTCACGCACAATGCGCCTCACTCGGGCACCCCCGGCGGAAAGCTGCAGCCTCCTCTCTACTCTGCGGTCAAGAACAGACACATTGCCCATACGGAGCGACGGCTTTATGCAGGTAATAAAGCGTCAGTGGATAAAAACTTAGGGCATAAGCTGTTCTAAAACCTAGAAGTGTTCTAATTGTTTTGTTTTTATAAATGGTCGCCGACCAACTCACAGACTGGCTACTATTAGAAACTTTACAGTATACTATTTCGCTTAAAGTATTTAAACACCCATATTCTTAAATAGTAATGAAATTGTTCCAGAGGTGGTCAACAGCATCGATCGCAACGTAGGAAGAGTTGTCCGCGCTCTAGGCGAGAAAGGAATGTTGGACGATACCATCATAATATTCGCGTCCGATAACGGAGCCCCTACAATTGGCGAAATGAACAACTGGGGTGTCAACTTGCCTCTCAGAGGAAAGAAATTCACTCCGTGGGAAGGCGGTGTGAGAGTCCCAGCTTTTATTTGGCACTCGTCGTTCCGGCCAAGAGTATGGAACGGGTTAATGCACATCACTGATTGGTTACCGACTCTAACCGCAGCTGCTGGCGGTCAATTCAACGGTAAAATTGACGGAATCAACCAATGGGACTCTATCGTACAAGACGGGGAATCAAGAAGAAGAGATGTGCTGTTAACTTTAGAAGACAGCGACCTCAACAGATACGCGTCGTATAGAGCTGGTGATTACAAGATTGTCGTGGGTAATGTCACTGGACTGAGCAACGGTTATTACGGAGCCGAGTTCATGAGAATAAAAGGCGCTCCTCCAGATTATTATCCAGCACTGAGGTCTTGTGAAGTTGCGAGAATATTTGAAGCAATGGGAATGCATCTGGACTTCTATGAAGTATTGGCAATGAGGGGAGCGACTGCTATAAAGCAGGAGGACAACGTTAGAGATCCTACTCCTTGTGTACCAACACCAAGTAAGTTTCAAGATTTAAACTGAGTAGATTTATTGACTGTTTGATATTTACATAAGTATAAAAAATCTTGCTTGAACTTCACTTCATACCATAATTTGTTTTTTTTAATCTCCGGCTGAAATTGCCGGAGTTCGGTTTTTGAAGGCAAACAATTTCTTGTAATTAAACAACAATGTATTTTTTTTTATAGCAAGTGCTGGAAGTTTCTCGCTAATGTCTACGAGCAAACTTGTAGTCTCCATACTTTATAGACGTTTATTTATGTACAAGGTTTTAAATTTACAAATGAAGTTACTATTTTTTTACAGTAGTTTTTTTACCATAATTTGGTTTATACATAACTTTATACATTTAAAATATTTTTTTAATTACAGCACGTGGTTGTCTCTTCAACGTTCGACGCGATCCTACAGAAAGTCATGACCTCTGGAACATAGCAAATAAAATAGCGGTATTACTGACTAGCCGACTTCGTGCTCTTTGGGCGATGCAAAATAGGAGAGGTCCACCGAATTTACAAGCGCAAGGCGACCCAGTCAACTTTGACTTCGTGTGGACGCCTTGGCTTATAAACGGCAGTGACAATTTAACTAATGCTACGAGTAATAATGTTAATAGAACTAGCACAGACTTGTTCAGCTCAAGACAGATGTCTGGAGCAGTGAGCAGTAGAAACTCAACAGTAGCTAACGTTATTAATTGTGATGGAGAGTCAGGACTAAGAAACTTTTTATGTATACTTAGAACTGTATTTTAATTTAATGTTTAGTAATTTCATAATTTGTCGCTGTAAACATTGGGGTTATTTTGCAAAAAAGTGTCATAGGGTAAACTACGTTTATCTAACGTCTACATTTCTTTGAAGATATTAGTTTTTGACTATGACCTATAAGGACTAAGAATCCTGAGTTTGTACAAACGAAGTGTGGCCAACCAACGAGTCACGAATTGAGTACCGCGCCAAAGCATCATAATAATACCATTATTTAAAAGCAAAACAAACTTAGTTACTTAAAGATTTAAGTTCTAAAAGGAGTAATGAAATATTTACGAAAATCTTCATTGAATTTATACCCTGTATAATTTGTGGCAGGCCACGGTGTATGGCGCGTTAAAAACCCGCCATTTTTATCAAATGAAATCTGGCTGGTGAACATAGATAACAGTGTACCTACCATGAGTTTACGATAAGTGTGCTCGCTAGCGAGTACGTCAAAAATCTCTATGAAGATTTTGTTTCTTGAAAGTAGCCGCTAGGGGCGCTGAACAATATGTCATACAAGTAATGCCATTTTTTTACGCAGTCGCTAGCGAGCACACCTAACGTAAACTCATGGTAAGCACACAGTTCTTGCAACTCACGAAGGCAAGTGAGCTTTACTTGTGTATGTAAGTACGTGTAAATGCACATAACGACAGTGTTATGTCTATCAAAACTTTTGAAAAAACGAACACTAGACATGTAAAGCTCACTCGCCTTTGTGAATTGCAACAACTTATAATGAAAGTTAAGTTATTTTATACTATGTTTAAATATACCATATTTGAAATAAATTACACGGCATTTGTTATTATTAGGTAATATTACAAAGTTCTTTTTACGCACGTCCGATCTCTTTCAAAAAACGCAGAATAAGTTGGTCGCACTGTTACATGTCTTATATTTTTTTTCATCTGTATATTTTTAATTAAGTATGTAAAAATAATTTCCTATGTTGTTAAGCGACTTATATAACTGATTTATCGCCAGTGTCATGAAAGTAGAGTTTTTGTTATTTTATTAGCATACGAATCGTACATGTAAGTAGGTGAGTATAATATTTTAGAATAAATTGTTTCCCTTTTGGGGTAGGCTAAAAAGATTAGATAGAGTAATAAGTAAACGTGTGTTATTATTGTTTTATTTTATTTTCCATTAAGATGATGTAAAACATTTGTTAAGACTTTGTGTAAGTAGGCACCTATTATTAAAAATATTACAAAATTATGACATAAAACGTGTTTTCTTTCTGTACTGTACTAGACTCGTATGTTCAAATATTAATTTTGTTTAATAGAGTAGGTAATAGCATGGACCTACTTTTTTATAGGTCCATGGGTAATAAGACATAGATTCTACATAATGTCTTGATTATTTTGGACTATTTTGAGAAAATTTTAATTAATTATAACTTAATAAGTCTGTCATTCCAAGTTATGACATTGTGAAAAAGAAAGGTACATTATTTAAAGGCCATTTTTCCAAAAGTGGAAGAGTTTTACGAATAAAATGTTATTATTTGTTATTTAATAAGATATTTAATTAAAAAAAAAATTCGGATTGTTTTACTTGATGTGACATTTCAAGTGAGCCAGAATGGTCCAGTCAAGTTGTCTCACTTTTCTTGCGCGTATCTACTATCTATTTAGGCTTTATTAATCTATGTTATAAATGTATAGTAGGTCAATTAAAAATTGATAAGAAGCTGCAGCACTGTATCATGCTCATAGGAGTTTGTAATATTATGTAAGGTAATGCTGTTTTATTATTTCCTTTTTTAGAAAAGACGTAGTCACGGAAAGTTCTACTTGGTGTTATTATTTATGCCGACTAATTAAACTTAGTACTTATGTAATCATCAAGACAACTTTCACACTTATTATTATACTGCAATTTAAGTGCTAAGTATAAATATAAATTTACACATTTTTAATTATGAAAGTAGGTAGATCAATTTGTCGAATAACCTATAGTTTCATATGATTACGGAAGGCGATATACACCATGAAACTAAAAACCCAATGTTGTGTATGGTTTTGAACTATCATATTCATGCGATTTTTAGATAGGCCCTAGGTATTGTCTACGAACAAAACATAACCGGAACTAAACCACTCCTACATTGAATGGAAAGAGATTGGGACCTTGGTATTTTACCAACATTTAAACAATATCGGATAACAATAAAATTGTTTGTGTAGGTACGGTTAGAAAATAGGTACAGCTGCTTAGGGAAACTCCTCCATTTGGTTATTAAAAAAAATGTTTAAAAATTTTTGCGAAATATTCTCCAAGAAAACGTGTCCACGTGACGTGTCGAAGTCGTGAATGTTAAACAAATAAAGTAGTCAAAATGCGTCTGCTTTTTATTAGCTTAGTAATTAATATAGTTTGATAATATCTANGTTGGGGGTATTGAGAGCATTGGTTAAGTAATTCCAAATGCTTCTTCATACCATCAGTGCCTTGGTATGAACTGGATGCATCTTAATGCATAGCACATAATATAACCTGTAATAATTATTATCTATCAAATGACAAAGAAATCATGTGGTATGTAGAGTAGACAGAATGTATGAATAAATTATGTACTTGCCTTGTGTTCCAAGGACACTCTTTTTGTTGCCATAAGACTATCTTTCCGGCAATTTGTCACATAAGTAGGTATCTTACAGGGCAGATATGTACCATCCTAGACTGCATCCCTCTTAACATCATGTGCGATTGTGGTCAAATACCTGCCTTGTTATGCATAAAAAAAAACGGATTAGCAAGCTGAAGTGGCAATGGGCAGGGCACATAGTACGCAGAACTGATGGCCGATGGGGCAGAATGGTTCTGGAATGGAGGCCGCGTACCGGAAAACGTAGCGTGGGACTTCCACCTACAAGGTGGACCGACGACATCGTAAAGGTAGCAGGGAAGCGCTGGACGCAGGCCGCTTCCAATCGATCAACATGGAAAGCATTGGGGGAGGCCTATGTTCAGCAGTGGACGTCCTATGGCTGAAATGGTGGTGGTGGTGGTGGTACATATACTGAAAATGTATCATTAGAAATCAACTACGGGGGCTAAGGAGATAAAAGGAGGGTTGGAAGTTTATATTATGAAAGTCCTATGTGTTTAAAGTAAGAGAGTTGAAATTTAAAATGTATGCGCTATAGATGCTAAGAGCGGATTTTACGAAACTCCACCCCTAATGGAGTAAAACGAGGTCCACGCATACGAAGTCGCGGGCGGCCGCTAGTTTGTAAATAAATAAATAAATATTGTACCGACAAGACAACAAAATATTTATTTATTACGGTATACCAACAACATTACATACAAAGTAATTACATGAAAATCTTACATATTGAAATATAACTTAAAAATAGAATATAAGTTAAAGCAGGTAATTAAGTGTTAAACTTATCACCTTGTTGTCTCCTAATAGCAATGAAACATGTATGTTAATGTTAATTATATGCGTACAAAGTGTATTTGTTACAGTCCACAGCCAAGCAGTTGAGTCAGCCAGTTTTTAAATAAATCGATATGCTTGGGCCGATTGTTTAATGAACTAAGAACACAACGTTTCATTTGTCTGATTAAAACCCAGTCCTTTTGAAACATTTTGAAAACAAAATCGTCGGGTAATTCTCATGATACATTTCTGGGTACCTCCACCATTTGTCTAAATATTTAACAGGATACTTATACAGGCCTGTCTGAAAAAAAAAAAGGGTTTTTCAGATACTAAGTCTTCATGAAAATTTTGAGTCAACGAGATAACCGGTCTATCAATGATGTTTGAACTATCGAGAATTTACTAGACTTGAAGTGTTATCATTTTTTTTTTATCTGTGCATCTACAGATAGAGGTTGCACAAACACTAGGTATTAGGTATTCTGAGTTCGTACTCCTGAGCTCACAGATTTGTTTATTTCTTTGCTTGTGACATGTTATCTTTTATTTGTAAGCGAAGGTAGGTATAGCTAGTATAATAGGTAACCGTGGACTTCATATTGAGTTGAATGACTTATCATAGTAAGATACGATACATAGAGGTCGCCGCATCTCTGCTGTTGCAATTTATTTATTTTATTTCAATCAACAGACTATTTAATTATAAGTTGGATTGATTTGGTATGTGGAGACAGTGCATTGACAAATCGTACAATAGCAAGTTCGTTCAGCTGAATAAGATACATCCGATAAGGTAAGTACCTATATTATTATGATTTTGTAATTTTCATTTCTTTTGAGACAAAAGTGTTTTGTCCTACATACAGGTGAAGTTTAAAGACTCTACTCGTTATAAATTCCTCAATTAAGAGACAAATCGAATTATTTTTTTTGTCTTTATGTTTACTATTTACTTATTTGTATTACTGTGTTCTTTTACAGAGATTAAAACGATTCTACAGTTAACAGCACATCAGACTAACATACATACATAACACCTATTACATCGAAATAAGATGCTTAACTATTTATTTATTTTATTTATTTAACTGTTAAGTTTGATGTGCTGTCGTCTGTGCATGGTTTTAATTTTAACTCATTGGAATTGTCCATATTTGGGGGATGTACTGTGTGTCATGAGATGAGTAGAGTCTTAAAAGGAAAACAACGATTTAAATTTCACCCTGTATACAATATGTTTAGCTTCATTATGATGACTTGCATCTTTTTGGCATGATAATATGAATCATCGCTAGATAAGAATTACCTACTCATTACAAAATACCTAAAGAAACAACATGAGATATTACATACTTATTCGTATTATTATTGTATTTATTTATTTGGTTCCATAAATTGTTACACTAATACATTTTTGATTATGAAATACAATATTTTTAGGACTAAGTGTACAACTTCAAGTAGGTAAACACCACATGCGTAAAGTTAATTACATTTTATAGTATAATTTTGTTTAACTATTTTTATAGAATGGGAACATTCTACATTTTATTCATTGCGGTAATATCAGCAGTAGTCGTTCACGGGACGTTTGACATGAAAAAACAGAACATTGTTTTCATAATGGCGGATGATCTGGTGAGTTCTCATATTATTTTTGCAATCCAAACAGGTAAAAGTGACCCGCATATTAATTTATTTGTGTTGATAAAAGGCCTGGGTTATTTTTCATTTCACATAATAAACATTACATTTCGTAGAGTAAATTAATTAATGTAGAGTTGACAGCACATTAGTATACATCATTTTTGTTACAAAATAACTTTTAATAGGTACCACGACATAAGAGGCCGCAATACTGTGCGTAGCTTTTTTGTAAAATATTCAAAATGCAAAAAGGTTAAAATTAAATCATTCTTAGGCTGGGTTGTACCATCTTAATTTGACTTTAAGAAACGTCAAAAATCTGTCAAACTACATACCTACAAAAGCACCGGTTAACGTTATAGTTAAAGTTAGGTGGTGCAACTTAGCCTTAGTTACCTAACTAATACCTATTAGGCCTAACCAAGAGCTCGTTAAGTTTTGATTTGGACGACCTGTCACACTGGTGTGACAATTTGATATGGCTACGGATCGATCGTGATTTTTATTGCAATTTACTTTTTTTTAGCAATTTGAATTATGTTTTAGGTACTTACAGTAAAAATATTTTTATGATGCCAACAATGTGCCGTGAAACCACGTTTTTTAACTCGGAATATTCATGCAATGGGAATTTATTTATTTGTTATAGGATTTTCTGACATAATGTTTTCTTATCATGGTCATATTTTAAGGGTTGGAATGACGTGAGCTTTCATGGTACGGACCAGATTCTGACACCCAACATAGACATGTTGGGATATAGTGGAGTGGCTCTGGAGAGATACTACAGTCACTGCATATGTACACCTTCACGATCCGCCTTCTTGACTGGAAAATATGCACATGTCACCGGTAAGTTAATGTATTTTCTTCTTTTATTTTCTTTATACAGAATACTATTTACTAGACACGAAACTTGATGAACTAAATACGGCTTTGGATTTCTTAGAAAAAAGAACGGATGACATTCATGAAAAATTTAAAGAACTTTTACAATCTAATAGAAGTATTAGAGAAGAATTAATATGAGTAACGTAGTAAGCTGGCCAAAAATTGTTAATACCTTAAACAATATTTAAACGTGGGCAAATAGCATTACTTAAAATTTCTAGTATTGAGTTTTAATAACGTTTTAAAATTATTACAAGAATGCCCCTTATAATCAACGTACATGGTCAGTACCTCTAGTACGAAAAACTTTCGAGTTCAAGACGAGGACGAATTTTTGTACGTTTCGAGTTCGAACTCGAAACGTTCATTCTTGTTTTATTAAGGATCGTACTCGTTAGCTTAACTTTCTAATTTCTTTCGTCGGCACGCAAGGCCAAGAAGCTTCTTTCGACGAGTCATAGAGTATTTTACAAGTTTTTTTTTATTTAACATGGAATGGTGTGTTCCGTCCGAAACATGCTGCGTTATTTTAAGATGTTGTTATTAAATTTAAAAAAATAAGTTACCACTTTTTTGGACCTAACAAGACAGGAAAAGAATAGTCAAAGGTATGTTGATTGCAATAATTGAATCTTTATTATTTAAGTAGGTACTTACCTATGCATTCTCTAGACAAACTGAAATGTTATGCCCTTTCATATTGATTGTTAGGATGGCAAGTTAAATTAGTATTTAGTTAACATTACTTTTTCTTTTACAGAGGAAACCCGAGTAGCCAGATGATAATATATGACAACAAACAATTTTGATTAATTACCAATCATGTATCATACCTATTAATAGAAAATTAAAACTGTTAGGTACCTATGTTTTAAATGAAATTCAAAATATTGTTTAATGTTTTATAAGTATTTATTAAATAAATTGTCACACTGTCACACATATATTTTGTTTTAATCCCATTAATGTCTATTTGCCCGCAAGTGTTGATGGTATTTCTTAAGTGTGCCTAGGAATCTTAGTCCTATTACTTATTCTGTGCCGGAGCTGGATGTTTTGTAAGGTTTGGGTAGGGTAGGTACCTGTAATGATTAATAAATGTTGATGAGTAGAATACTATAACATTAATTTTATAANGCGTCCCTGTTTCAAAAACCGGGATAAAAACTATCCTATGTTCTTTCCCGGGACTCAAACTATCTCTATGCCAAACTTCATCAAAATCGGTTGCGAGGTTTAAGCGGGAAAGCGTAACAGACAGACAGACAGAGAGACAGACAGACAGACAGACAGACAGACAGAGTTACTTTCGCATTTATAATATTAGTTGGGATTTTGTGCGTAGAGGTTTCATTTTGTGAAATTTAATTTTCTACAGGTATGCAAGGTTACCCTCTGACAAACAGCGAGGACAGAGGGCTGCCCATTACAGAAAAAATATTACCCCAGTATTTGAAAGAGTTGGGTTACGCGACGCATTTGGTTGGCAAATGGCATGTAGGCGGTTCACGAGGGGAATATTTGCCTTTAAAACGTGGATTCGACACACATTTCGGGCATATGGGTGGATTTGTAGATTACTATGAATACACGCTCGAAGAAAAGGTGAGTATGCCGCTCGTCATTTCTGTGCGCCAAACCATATGACGCAGTTAGAATATGCGGAAAATTGATCCAAACATTTATTTTTACATAATGTTTTTTTTCAGTTGTCGAATGATTTAGTTTCTGGTTTAAACTTGTATAGAAATGAAACTCCAGCATGGGATGTCGAAGGGTATTTGACGGATTTGTACAATAAAGAAGCTATATCAAGTATGTTAAGTTTTTGCTACTACAAAAACTCGCTAAACTAAGAACTAAAAAGTTAGCTTTTGCCCGCGGCTTTTCCCCCGTGTATTCAGTTTGTCACAAAAAGACCGATTTAACTGATACTACCTACATCGTTATAATTAGGTCAATTGTTTAATACATATTATACCTACTATATGTGTTATTCGCGTTACGATTCATCAAAATCCGTAAGTAGTATAGTGTAAACAACATCTATCATTCCATTCTCACAATGTTTCCCAATATTAGTAGGATAGCATTATTAAAAGTCCGAACTAAAGGAATAATTCTTTCAACTGAGAATAGCCACTCGAAATAAATACTTTCCATAAATGTGTACTACTTTCAGTAATAAAGTCTCACGACGAGTCCACCCCATTGTTCTTGATGCTGGCCCACATGGCCCCCCACGGGTCCAACGACGGCGCGCTGCTACAGGCGCCTCCGCAAGACGTCCGAACAATGAGGCACGTAGAGTCCCCTGAGCGGAGAATATTCGCAGGTATGTAAAACTTTAAATAAATGGCAAAAATGTACTCCTTTTCCTTAAGCTACATTTATACCACTTAGGACTTTGAATAATGCCTATTATGTGGGGTATTAATTTATAGGTACGAGATCATGCACGATTGTTAATGTTTTTTTCATTGTCTGGAAAAGGCATTGAAAATCTTTTCTAATAGTCTACACGCTCTGATGCAAGTCGTCGACATGATTCTTTTGAAATAAAGTCTCCGAGACCAAGCCACCGGGCTGTCGGTGGGCTCCACATTAGATAAAAAGAAAACTATAAAAATGTTCTATTTTTGTAGCAATGGTGAAAAAACTCGATGACAGCGTCGGGGACGTTGTAGAAGCCCTGGAAGAAAAGGGTATACTGAATAACACTATAATCGTGTTTGTGTCAGATAACGGCGCTATGACATCTGGCAACTCCGTTAATTACGGAAGTAATTGGCCTTTAAGAGGACTTAAAATGTCTCCATTCGAGGGAGGAATAAGGCTTGCTGGAGTTATGTGGACACCTCTACCGAAAGCTAACCATCTTTACAGAGGATATGTCCACGTAGTAGATTGGCTTCCCACTCTACTCAATGCTGTAGGTGCAGAACTTCCAAATAATATAGATGGCATTAGTCTTTGGGATGATATTATAATAAATAAAGAATCCAGTAGAAAAGAAATGTTTGAAATCGATGATATGTTCGGTTTTGCTTCTATTATTTCTAATGATTTTAAGTTGGTAACCGGTAATGTAACGCCTGAGTATAGTGACTATCAAGGCGGTGGGAGCTTGTTACGAATAATTGGGAAACCGCCATCATATTTCGATGCTATTAAAAAAAGCAAAGCATACAAATCTTTAGAAAAGATTGATAGATTAAAAGATACGGAATATTATAAAAATGTGAGAAATACTTTAAAAGTAAATTGTGATCACATTGACGAGTCACAAATATGCTATACAAAAAGTGGTAAGTGGTAGATATAATCTTTTCCCATCTAGATCTCTTTCTCATGTGAAATTACTAAAATAATATGACAACTTATTTTGCAGATAAATTATGTTTATTTAACATCAAAGACGACCCGTGTGAAACGAAGGATTTGTCTGCATTATTTCCCGATTTGGTAGAAAGCATGTTGTTACGATTAACGGAAGAGAAAAAGAGACTTATACCGAGGTCACCACTTTATAGAAATCCAAAGTCTAATCCAGCCTTTTTTAATTACACCTGGACAACGTTTGCAGATCATTTATGAAAAAGGAATCAACGTCATCGTCAAGAGGCTAGGTCAATAATATCTTAGTGACCTAGCCTAGCATAGTGTTTCGCATATCAATCACCGCACAGTTCAAATATGTATTTTGTGCTGACCTATCTTGTTTTAATAATAAAAAAATAATATCCTTGGACATTTTACACTGCGCTTCTAGTCCCAAACTAAGCAAAGCTTGTACTATGGGTAGGTACTAGACAACGGATATAAACATACTTAAATACTTTTTTTGTACCTTTAACCTTACCTATGTTTATGACCTACAAGCTTCGCTTAACTTGAGACTAGATATAATTTCTAAGGACGTCATATTTATTTAAATACTGATAATATCAAGTGTTTAATTTTATCACATTACAAACACTTGTGCAAAGAAAGTTTGCGAAACTAATTTTTATGATAATGATTTTTGTGAGTAGAGTACAGTGTTGCGCAAAACATTTGTGCTTGCAATTAGTTTAGAGATAAGATAATATGACTAATACTCTAAAAAAAAAGTAAATGGGATTACGAATATTGTAGTTAGAAATACAATACTAATAAACACAAAAATTATTGAAGATTATTTTCGGTGATTACTTGAGATTTATATTATTTGTAAAAGTTTTTCTGTAGCATTAATATCCATAATCTATATTATATAAAGCTCGTTTTATTTAATAAAGCTAACTTTTAAGTAAATACAGGTAGGTACCAACTAAATTCAGTATCTTGCCGATAGTGAAATTAAAGTTCATCATCATCATCATCTCAGCCATAGGACGTCCACTGCTGAACATAGACCTCCCCCAATGCTTTCCATGTTGCCCGGTTGGTAGCGGCCTGCGTCCAGCTCCTTCCTGCTACCTTTATGATGTCGTCGGTTCACACTTGTGGGTGGACGTCCCACGCTGCGTTTTCCGGTACGCGGCCTCCACTCCACAACCTTGCTGCCCCATCGGCCGTCAGTTCTGCGTAGGTACTATGTGCCCTGCCCATTGCCATTTCAGTTTGCTAATCCGTCGGGCTATGTCAAAGTACCTTATTTAATTTACGAAGATTCATAGCTATTGTATGTTACATAGTACCTATTTAATTTATTTAGGTCGTAACCTATGCATTTATTAGAAACAAAATAACTAGCGGATACAATTTTATTTGTAGACGTCATCATCATCATCATCATCATCATCATTTCAGCCACAGGACGTCCACTGCTGAACATAGGCCTCCCCCAATGACTTCCATATCGCACGGTTGGTAGCGGCCTGCATCCAGCGCCTTCCTGCTACCTTTATCAGGTCGTCGGTCCACCTTTTGGGTGGACGTCCCACGCTGCGTTTTTCATTAGACGTACGCGTCTACAAATAAAATTTTATCCGACTTATTAGGCATTCACGAAAACTAACTGAATATTTTTTACATAAAACGACTTCAAAATATTGGGTTCGAACATTCTTCAACAACTTACGTCATAATGTTTTTCTTTTCATTTAAATTAGTAACCTTTTGCCGAAAATGTATCTTTAAGCCATGAAAAGGGGCATGTATCACTATTTGCAGATAATAAATGTGCATGTCAAATATAGTCTGTATTTTTTTTGTTTCATAAGTCAGCAGTTAACAGCAACCTTTGTAAGAGAACCATCTACCTGAAACGTTATCAGGAACCGGTGTAACTTGCTCCAAAAGTTAAATTTGGCAATTCACCCCAATGCAACGTTTACAATTTTCAGTCTTGGGAAAATATTCATAACTCAACAATGATTTAAGTTTATACGGTCTACTCCCAGCTATGTATCTATATGTGTGACTGCTCCTTTTCCATTTAAATCCAGGGCATACCTATTACCTACATGTATCCGTGCACTTATTTATTCAAATACTTCTTTTCATTAAAGGTACGTATTAAATAAGGTACTCGCGTACAGAATAATTTATAGAGATTATTAAAATATTTAACAGTTTCCTTACAAAAGTACATACATATTTTGCGGCAGTAACAATGCCGTACAATCGTCGCATATGAAAGCATCAATAAAGGGTATTCTTCACTATTCTTCATTAATTATAATATAATGAGCTCCATCAATTTAGTATAGATTCGGCCGAAATAGTGTGTGTTTTCAATGCCATTATTTAAATAATATTAACTATGCCGATGTTGATAGGTAAATTATAATGATATTGTTATTGTATCAAATAGAACAAAGGAATAAATAAAAATATTATTCAAAAATATATTTTTAAGAGTATGTTTAATTTGACTGTACCTACCAGTACAGTTCCAAAGCTAATTAGTACTTAGTTCAAAAGACTTTGTCTTCAGTTTGAGTAAAAGACCGTGCAATGACGCATCACTCCATAAAATTAAAATGGTAAGTGTTTTGTTTTACTATATTATTTGTTTTTAAAGAGAAGCCTACCAACATTTCAGAATAAGTACTTTACTTCTGATTAACTTATTTTTCTTTATCATTGTTATTTTCACGAGTTTCAATAAAACCAGCAAAACGTGTTTGTTAATTTTGGAAATTAGTGAAGGTAATTTAGAAGTCGTCCTTCAATAATAAAAAATATCCCATGATTAATGGGAATTCTTTCTTGGAATCATGATTTAACACACACTTCAGAGTAAATTTGAATTTCCACATCTTGTTCATAAATAGGTAGGTACAGTCAGCAGCCCATAAGATAAGCTCCGTGGCTTCATAAATAAGTTGTTGTAATAAGAGCGATTTTGTAGCAAAAATCCATAATCTGTTGTCTCATTGTTTGTAATAATAACCTTTTAAAAAATACCTACATTAAGCTTGGACTGATCTCCTACATAATTTCGTTTCAGTGTGCGATGGTGTTTCTTACTAGCAACGTTGCAGATGGTCGGTCTCGTGAATGCCAAATCTCCACACGTTGTTTTTATAATGGCCGATGATATGGTACGCATTTTACAAACTTATGAATATAAAAAAAAATAAAACCGACTCCAAAAAACCTACACTAAAAAGTAGAAAAATAATTACAGTGCAGGCAAACTTTACATGTTTCATAATCTTGGCACCGACTCCAGAAGTATCAATCATGGTATACCTACATAAATATTAATAATTCGTCCTAATAAATAAGTAGGTAATTAGTAATTATTTTTCTACTTTTTAGTGTAGGTTTTTTGGAGTCGGTTTTATTTTTTTTTATAAAATTTTACTTATTTCTTGCTTTTTAGTTAACTAATTATTACCTTGATGTTACCACTGAAGGTAGGCAGTACATTGAGACCATGACCATATTCTTAATGTATATTATAAAAAAGTTCATCCCCAATTTTCCACCCTTGGGGGTGAAATATTTTCTTCAAATTCGCATGAAACCACCCTTTTGATAATACCTATTCAACAAAAAAATAATCGTTCAAATTGGTTCATAATCGGCGGAGATATTGCGTATAAAAAGTTCATCCCCAATTTTCCACCCTTGGGGGTGAAATATTTTCTTCAAATTCGCATGAAACCACCCTTTTGATAATACCTATTCAACAAAAAAGTAATCGTTCTAATTGGTTTATAATCGGCGGAGATATAATAGATAAATAGATAGAAAAAAGTTCATCCCCAATTTTCCACCCTTGGGGGTTGTTTTTTTTATTATTAAATTTTATTGTTAAATGGGACCACCCTTGAGGTATTACCTATACGCTGAAAAAAGATTTGTTCAAATCGGTTCATAATTGACGGAGTTATCGCGTAACAAACGAAAAAAAAAAAAAAACTTGAAGATTTTATAAGCTACGATAATCCATCCAAACATTGTGGAGTTGTTGTAATTTTCTGGACCTCTTGTACAGTGCAGACCATCATTATCATTGCTAAAACTGTACTTCGACATAAAGAGATAGATTGGTACTTTGGAATCCATTTAGAAAAATTGCGCATTTTTCCTTATAGGGTTGGAATGACGTGTCATACCATGGATCGGATCAAATATTGACGCCCAACATAGACACCATCGCATTCCGGAGCGTGATCCTGCAGCAGTACTACAGTGAGGCCATCTGCACTCCCGCCAGAACTGCCCTGCTCACGGGGAAATATCCCATGAGATTAGGTAAATAAACACAAGGGCATAATAATAATGGTACTTATATGGTGAAAGAGCATGTTTTTACTATAAGGGGCCCCACTCCCCCCATAAACGAATGGCCTAAATCAAGTAATTCACCACTAATTAATTGGATATTGAATGAAATTTCCATTAAGATCAAATAAAAGTAAAATTATTGCTCTAGTTGTAGTAGTTGATAATGTAAATTAATACGTGCAACACAATGCCGTGCTAGCTAGCTGTCTTCTTACAAATCATGAGAAACCAATTAGTTAGCTAAGTTATCTGTGGTTTTGCAGCTGAACAGTGGTAGAAAAAAAATATGTGATTGGCAATTGTTTTACTTTCTAGGTATGCATGGACCACCTCTATTTAACGGAGAGGACCGCGGGATACCTCTGACAGAGCGGCTTTTACCCTCGTATATGAAAGAGTTGGGATATACTACTCACCTCGTGGGGAAATGGCATGTAGGGATGTCTCGACCAGAATACCTGCCCACTGCGCGAGGGTACGACTCGCACTATGGACCGAGAGGTGGATTCGTTGACTATTATACGTATAACAAAGTGGAGACAGTAAGTTCCATGTAAATTAACAGTAAAATATTTCCAGAAAAATATAAGGTCTATTTTACAAGTTACTGAAAATATAAGTTTTGAACAGTTATCAGATATTATAACGCTTGTAAATAACGGGTGCTCATTGTTGACCGAAAAATTTCCAAACATAGGTATGTCTGACACTTGTAAAACTAAAAGTTGTAGTAGGTAAGTATTTTTGACAGATTAAAATAGGCTATTAGGGATTTTATCAGCAAGTAGCAGGCAAAGAATGATACTTTCATAACATTCTTAATTGAAATCAAGTGCCAATTCTTTGTCAAGGTTAATGTAACCAAAATGTTGAAATTTTTTATTACTTCATCTGACATGGGTGTGTTACTTTTTAGTTATCGCAAATGGTTATAAGGCCAAATGCACAATGCACTGTATGTAGGTTACTTTCACTCATTTTGACAGATTATACCTACATGAGCTATTTTTGTACTTTTTCAGTGGCCGAACGGATATTCGCTGTTTGGGCTCGATCTATTTGATGATAATATACCACAAGAAGATGAAGAACGTTACATTGTTGATGCGCTAACTGATAGAGCTGTCAGGAGTGAGTTTAATTATATATATCATTAAATTATAATACACATACCGCCTCAATATAAGGATGATATTTGTATTTTATAGTTATACATCACCACAATGCATCGCAGCCACTGTTTCTCCACCTCACACACACCGCTCCCCATGCGGGCAACATCGGTGGGTTGCTACAGCCGCCACTCAACTCAACGGTCCAAAACCGGCACATTGCTCATTCGGACCGTAGACTATATGCAGGTAACAGTCAATAGGTACTGAAGACTAAGATTTAATCGATTAAGATGGGCCACCTTGACCTCTTAAAAAGGAGGCGTGTTACACTTAATGTTACTGCTTTCTATTGTCTATCAAGCACTCACTTCAATATGTTCCAGAGGTTGTCCAGAGTCTTGACCTTAGCGTTGGGAAAGTCGTCAAAGCTCTAGATGCGAAAGGTATATTGAATGATACCATCATAATATTCGTATCGGATAATGGAGCTCCAACGATTGGCAAAACGAACAATTGGGGTGTCAACTTGCCTTTTAGGGGACTAAAAGAAACAGCATGGGAAGGAGCTGTTAGAGTTCCAGCCTATATTTGGCACTCGTCGTTCAAGCCAAGAATATGGGACGGGTTAATGCACATCACTGATTGGTTACCAACTCTAACCACAGCTGCTGGCGGTGAATTCATCGGAAAAATTGACGGAATTAACCAATGGGATTCCATCGTACAGGACGGCGAATCAAGAAGAAGGGATGTGCTTTTAACTTTGGAAGATAATGATCTCAACAGGTTTGCTTCGTATAGAGCTGGTGATTACAAAATTGTAATAGGAAATGTTACTGGAATGAATAATGATTATTATGGGGAGAAATTTATTATAAACAAAAAAGCCCCTCCAGCTTATTATCCGGCTTTAAAGTCTTGTGAAGTTGCAAGAGTATTTGAAAGAATGGGAATTGTTTTGGACTATAATGAAGTATTGTCAATGAGAAACGCTACTGTTATAAAACAGGAGGACAAGGTGAAAGACCGCACGCTATGTGTACCAACTCCACGTAAGTGTGTAACATTTTAAATAGTTAAAGCTATTTTTAATTTGATTTCATTATTATTGGGCGATGTAATGCAATGGAAAAAATTTATTGACATAGTAATTTCCTACTTAGTAACATAATTATAAAACAACAACAATATAACAAGAACAAAAACTACGTAACGTAAAGTTTACAATTTGCTTAGTTGTCAATCTAAGGTACTTGATACAAATAAGGCCTACGTTCTAATAAGGCCTATACATCAGAAAACACAGATAAATAAATCCAACCGAGACAATACCTCAAGGATACGTACTCATGTGCCCTATAACCCAGTAGAGTGCTAGAGCATCCCGATCCACGATCCCAGCACTAATTGGCACGCGTTCTTCTAAGGTGGTGGGTGATTTCGTGCTCCCTTATAAAAATCCGGCGATTTCATCTTAAGTTTTCGGTAAAATGACGCTGTTTTAGATTAAGCTTTTCTTAGTAATCGTTTCTAAATATATCTTACTAGCTAATAATTACCTTAATGTGTGCTACTGGCTACAGATGCATTATTTGTAAATTTTTAAAGACAACAAGAGCGAGATATCTAATAAGGCCTAGGCCTTATTTCAGCATGGTAGGCCATATTAGATACTTATTTTAACACCTGTTTACGGACAAATTCATTAAACTAAATGGGTCAAAGAGTAACAAAATATTTATTTAATAAGAATTTTACTAACAGCACAGAAAAGAAAAAGAAAACAGTGTCAAAAAAAATTACAAAACCTGTAAAAAAAGAAACAAAATACAAAAACAATAAAAAATAAGAAAAAAGAAGCCGTATGTATAATTCTTAAGGAAAAAAGAATAAAAGCTGGTATTATCATGCCTGTTTCGAAGACAAAGTAGCAGATACGCGACCATAAATGACTGCTTTAGGTGGTATCACAAGTATTGTGTAGGAGTTCGCAAAGATGATTCAGAAGCCTTTTTATGCCCTGGTTCTAACAAAAATTGATATCTCATTTTGTTTAGAAAAATTCAAAACTAAATGATGTTCCTAAACTGATTTATTTAAAAGGTTTTATGTGTAGGCCTTATTCGAACACGGTGTTTTAATAAGCCCTATACAAAAAAACAATATTGTTTGTTTTTGATATTTTTTTTGGATAATATATGTAAGGAATCGTTACTTTGTTACTATGAATATTTAATTTTATCTATAATTTGTGTATAATTCTTAATAAGTGGAATTTAAGTTTATCTAGAGATGTACAGTATATTTCTGTTTACTTGGTATTTAAAATTTTGATAACGCAAACAAATCGACGTATTTAATGTTATAAGACCGCATTTTGTTTAATACAACCTCAATTTTAAGGTCTAGAGGCATTTGAATCATGTAGGCCTTATTCCGTGTAGGTGATTTAATAAAGCCAAAATCAGTGGTTTCGTAATTTGCTTATTTTGAATAGATTTAGTGAAAAATTGTGTTATTTTTTGTAATATTGCTAAAATTAAAGGATGGAAGTAGATAATTAACCTTGTTTTTGTTAATTGGCGTTAATATTTATTGAATTATAAGCATTTAAAGTTAGGTAGGCCTTATTTGTATCAAGTACCTTATATGTTACGGTTAATGTGATAAATTGAAAATTATGAATAATCGCCGGTTATTATGAATAATTACCGACAGGCTTGGTAAAAGTGATAAATTAATCACATTTATTATTACATTTACATTTATTATTCATAGTGATTATTTCATAATGTAACCTTAATACTAACAAACACCATAAAAGAGAACAGCGGCTCGTGTACAGCGCTCATGTACAGCCTCACATTTTGAACGTTTTGATATCATATATTAATATAATTTGGCAAAATGAGTTTGGAATGTTTTTTGCATAACATTACTTTGCCATAATGCCACATTGTTTTGATTTAAAGTGAAAAATAGGTTAAGGTGCGGCGGGGGTGGCCCTTGGGCCACCCCTAAGCTGCCTATTTAGTTTATAAACACTAAAATGATCTCATATTAATCACATTTACCAAATCATGCGGTAATTATTCATAATAACCGGCCATTATTCATAATTTTCACATTTATCACTTTGACCGTAACATATACATTGTTTTCAGGTCGTGGTTGTCTTTTTAACGTAAGACGAGATCCTATAGAAAGCCATGATCTTTGGGATAAGGAACATAAAGTTGCTGTGACGCTGACCAAGCGTGTCCTGGGTCTTTGGGCTATGCAAGACAAAAGAGGTCCTACAAATATACAAGTTCAAGCTGATCCAGCCAACTTTGACTACGTATGGACTCCTTGGATTCATGATGGCAGTGATAACTCTGGTACACAAAGCAACAGGACCTCAACATCAGAAAGTTTAGCTAATTGCGATAACAAGAGGCTATTAAGACATTTATTATGTAAACTAAAAGGTAAGTTTTTCTTTTATTATGTTGTTATCACATCAAAAAAATAATTACAGCGGTTAATTTGGACTCAAATTAAAAATATTTTCATTTTCAGTTACCGGCCATGGAATTAATTAGAAATGTAACTTCTGCATGGTTAGATGCGTACCTACTTAATTGTTGACATAATACAAATAAAAAACAGCTTTGACTAGAGCAAAAGTGTTATTAGTATTACTCATCATTACTATTTAATGATTTATTTACTGATACTTTATTAACGACGTTTGTTAAGAAATAAATAAATTACTATAATTACAAACTTGTATTTATTAACAACTAGCTGACCCGGCGAACTTTGTTCCGCCTTAATGGCAATAAATAAGCAGACTTTTTTTATTTCGAACGGGATAAAAAGTATCCTATGTCCTGGCTCTAAACTACCCCCTGACAATTTTCAGCTAAATCGGTTCAGCCGTTCTTGAGTAACTAACACGACTTTCTTTTATATTATATAGATTTGCAGCACGGTTAAACATATTTTTCACAGACTGAATAATGTAAGTACGTTAAATATTTAATTTTGTTCTTTTTGCGTCGCAATGATGTTGAAACGATCTGAACAATAAAATTAGTGTACCTAACTATTAGGTTTTCTTAATGGTATCGTACTCGGAACTCTTTAAAATATTTATACGCTACCGGCAAAAAATACCACATATTACGCGTACTTTAACTTGCCTCCATAGTAAGAGCTGTAGAGTTTCATTTTATTATTTAATACAATAATACATAATCTGTGCCGGTCCACCTAGCTTTTATTTCAGCTTTTGCTTTTTAATATTATGTAAATCATTCCAAAAAGGGTTTTTTATTTAAGACACGCTAATAAAAGTTATAAATACAAAAACCAAGTTAAACAACACGCCAATAAACATTTATTAGTATTACATATAATTTTATTATTAAATCATTAGTTTACTTATCATGCTTAATAAATTATGTTTTATTTTTTCATAAATGTGAAATTAAACATTATGTTTTGCAGTCAAAAACTAAATGTGTACTTACTTAAACATTGCAACTTAATGTGGAAGTCAGTATAAAATATTATACTGACTATTTTTCATTCACACATTTCGTCGCTTGCCTTAATGTGGAAGTCAGTATAAAATATTATACTGACTTCCACATTTTTCATTCACACATTTCGTCGCTTGCCTCTCTAACGTAACTGACATTTTGCAAAATTTTCAGGCGATTAGACAGATCGATTCGTCTTGCGAAATTGATTAAGATGGTGTAGATAACTCAGTTTCGAAAAAAAATTCAGATACGTCAGTTAGAGAGGCAAGCGACGATTTGTTACCAATAATTCTTTGGATTTGATTGTATTAACAATTCTAAAAAAAATTAAAGAAGTCTGCAATCTTACTGAAAACACCTGAAATTATTTTGGCTAGGATATTAAATTCATATATTTTTTTATCTACGGCGGCGTAGAACACTAGCACTCCTTCAGCCGAGAACGCTGTGGGTTTAGTCTTAGTCAAGCCAAAATTTTGAGGGCTTCTTATACTTGTGCCGTTTGAATAAATAAAATATGGAACATCGTCAGCTAAAACGAATATGCCTTCGACGTCTGCAACTAGAGCAGGTATCTTTATCATGACCATTTTGCTTGGATTTTTCGGTAAACCTTCAATTTTGTTCACACGCTGATCCTTCACCTGATACACATTCTTCTCGTTATCATAATAATAAAGATTATCAACCTTATCTAACACTATTTCCAGAGCATTTTTTACTCGGTTGTCCACGTCTGATTTACTTCCGTTATCAGAAATTTTGTATAAATCATGATTTTTAGTAAGCGCGTAAATAATACCACTGCTGTTTTCTACAGCCAGTGAAATAATACCCTCGTTCAAATTTCCATATTTATAGGCTTTATTTTCTTTACGATTGTACGTATATATTCCTTCTTTGCAAGCAAAAAAAACTTTACCTTCTGCATCGCCATCTATGTCTTTGCCGTTGTCATGTAACTTCGTTGTACTGTTTTCAACAATAACGTACAATCCTTGATCTATTTTACTACCATCATTATTTATATCAGCTTCTAGAAAAAACACAACTCTTTTCTGTAATTCTTCCATTAACGGCAGCGATGGATATATTTTAACGATGTCATGTTGTCCTTGGTATATAACCATTTCATCTGGATCATTCTTTGTTTTTGTTGGACTGGCATTAATAGCAAGTACATAATGAAGAGCTATCACAAAGATAGCTATGAATTTCATGTTTAACCTGTAAACAAAATATTAACCTGTAAACCATGGACCTATAAAAAAAGTCGGACGGATTCTCATCAACAAAATACTGTGACATTAGGATACACCAGCTTGCCTGTACGTACAGGCCGGCACGCACACATTCACACCCTGTTACACCACTTCGAGTGCAAACTTCACACAGTTGACACATTTAAGCAGCGAAAAAACAACACGAATACGACATGTCTTGTGTGATGAAATTGTGTAAAAACCGTTCTGTTCGAACAAACAAAAATTAAGGAATCACATTTCACAGGCAAAATAATAATCCAATCACTTATTTCCCGACATTAAAATATTGAAATTTAATTGAAATCAAACGTCATTCACTCGAAAAAATAATACGTCAAAGACCAGTGTTCTCAGTTATTTACGTGGGAAAATTACCCGAAATATGGGAAATTAATAATAATTTTAGGACTTTTTAGTTATTTATTACGCACACTATGGAAATAAAATAATTTATCATAATAATTGTGTTTTAATGGGATATATTTTCATAGGCAAATTTGATCCTTCCCAAAAATGTGGAACTGCAAAATTCAAATTTTCTTACATTGATTTCAAGTCAGTGTCAGGTTGTATGTTAAAAAAAATCTATCAGAGATAATAATAATATATTGATGATGCATAAGATTATGATTATAATATACACAAGATTCGTAATTTGTAACTGCGTGAATCATTTTTGATCAACATTATGTACATAACTACATACCCTGACACACTGACTTGCAAACAATGTAAGAAAATTTGAACATTGAAAATTTCGCGCCTACCTCAACGCATTCACCTTTCATCCTTTTAAAATGGCACGGAATAATTCTGTCTACATTTCCAAGTAACATCTGCCGATCTATGTTTTTCTTAAAATAAAAGGGTAAAATGTTTTGGCTAACATGGCATCCCTAAATTCACTCACACAATAGACAAACGCCAAAATTTTGCGTCACAGTTTTGTTGTAGCGCGAGTTCCGTCCGCCTTTTTTTATAGGTCCATGCTGTAAACAAGTTACATTTCTGCACATCGTGACCCGATAACGGGGTTAAAACATTGTTTAATCGTGACAATATCGGGACAATTTCAACAATAACCTATTTCGATAATAAAACACATTATTTAGTTTTTGGTAACTTTATAAGCTCCGCACTCATAGGTTTTTGAAATCAAGGAAATATCTGTACCCCCAGTGAAAACGGAGTTAAGTCGAAAATGGTGATTTTTGGGAAATCGCATTTGAAGTTAAAAAAAATCCTGCTTCGTCGCTATTAGAGATAACTTGGTGAAATATTTTTTAGGTGAAAGGTAATGTTAGATATAATTAGGCACTGTGCCAGNCCCTAAATATTTTTAAAAAGAAACTTGCCCTACATATTCATGACGTTGTAGAATGAGCCTTACTTATTAAATTTAATGTCTAAAACTAATATTTACAATTTAGAAAATTATATTTAATTTTGTTTTGAACCTATATTATACTGATTTACTTTTTATCGCCAATCAGATGGTATAATTTGCTAAAGCCAATGCTTTTTATAAAACATATCGGTGCGAACGATTCAAATGAAAATTATACTTAGTTTAATTTTGTTCTCAAGTAAGTGACAATTATGTTTTTATTGAGAAATAAAGAATCTTTAAACCTTATATTATTAAAACAATACTAATTATTATTTAGTATTGTTTTGTTAACATCATAATTAGGCAGATAACAAATGGTTATAGGTAAACCAATACTTAGATAATGCGTAAAAAATAAATAGGTATAAATCATTGGCTTCATCGCTCCACAACAAGCATTATGTAGAGTTTTCATCTACAAATTATTGTTGAAAATTTAATTAACCAAATTAATTATTGATATGCATATATCATAGTGGGCAATACTCAGTACAGCGTGTAAAAAAAGTCATAAAATTAATAAAACTCATTTATTTTTGCAAATAGGCTTTTAAAAAACACTTTTACACGTCCCAGTATTAACCCTACCACTGCTTCGGGACAATAAATGGGCCAGTGTCTAAGCCTAAGCTTGGAAAATAACTCGCGGTCCCGTCCAAGATTTTGAAGGTCACCGTAGTAAGTAGACCGAGACCCTGTCCATCTGACACAGGGAAAACCTCACCCACTGGTTTCCCCGGGCCAGTGGGTATGCACTTTCATGCATTTCCTGACGAAAAAGACCTGTCTAGCCCTACATAAAGCCTTTAGTCGGTAAATATTTACTGATAGATAATAGTAGGTGCGTCGACACAATTGTATTACTGTAACATTAAAGTATGTTGTGAGTTGTAGCATGAGTTTAAAAATAAGCGGATTTTTATAATAATATTAAGTAATGTTAAGTAGGTACATATTGCTGTTATATTTTTTTATATTTATATTCTACCATTATATTCTAGTCTATATGAAAATATATTCTAAATTGGTGTTTTAACCAGGTAAGTATGTCGACCACGACCACTCTGCCTAGAGTGTAACGAAACGACGAAGAAGAAGGTGTTTCAATAAAAATACTAAATAGGTGGATTACAAATTAGTAATTAGCATAAGTAGGTACTACTTGGTCACGTTTCGAGATAGGTATGCTAAGCAATACCAAGCATAGGTACGAGTAGTTTAACCTACTTTGCGCACGTTTTTATAATGTGTTCTTATTATAGTTTTACATTTAATGAGTATTATGTATGTAGTAACCCAAAATTAGGTAGGAACGGGTAATCTATTGCATAGTTTTGGTCATGGTTCAATTTTGCACGAGAATGAAATGTAAACTACACAGGTACTCGCATTCCAATTACTGGATGTATGTAGAGATGATTGTGTACTCGAGTCTATTGTTTGCCACCTTAATTAAGGTCTACTCCGTCAATGCAATGGTAATTTGGTACTACCGTCTATTACAAATCGTATTTTGTACATGTTCGTTGAACATAAAGAGCGGTAGGTATGTTAAAATGTGATATTAGACTCTATGAAGTCTTGATATCGTTCGATTGGGTCAATTTTGGTACGTAAGTGAATCTGATTAGTACACGTATTGCTTAAAAATGCTTCCCTACATGGTATAAGTGACAGCGATTAACAAAAAAGTGCATCAATATGGATAAATAGATTTTATGAATAGGGAAGATAATTTCAAAGGATTTAAGCGCAGGCTGCGTTCATGATATTAAATATGGCATACGACTGACGGCACATCTGAAATTATTAAAAATTAGGTTAGCATCAGTGTAATTAATCGTAAAGTACATTAATTTAGGGACTAAATTATAGATTGTATGATTCTGCATTGAATAATACATTTATCTTAATAAGAAAAGCGCAGCGTAGGATGTCCACCGGGTGTGGACCGACAACTTCGTAAAAGTAGCAGGAAGGCGCTGGATGTAAGCCGCTGCCAACCGATCATTTGGAAGTCGTTGGGGGAGGCTTATGTTCAGCAATGGACGTCCTGTGGCTGAAATAATAATGATGATGAATAAGAAATTGGCTACCTCTGCAAAAGTGTCCAGACATATAGTATAGAAGATGGTGCTCAAAACTAGCGGTGCCGTGGTCCTGGTCATCATCAGCAACACTGTCTTGCGAGCCCGAGTGTTCGGGTGGGTCTCCCAACCGCAGGAGTATATGGCTTCACGTAGGTAATAGCTCTGAGAAAATTTAAATCAATATTATAAGAAAACCCAAATCATTTTTTTTCTTCTTTCAATACACTATCTCTTCTTCCAATGAAAAAATAATGATTTCATGCAGTTAGGTACCTAGGTACAAAATTACGAGTAGGTTTTAATAAAAACAATAATATTTATTTAACGCACCCGTTCCAAAAGATTATCGCTATAATAACACGGCATGTAAAAATGTAAAATAGTTGCTACGAAAAACGAAAGAAATTCCATATTCAATTGCGAACGTTTTAAGTCCTGAAAATTTCAATAATTATGTTATTACATAAATGTCACAATAATAAATTTAATTATTATGGGTCATTCCATAAAAATCTGTATAATTTCGACGTCATTTTGTCTTAAACTTTTTTAAGATGATTTTGAATACTTTATTAGTGTAAATTATAGTTTATTTATTAATTATGTTATGTCTAAAAGGGCCAGTCAATTTATGCTTTATTTTAGGAGAAATTATAATTTTCAATTTTTTCATACTACACTACTCCTATATGACTTTTAATAAAGTATAAAATTTATAACCTTAACATTTATAGATAAGTTATTATACTTAATGTAGTTGTATTGTTATTACCACTATATAAAAAACGTCATTCATTAACCACAAATTTAGTTCCTAGTGCCATTTAAAGCTAGGGCCTGACGGTCTAGGGACTGACGATTTGGAGTAAAACTTAACACAAATGCAGATTCACTTTATTTTATAAGATGCTTAATACGATGTGCTGAAAATAGCCAAAAATCCATACGTAAATACTATTAAATTATATACAATTTCCTATTGTAATCAATAAAGCTACTCAACTAGGGACTGACGAAGTGACTGGTTCAACACATGTTTCCACAACAACTGGTACGTTTGCACTTATTCACAAAACGGCTGCCGCACAGCCAGTATGGTCTGAGGATAACTTCGTATCGTACTTTAAACTCAACTAAATGTCATTCACTCTAAATACATATTAAAGCGCAAAATTATAAAATCAGTGCTTGGCGAGGGAATGACGCTAAAAGCTGTGGACACTTTTTCAACTTAAGAAAATCAAATTATTCTTTATTGAAACCGCAAAATATTAATAGAATTTGGTGTAATGTACGTTTAAATAGATTATTCGTTAATTAAAACAAAGGATCAAGTTGATGTTTCTATAAATATGGATTCCAAAACACAAACTTTTGGAGTACTGACCTGCCTAGGGAATGACGTTTTGGGTCACTTAAAAGGAATTTAAGATTATTTTTAAATAGTTTTAAAAAATATAAATGGGTGATGATTAAAACACATTGCGAGCTGTTATTTAACAATTTTGGAATAAAATATTACCAAACATTCCATGTGAAATGTGGCGCTGACTAAGAGTTGACATATTTTTGTGGAATGACCCGTATAACACTTTACCTCAACAACCTGAAATAAGGACAATGGTAACAAAAAGGTCGTTGTCTTCATATTGTACTCAAACAATACAGTAAACTTGTTTTTTATATTTTCTATTAACCTGTAATATTAATAATATTATTCAATTTTTATATTTTTAATGATAACTACATTATTACATTTCGACTAACCCGTACAAATCTTGCAATTTAATGTTAACGTTTTTCAACTTCTCATTGATTTCTTCTTCATTATAATTTTCTGAGAATATCTTCAATATCCTTTTGCTGAGTATATCTAACTGTCCACAAATGTGCAATAAAAATATAGGGACCAAGGGGTCGAATCCTATATACATTGTCGTCGCGTAGCAGCCAAACATTAAGCAAAGCACAAAAAGAAGTATAAACATAGCTGGTATGTCTTTTAGAATGTCGAGACGATCTGGATACCTCATGTCGAACATGGGAATGTATTTGAAGTCCCCTTGCCAATATGAATAACCCATCTTAAATATAGCCTTTAGGGGAAACGCGATGCTAGTTGATAGAGCCGCCAGCAGCCAATACCAACTGACTTTAGCGCCTTTCTTGGCGTACATAATCACGATTTCTTTTTCTTCCTCTTCGAAATCCATAGCTAATTTATAATCCCTGTCCACTACACTGATGAGGTTCTTCATGTATTTTTGGAAATATAGCAGAAACGAGTATTTAATTGTGATTGTGAATGCGACAATAGCCATAGTGCCATTCTTGCTGGCTTCAGCGTATCGTCCTGCTGGAATGTCGTAGAGAAGCACCGAATTACCAAGAAACAAAAATGTGGTTGTCGATAGCGTTAGTATGATGAGGAATTGGAAAACCCAGAACAAATTTCTTGGTATCGATGGGTGTGATCTGTTTATGAACATAGCCATCGCAGTTACCACAAACATGTTATCAAATTTGAAATTATTGCGATTGATTTTGGTCGGAGCTAATGTTTTTGGAAACATTATAATATAAGTAACACACTTGTATATACTTCGTATCTAATTTAACTACTTACGAAGTAAGCGGTGGTTTAAACTTGAGTTATTCAAGAGCCAAGCCGTATAAAAGTTTATGATATAATTACCTATTGTAAATCTATCATCTATATATATAAAAATGAAACCCGTTTCGCGTTGTCACGGCATCACGTGTGAACGGCTGAACCGATTTCGATAATTCTTTTTTTTGAATGTTTGTGGAAGTCCATGGATGGTTCTTACGGAAAAAAATATTAAGAAAATCTCTACGCTAAGGCGGTACGAAGTTCGCCGGGTCAGCTAGTGATAAATAAAATAACGATAAATGATTTTTATTAATGTCCGTGTGTGTTTCAGTAGATTGTTCGTGGAAAATTACATTTAAACATGGGTTTGTCCCATGACGGATTTTTTCAGGTATATAAACATTAATCTACATTGATGAATATAATTAACATTAATAACTGAACATATCGTAGTGGATTGGTTGTAAGTAGTAGGTAATGCGATAGTGAGTGAAGTCAGTGGAAAACACATTGCTTTGAAACACAAGAAAGCGTACAATTAAGTAAATTGGTATTGTGCATTATTGTGTCTTGAGAATCCAGGAGTGCAAGCGACATTAAAATAGCTCCACACTAGATAATAAGTGCTTGTTCAGATACATGTCATGATATGTCACGGTGTTACAATGTATCAATAACACCGGTCAACAAAAAAAAAATTTTTTTTTGCGCATGGATTTTACTTATTATATTCTGATTATGTAAGCAAATGTATATAAAAAAGTGCGATTACAAATCGAAAATATTTGCTTTTAAAAAAGTTATAGCGATTTGAATTTTCCATCTTCATAGTAGAATGTCTCTAAAGATGCACGTCACATTCTCATTGGGATATATTTATAAATAATTATGGGGGCTTATTCGCAAGAACAAGGGGCACGCTTTCATCAAAATATAGTGGGATTTGAGAAACGACGTTACCAAGGCCAGTATACTGAAAGCATGATAGGGTTAGATTTTTATGAAAAAAATCTTCTATGGAACATGACAGGAAATTAGAACTTTTCATTTTTAATAAATATTTGGACTCTATTTTAATTTTTCTCTTGTGAGAATAAATCTTAAATGGATGTTTGTTATGTTTTAATAATTAGAAAGAATGAAAGAAAGAAAGAAAAAAATATATTTGGCAACAGATTAAATCATCTCTAAGTTCATGTTTCATACATTCATTTATATGAATTTTTCTATTTTTTACACATAAAAGCAAATTCAGAACAATTGTTTGTTGTTATTCTTGTTTCTAGGTTATAAAGCAATAAAAATAAGCTAAGCATAACCCGTGCGCAAAAATACTGTAGACAGTTGTAATGTTACCTTCATTGTTAAGGTTTTCATATGTTTTAGCTAAAAAGAAATACCACTTGTTATTTAGTTTCAGGCGCAGTAAATAGTAATGTTTAATTTTCATATGATTACGTTAGGGTAATGTATTAACTAGTGTCTGATTGAAATTCTTAGTTTCTGTTTTCAGTAGGTACTAGGTAGGTATTTAAAGTTAGATCATGTGGCATTATGTAGTGTACAATCTACAGCAAATAAAACTATACAATGGTATAGTAAAATAGCACCTAAATATTTTCTAAATCCGATGCGATGAAAATTTAGAAATTGTTGGTTTCCTAAACATGTGACGCATGCCGTGTACAGCGTACGATAAGGTACTTGCCACTGACAAGTGACAGCTAATTAGCCACGAAACTATTTAGCCAATTGAGTTAGAACTGTCCGCGAGAACAATCAATCAGCTGGGGGTTTTGCAGGCATTTTGTCATTAGATAATACTGAATATGTGTCGGAAACAGTCAAATCGTTGCAGTGTGAATACAAGTCTGCAAAATCTTAACAGCCATACATAGCTTATTAACCAAGTATAATTCGCTATTTATTTTCAATTTGTATAATTGTAGTTGCATAAGTGCCCTGAAAAGGGCCTATACATATAATACATAGTAATAAGAGTTTATACACAAATACAATATTTCATAGAGTTGCGCCTAATTCAGGAACACAACGTAGCGACAGCTTAATGTTTTTCATACTTAGGTACTTGCTCAGTTGTCGCAAATGAGGAACTTATTTCATAATGTAACCAAAAATACGCAGTGAAATTAGGTAAGAGGTTCTTGTCAGTAACTGTTTATTATGAAGAAAAAAAACCTACCTAAATTGAAGAAAAATATGTTGCTCATTTGGTATTCTGCTGAGAGAGCAAGAAGGGTCGTTCTTGATGACGAAAAGGGCGCTAACGAAGTTTAAGTGGGTAATTACAAAATTACATTTTAAATAAATTAATTTAATTCAGTTTTCTGAGGCCATTTTCGTGCGTAGACTAAGGTTTATTTTGTAACTCTAGTTTCCTGTTAAAGTTTGTGAATTAACGGTTGAATGATTGGACGCATGTTAGTCGAAAATATGCTCACAAAATAGACGAAAATTGTGACGGCATTTTAAAACCCATTTGGAAGAGACTTTACTTTGTATTCGTTCATCTGTATTCCGTCGGAAGCCCCAAAGAGCCGCTGCTGACTTGAATTTGTTATCTAAATCTCGACGTCTGTTTTAACTCCAACTTGAAAAAAGTATAATAACAAAAATTTGGAAAGCTTTAACTGTAAGGGTTAAAGAGAATCGTGTAAAAATATTTTCTCTAAGCGGTTTCGCCATTTACATAACCGGTGATTCTCTTTAAATTAAATTCGAGCGTGTTGGCAGAAACTTTGCAAAAACAAATTGTTTTGCAAGAGTAATTTTATATTAATGATATTTCATTGGAATGCAACTTTAGACTCTCTATTATTTGATGCTTAATAATGGTTTTTGTAAAAATATCTACAGTGTGCTTACCATAAGTTTAGTTTTAGGTATGCTCGCTAGCGACTACGTAAAAATGTCATTAAATTAATGACAAATTGTACAGCGCCCCTAGCGGTTACTTTCAAGAATTAAAATCTTCTAGCAAGCACACTTAACGTAAACTCATGGTGAGCACACAGAACAGATTCTTGGTTTTTCGTTAAAAGTAATCATTATTTTGAATACAATGGTTAAATGATATTATTTCTGTGTACCCGCAGGTAGGTAACACACAAGAGAAATAAACGCTTTTCAGGGGAAAATTTTAATTAAAAGTTAAGCACGAGTTGTAAATTTTAGACCCAAAGTTTGCTCATTATTTTCGCTCCTATTCATATTTAGCTTGAAATAAACAATTTAAGATATCAACCATAACCATAATAGCATTATAAACGCAAAAAGTAAACTTTTTCTATTTGTTCACAAAATCGATCATCTTTACTTAAGTATTATACAAAAATAGATTAATACTTAGATGCATTAAGGGCCGAAAAAAAGCTCTTTTATGCGTCCGGATTCTCTCTCATTTTCTTTTTTTACTAACTATGTAGTGAAGTTTGTCGTATCACGGTGATGTGGTAATATTATGCAATCAACAAATAGTGTTAAAGAATTGATTCCGGCGCCGATAGGGACATAGCGTACCTTGCCAAATGGGTCATCCCGACTGACAGATTGATGGATAGCGGCTAGCGAGAGCTAGTGTTGTAATAGATCGATTGTTAAACGTCGATATTTGTGCCAGAAGAAGTCAAATAATTTATGATGGCGAGAAAGGTAGTAACTTAACCCTACTTAATCGCATAGAGTAAGTAAGACTATTTTTTGTAGGCGCTTTTTGGCTTATTATAATCATGCAAAGAAAGTCGCTTTCATGTTAATAATCTAAACGCCTGATATAATGTAAACTGCTAATAATGCGTGTAATTCAAACTACAATAATAGCTTTTTAACTAACCCAGTAATGTAGGTCCTATATTTTAGTTTGAAATCTAATATAGGTACCTAGGTTTATTTAAAGCACTAACGGCAATAATGTTAAAATATAGGTAATTATTACTATTGTTGTATGTCATAGTTATTCAGTTTATATGTTTTCTGTATTTCACATTACAACCTGCCGCTAGATCTCGAGAAAATTTAAAATGTCCTATATTTTAAATTTTCTCGAAGCAACGAGGTCTAGCGGCAGTTTATCGAGCTTTTATTGTACTCGTATGAAGACAACACTATCGACACTCAGCTGACTCATTGACCGGGCATTACTATGCTTTCACGCACTATCTAGGGGCTGTAAACGTCGTCTGATTTTATTAAATTACTTATTCTTAACTTTATGACAAAAAAAACTTTATACAATATTTTTGTTATGGAAATCAAATCTCATGCCTCTATTTGTTATTAATGGGTACCTTTAGAAAGTTATTGGCATTTTTAAGGATTAACCAATCAGTGAATCCTTTAATGTTCATACAATACGAACACGGTTGTGCTAAGCGATTGTTGTACACAAAACAGTTTAAGCCAGTAACGTGTACACGAATCCGCCTGTTTGTTTAGGCTGGCATACATCATACATGAGCTTAGAAACTGTAATCCTCTATTTCATTGTTTTCCTTATGACTAAGTTCCCTAATTAAAACTCATTTGACGCGTTCACTTTGCCGTCAGATTTTCGTTTGTTTTGGTTACTTAATTTTAATTAGCATTCAGTCAGCAAACATTGTTTTGTTTAATAAAATAGACTTTGAAACTTTATCCCTTAGAAAAAAAGAAATAAAAAGAATTTGTACTTTTAAGTTTTACTATGGAGCATTAATAGCTTTACTATGGAGTTCTAATTTTCAGCTTCAGTCATCTTATTTTTTTATTATTATTACTTTTTAAAAGAATATACCGTTAACCCCACGCAGCACTGAGGCTTGGTTGCATCATCTTACTTTAACTTTAACAGATGTCAAAAATCTGTGTTTTAATAGTAAGTTACGGTCAAAGTTAGATGGTGCACTCAGCCTAGTGTATACGAGTTTATGTTACAAGTTTTTGTTTAAAACAATTTCAGTA